TGTGAAATTCCCTGCCGCTGCACAAGGGCGAAATAAATGTCGAGAACTGAGACGTGGGGTCACGTGCGTAAAAAGTTGTGTGTGTGCTTGTCTGTCGGCGGTATTCTCGCCAGTTGCCAGGACCTTCATGCAACTCCCTCCGCTGAGCCAGCAGCATATTCAAATGCATATTGATTCTGCGGTCCATCAGCTGTCACTGTCTGTGCCCCCGTGCTGCTTGTTTACAAGTGCCGCAATCATGATACGCATCGGCAAACCAGCCAAGGGTCCACCTGATGGGATCAGCCAAAAACCAAGAAACAGCTTTGGGGGAAAAAGAAGGACCCACAACATACATAGCTGGCAGAAGGCCAGAGCTAAACATATCCCCAGCCAAGTAGACAAAAGCAGCAAAAATTTGCATATCTTCCTGGTATCCACCGAGTGTGTGTTCTCTCCCATTTCTCTGTCTGTTTTTGCACTTTTCAGGTCTTTGCTTTTCTCCTACTATCCCACATATTGCTGGCCATTTAAGACCTAAATGGTAAATAGACCTTTCGGCTTGTTAATAAGGTATTGGCAAGTGGGGAACTGAAGTCAGGGCAAAAGGAAATCAAAGCGCAGAACCCTAAAGACGTTTGTTCAACCATTAGTAAATTTACATTCAAATTTTAGTTAATTAAAAGTCTGAGAAAACTCCTTTCGGTATACCAAATATGTGCGTTCAGTTAGGGTTTAAAAAGTATTTTTCCTTTCACAACTTGAAAACAGAAACTTTAAACGGAAACTGGTTATGTGTTAGTCTATCGAATTACAAATCCCAAGCAAGTAAAGCAGCATTAATATCCTGCCAGAATTACCCCACTTTGGTTTTAAATCGAACACAAGCCCTTGCCCCCTTTCTAATTGCTTGTTCACGTCCTTCTCCATCCCAGCACCAAATTTGTAGCTGTTTTGCTCGTCTCGAAGAGCAAGAAACGAAAAAAAACAGGGAAAACAGAGTATAAATTTGCATGAAACAGCAGCAGCAGCAGCAGCAGCAGCATCCCCGATTCGAATCCTGCAACGTGCGTTGCGATAAATCAAAAATCTGCAGCCAAGGCAAGAGGGTTACCCTAACCACGGCGACTTTCATCCTTTCAGTGGCGAACGAGGGAAATGCATTGGCCATGCAAACATTGCTGATTGTGTAAACAGCAGTGAGAAGCAGAGTGAAGACTTTTTGGGGCAGACGGGACTGGGGCAGGGGTGCTACTTTCTGCACAACAATGAAATTGAATTTCAATGCCATCTCCCTTATTGTTGTCAGCCCTGGCAATAATTGTTCGTGCTCACATGCACGCGTGCATGTGTGCTGCATATACTTGAGGCTGCCACGATGGTCCTCAACTGCATTCCACGCTATTTGCCAATGATTGCATCTTTTTACCAGACCCGAAACAACAAGGAAAACAGTCGCATCCTGGAAACCATTATCGCCAGCAGTCGAGCGACAGCGTCCCAATCCTGGCGCTCCCAATTCCCATTTGCAGTTGCCATTGCATTTGGCATACGTGTAAATCGTAAATTTCCGTCCGCAAAACGAATGGTAACCGGAATGGTAAGCGGTGGAAGACCCAGAACCGGAGTCGCACCAGTCCAAGACCCGGACTGCACAGGGCAATAGCTCATTGTGGACAGCGACAGCGACAGCGACGGCAACAGAAAACAAAAGTCACTTCCTCGGTAATGGAATAAATATCCGTGAGGACCATCTTTCTCTGCTCGCGCACTCACATATAGGGATTGTCCAACATTTTGCGGCTATTTATGGGACGGACTTTATGGCTGGCAATTGAAAATAAAGGTGCCGAGACGGAATGCATTGTTGGGAGATTTATTTATGCCTGAGATACAATTTTAATTTCGGTATGCGGACTTTTTGCGGTTTAGTCTCTTTATTACTTAAATTAATTTAACTCAACTATTCCGCAGGGTGTTTCAAAATATGTTTTCAATTTCAAGTATTCAGTTTTCAGTAAAAGGACTATTAAATTTATGATATTCAGTTCAAAAAATTAATAGTACTTATTTTGTTTTACACAGTGTGTATTATTAAAAGTTCATATCAATTTAATATTTAGAAGGTAGGCAAAAACCCAGGAATTTATATATAAAACTTTATGGTCTTAAAGGTTTTTCTAGTTATCAAGACTTCATTTCCACAGCAGTCTCCTTCAGTCTGCAAAAATGCCATGCAATTGTTAAAGAAACCTTGGCTAACAAGAATTTAAAATTGAATAGTTCAAATTTTGCTTACTGATTTCCCAGAAATTGTTATTCAAAAATCCAATTTCATCGCATCAATGCAGAAGCAATCCCCAGCACATCGCCGTTTTTGTATATTTTGCATATTTGTCACATTGAAGATGACCAGCTGTGAGTTGGGACATGATCCGCATCCGCATTCGCATCCGCATCCGCTCCTCCTTACCTGTGCTCACTTTTCACTCCTGTTCGATTGAGCCAAGAAGGAAATGCGAGACATGAAAGCTCTTATGACATTGCACACAGTGATGCGGATGCTGGAGTGGATGGTGGCTGTCTTTTATTGTCGGCGGTGTATAATTTTCACACTCCTGGCGCGGATGCGAATGCGGATGCGGATAGCAAGGATGGTTGTTTGTGCTACCATTGGACCTCCGGCGATTCGCCCACCCCATCACGGCTGATTTGATTGCACTGAGCTTTGGTTCTTGGCTGCTTTTTTTTGTCCTCCCTGCGTTGTGCTTCTGCTTCGTCCACCATTTTGATTATGTTGCAGCATTTTTGCATCATAATACTCATAAATATTTATGAACCAAGTTGTCTAAACATGGAACGGACATAAAATACCGCTTCCACAATCTTTCGTTCTCATGCATTTAAAGCAAAGCCGATATCAAATACAATCAGGCAAATGTCTGGGCCAAGCTTAGGCAAATGAAGTCGTATGATATGTGGTCAGAGTTGAAATGAAAAATGAAAACATAAAATCACTTTTCCTGTACATAGCTATTGATTGCTGGAAAAATTCATTTAAACGAACTGTTTCACTATGCGGAAAGTCATTTCGTTCACCAAAAAACTGTCGAAATAAATTGAAAGCATTGGCCAGCAAAATAATCTAACCATACGGGAACGATATCAATTTGCCTCCGATGTGTGCAAACAAAAAGAAAAGAGAAACGGAGATTATTTGGCACTTTGTTTTAGTACGAATGCCCAAAAGAAAAATTCGATTTTTTGCTGATAAAATATGTTTTGATTTGCAGACATTTAGTTGGCAGTTAGTTTTCCCAGTTGGACGAAGTTTTTCAAACCAGAATGACAATTTGATTAGTTCAAAACGAGTTAAAATTTGTTTTTGGCTGGTTTTGTTAAGCCACAAAACTTTGCGACAGGTTTTTATGAAAATTCCATTTAGTTTTAATGATAAGTTCGTGGGGAAAAATCATAATCAATTAATTTGTGAAATTTAAAGGTTTTTGTTTTTAAGGATACATTTATAGTTTTGATTAAAATTATGAATTAATTGTGTCCCTTTTATTAAGCTGCACAAAAATAGATGTTAATAAAACTGGCTCTCATGGCGTATACATGATGGTTTTTTGACATCACGTATACGCCATGCGAGCCAGTTTTATTTGCATACTTTTAGGATCTATTAAAATCCTTTAAACGTAGACAAGTCACTTTAAATATACGCTACGACAGACAAGTGAGGCATTTAAACATAACATGCAACAGCATGCTCAAGTTTCAAAATTTCTGAGACTCCTCGCCGACTTCTTAGTTTTCTTTGGTTCAACTCTCAGCTGGATTTCGGGGATTGTCGGAAACTTGTCTTCACTTTTGACTTGTTCTCTGTGCGAAAGGCACAACGTCGGCAACTACAACAAATGACTCATTTTCCACGCACTTCATTCTACTGTTGCCGCCTTCAGTGCCAAAAGTTTCTCGCCAGTCTGTGCAAAACCAAACAATGCCGTCGAGGGGGAGGATGAGCAATCAACTTCTTGCTTCCTTGATATATATACCCCCCAGTTTTGCATTTCATATGGCCTGGATATTTATCATAAATTTGACTGCTCTACGCTATTGCTTTGATGCGGTTTCCTCTTACTATCCCGCTTTTATCTCGCCCTGGCAATCGCCTTGATTCATAAATTATTTCATATTTTATTTCCTCTGCGTGATGCAACAAAAAAGAAAGACTAAATAAATAAATGCACGCTGAGCACTGAGAAACACGCAAATATATACAGAATGTTCGCCTTTCGAGAAACGACTATACATATTTCAGTCTCTGCCCCACGGCGATGCAATAAAATGTCTGCTTCTGCTGATTTTGTCTGGTCTTGTCCAAGCATTGGCCAAAGTAAACATAATAATAATAACTCCAACTGCAACTTAAATGTTCCTCTTTGGGATGCTTCACGTTTAACATACCAGTAAAGTGCATAGAAAAAATGGAAAGTTGTAAAATGGGGCCAAATTAACAAAACTCAACAAAGAATGCGCAATAAAGAAAAGCTGTATAATTAACTGAAAAATGAAACTAAAATTGTGAAGTGTCATTTAACGTTATCTTTAATATCAGATAGGTAAACTAGACAGAACGTGACTGCGTTCCGGTTATCTTAATATAATATATATATGTATGCTTGTTTACATTCAATCATTAGTTAACTTGTTGACTGAAAATACTCTATTACAGAATGCAGTAAAATAATTGGCGTGGTAAATTTTTAAATTAACAATTACATGCGATTTTCTCCAACTATTTTTGTTTATCAAAACATCTAATAGCACTTAGCCCCACTCATAACTTTAAAAAATTGTTTCCGATTTATAAGATATATTTAGCTAATTGTTATTTAAGCACTTTTTTTTTGTAATCAGTAAAACTAGTTTTACTAATGAAAGCTACGAGTTAAGAAAGTGTGACTTTGCACATTTCGTAAATTGTAATTTCCCACAAAAAAAACACAAATTTAGAATTTAGGTTTTAGGGCGTTTTATTTTCCCAATTTATTTAATTAAAAAATTTGTAGTTTCTGGAACCTACCGCATACTTTTCCTGATTTATCTAATCCATAAGCAATTGAATTTATTTTTGCGTTAAGTTTCTGATAAATACAATAACAAGTCACCGTGTAAACTTTACACGTATAATTTTTATGAAGCGATAAGTGTGGCAAATATTGATAATAGGGTTTATCTTTTTGTTTAGAAATTTACTCTTCTATTTTTTCGCCAGTTTTGCAGTAGAACCAATGATCAGTATAGCAAACACCTCCTTTAGTTCGGGCAGCCCAATAGGCATCCTTCACGTTGTCGGATACACTCTTGGGCCGGCCAGTTGGAACGAAAAACCAGATTTCATAGGTGGGATTGTACGACAGCACCTTGCGTTCCAAACCCTCAGAACTGAAGGAGATGTAAATAAATTTATTAAGGTAATTGTATATTCATGGTAAGGAGTTACCTTTGCTGGCTGGCTGGCAGCAGCAGGATAATTGCAATTATTATTGCACTCGGGTTCATGTCGTTGGTGTCGGACTTACTGATGGCGAATGTGAGTTATTTGTGTTTTCACCTGCTATTATTTACGAGCCACTCGAGGTTATCGCCTCGCGTTGTGCTGTTGAGTGCGATAAAGTAGTGTGATGTCGAAATGGCAGCTACGAAAAAAAAACAGAAAGTTGCATGCAATGCCAAGCCAAAACGAAATAGAAATGAATTAGAGCTTACCTCCGGGTTGCCAGCATGTTTTGGCCAAAAGTGAAGGATGAAAAACCAGCAAAAAAAACAAGCAATTTTTGTTTTTCAATTTTTTTTTATATTTTGTGTGGAAGCTAAAAATTACAGGGCATTTTGTAGTCGTGTTGGTAAACAGAGCGTATGAGGAATATATTGTCACTTGCCTTCAGTCTGTTTTTTAAGTCTACCCTTTTAGCTGGCAAAGAAGGCCAAATTTTTAATATAAACACGACGAATAAACACATTATAAAGGTAGGGCACCAACGAAAAGGGTGAAGCCTTCACTTTTCATTGTCCGGAATTGGGTAAATAAATAAACAAAAGGAAAAATGGGAGCAAGTCAAATAAGGGCCCGGAAAAGACATCGTCTTTAATATTTCTGTGTGCGGTATATGAATGAGCAAACAATTGAGCCAAAACCAACAAGAAACCAAACAATAACATCAAATGCAATCGTGGACAATGGCAGGCACTTCTTTGCACATTTTTGTGCAAACAAATATGAATATTTATCTTGTCCGGCAGTAACGCCCTCAAAGCAATCTCCACTCATAAAGAAAGTCAAGTGAGATAGTTTGTTGTGCAGTTTATAATTTGCAGTAAAGTTTTCGTTTTCATTTCCTTTTCAAGGTACAAATTGTATTGCTCTTGTTTTACTTTTAAAGTAGCAGAAGATGGTTTATTTTCTAGGACAATGGGTTGTCATTCGTCATGATTTGGTGCGGCCTTGCATGCAATAGCATAATAAGCCAACCGAATAGCTCCACTTCGCCCCCACTTTATGCATTTCGTGCGGCAGTCAACACTCATACGCCTCGTTGCACGGGTTGCTGCACGACTCGCTTCATTGTTGTGGCATATTGTTTCACATTTAGAAGCCGCCCAACCACAGGCAACAGGCAACTATGCACGCAGATAAAAAGATGATCTGGAATACATCTTACCATAAATAAATAAATAATCTTGTATGTAAAATATTTAAGATCCAAATCTTTTTATAGAGGTTTTTGTAAAACAAATTTTGCTTATGGAAAGTTAGGATTACGAGATAGGTATAGGTACGTTGGTACTTTAAGCTGAAAAATAAATATTGATAGTAATGATAGTTAGAGAACCAAAATCTTGCTAAAATGATCAACAATTAGCATTTGGAAAATAGTAAAATTACATTTAAAGGTTTTATTCTTTATTTATTGAAGCCAGTATTCTCTGAGTGCAGCCACAACGGAGATCTGAATGCATATCGCAGCGAGGGCACATATGCAAGAACGAGCAAACGTGCCGGCATGTGCTCGTCCTGGAGTTTTGAGATGCCAGACGGAGTGGTATGTGTTGGGCCGCCAACTGCCGAAAATAGTTGCATATAAAGTGCTTCGAATTTAATTAAATTATTGTTGGACACTGTGTGCAGCTGATGGCAAGACAATATATAGTTTAGTTTTCAGTTTCAATTACAAACGAAATCCCAATTAAGTTACATTTTAATGTCCGGTTATGACAACCCGGACTGCAGACTTCTTGGCCTCGGCTCTCGGAAACACTATCCCTGCATATGGGTAATACGTTAAGTGCTTCGCCTGACTCCACTACAGTAATAAAAACAACAAGGGAAAACAGATCCCCAAGGGGCAGAAAACGCTTAGCAGATTAGCCAGGGTATTCTTTTTCTTTTTGATTAAAGTGCGAACATTTACCAACAATACCGAGCTTGCCAGGACAATGGCCGAAAGCCAAATCAAATCAGCTGCAAACACTAAACAAAACGGACCAGAAACAGGAACAAAATGAAAGCAAACAAAGAAAAGGCGAAAAAAATGCTGATGGAAAAAAAGGACAAATCCGTTGTTTTTCTTTTCTTTTTTTCTTTTTTTGACATTTCAATCAGCATTTTTCATGGGACTCACACATAAACACAAACACATAAAAGAAAACGTTAAGGAAATCGCATTATAGGAAAACATTTGACCATTTTTCATGTCCTGCCAAAACAAATGTCAAACAAAAATTGAATTGTGGCAAAAAGATGACAGTGCCAGAACGCGCAGTAAATGTTCGAAGTTGAAATATCCGCATTAAATTGTGTATACCCGGCGTATGAGTAATTTCATTGGGAAAGCACTTTCGCACAGCATGTGCACGACAGAAAAGATGCGAAAAAAATTAAATAATATTATTAGTAAATTAAAAAAAAGAGAAACAGAATTTGATTACAGGTTGCGGTCGCATGAATGTCAAAGCTATGCTATGTGCGGACATTTTTTATTCCGTTCAGTTGATCCTATTTGCCTTAAATGAATTCCTATCATTTATCCTTTTCCAATTTAATATTTAAATTCCTCTGACAGACCGCAGCCAGAACGCTTGCCTTATCCGTCACCCTCAGACCTTTTATGCCTGGGAATTACCTACGATTCAGGCACTTCCGCTTAAAGCCTTATGTAAATCCTGACCTGGCATCACCGGAAATACATGAAAAATGGACAAAGTCCGCAGAAATGCCTAGCCTGCAACCCCCCACAGTAAATACTGGGGAAAAAAATGGTCTTTCATTTAAATTTACGCGCCAACTTGAGTACAATAAAAGCAAATGTGAAACAGTTGCCCCGCAACGAACAGCAGCGCCAGCAAGTAAAATGTAAAGTCCAAAAGTCCACTTAACAAGAAAATTGTTTCCATGAGCATTTTTTTTCCTGCCCTATGCATTAAAACCATTTTCATACCCGCGCTTATTATTAGCTCTGCCAGCGTGTGGGTGAAGGTAGCGCCATACAAAATACTTTGCACATTTTTATGACCGTGACAGTGGGACCAAGGAGCCCATGGAAACCTCTGGCTCCTCCCGACTCTCGTCCACGCTCTCCTTCGCTTTTCCCATTTCCCATTTTCAGCCTGCCTTGCCTGCCACCTCCATTATGTCACACTCCTCACCCACGCCAAGGATACCCAAACAATTTTCCCCAGAGTTTATGAGCGTGAAAAAATGTTTACTGGTTAGAGCTTCAGAACGCGCCAACATGTTTTTTGTTTCGCTCCTTAATTTTTTTTGCGAAATAAAGTCACTGTTTTATGCTGCAGGAAAAAAGGTAATTAAAATGGTTTTTTTTTGTAGACCAAAAGAGCGAAGCATGTCACGGGGAGATAAAGTCCTTTATTTTAAGTTACAACGTTTGAATTTCTACTAGAATAATAACATTTACGATCAGAATAACTGAAATCTGTGCCTAAAGAAGTTAAACCAAAAATACCAGGATCCTTTTTACTTAATATTTGATTTTCTTTTCCCATTTTTAACAGGCTCAATTATTGTACAGTGCCGTTTGCTAGTTTCGCTTTCAAAATTCATAACTCAATGGCAAGGTGGAAAAGTGTAAAAACAAAAATAAGGACATTGATTTCGTCCTTATCGTTCGTTTCGTGCCATTTCACTTCATTTACTGCGACGTTCGAAACCGTCTCCAAAACTCTGAAGCCTGAGTCCAAGACTGATTTCGTTTGCGGTCTGTGTTTCAGTTTCGGATTGGGATTGGGATTGGAATTGGGTTCGGGTGAGATTTGGGTCTTTCCTTTCGCATTAGGCATCATCAAGGTCCCCCATTCGAATGCCCGTTCACCGCATCCTCATCAGTTGCGCTTCATTGTGTTTTATTCGCTGCCGCTGTTATCGCATGTTAACACTTCATGGCAAATCCCAGCCAGCCAGGCCGTCCGGCTGATGTCCTTTCCCATCATCATTGGAATGACCTTTCGTTTTGGGGCGTGTATGGCATGTAGGACTGTGTGAATCCCCAAACACGCTTAGTTAGTTTCTGCCACACGCTTTGCGTGCAAAATGTCAAAATACATTTTACTCGGATTTATGGTCACTGGCCGCCACCAACTCCTCTCACTCCACATCCTCGGCGTATATGCTTGTGGGATTTGTGCTTGTCTTTGGCTATTTTTGGGGATTTACACGCTTATCACACAAACACACACATGCTCTGGACGAAATGAAAATATTATGCTACATTTCATTAAAGGCGCACACTCAGAACACATCCCTACATCCTTGAATGCTTTACAGCCACTTAAAATAGATTAGCTTTCAACGTTTCGGGCTCTTAGGCAAAACAAAACTGACTGAAAAAAGGCAAAACGAATGAAGGAAATAATAAATAGCCATACCATAATTCATGTCGGTTTCTTTCTTGTGGGGTCTCGTCCGTAGATGTAATAGAAAATCCATTGAAAACATAAGCAACTGTCAATGATTTAATGTCTGAAATCAGAAATAGTTATACGTGACAGGTCGCACAGATGCCAAGTTCGAGGACCCCGACAAAACGACGTTTTGATAAATGAAATGGCAAACATTTGAAAGCCAACAACTTCTCAATCACGGTTGGCCAAATCCAGTGAAAGTGGCCACAGTGGAATGAAGACATCAAGAGGGAGCGGAAATAGCAGCCATCATAAGAGAGTACTTGGTTCTCGAAGGGAATCAATTTATTTCCCTTTTCAGGCCAGAAATCTTTTAGTCCCATCGATTATAGGCCCCAAGCTCGGCCCAAAACTGAGACCTACTGAAAGGGATCTCTCTGCTCGCTTGATAGCCAATCCAAACCCCTTCATATTTCATTTCATTCACCACGGCATCTTCAGAGTTATGGCAGCATTTGGTCCTTTCGAGAGCTTCACATCATCTCACGTCAAGTCTGCGAAAAGGCCAAACTAAAAATGCTCTTTCGCTCCATGTGGCCCCATCATCGCAATCTGTGTCCTGCTGTTGCCGCAGCTTCCACTGCCATTATTGTTCCTTCAACTTGCTGTTGCCGAGCAGCGCCAAAGCGTCCCACAAAAAAAGGGCAAAATATTAGCTGCCTCTCAATCGTTCAGCTAAAGGAAAACTCTAGAAAAAAAAAACGAAAGAAAAAGAGGTCAGTGGTGGGTTCAAAAAAAAATATATAAAATGGTTTATTTATGCAAATTGTCAATGGTTTTTGCTCTTCACAAGATAGACGAGCCGAGAGGCCCGGCTGCTTTTAACCGAATTGCCTGCCAACGGAGTGGCAAACCCATTGACAGAACAGAAGCACTTCCAGAGTGCGCGGCTGAACCTCTAATTGAAATGTATTCCAATGAACTGGAGTTGCTGGGGCCATTGTCCGGCGGACCAAAGCAAACAAGCGCCAAGCAATTGGGTAGAGCAAATGAGCAGCCCACAAAAGCAGGCCATAAAATATTTACTTTGCCCGCTAATAGCGTTACTTGGCCTACACCAAAACATACTCGCACAAACACTTGCGTACCGGATTTGCCATGCCAAAACTTCATAAATGCTGCGATGCGAAACACTGTAATGCCCGCAATCTACACAATTTTCATTGTAAATTTCACCCGCCACCGCAATTTCAGCTGCATATTTGTATAAATGATAATCAAATGCAGAGTTTTACCCTAATTTATCACCTAAACGCGTGTGTTAGTCTGACTAGCCGGTTTTGGGAAATATTTTTTACCTTTTCCGCTTTTCAAACCCCAGTCGGTGGTACAGGTTAACAGTATAGCTTTATCTACACCACACTAGGGCTTTGGGTTTTCTGTTTACCTCTGCTGGCCCGAATGACAGTTTGAATAGCCCTTTGGCAGGACACTTTATATTACTGTCTGGGGGATGTGTGTGTGTGTGTGCCCGAGTGGCTGTTGACCATTGGAATGGCCGGCCATCATCAAAGCGGATGCCCTCAACATTTATAGCTAACCAATGACAGTCTAAACCATTAACTGCAGCGGAATGTGGTTGTTGAGCGCACTTAGATGCATATAATTGCTGCCATATGTTGTCTGCCTCTGGGCTTTTTTTTATAAAAATATCCAATTAATTATTCATTGTTATTGTTTCCTTTATTATGATTAATAGCTACTTAATATTGAAATGTTAATAATATAAATGAACTTTAATTTAATACAATCTCATTTATCAATACATTTACAAAGTTATTTTGATTTTTAATCGAAATTATTCACGACAACTAAAGGTTTTTCTTTGAAAACGTATTTTCCTAATATCAGATAGCATGGGCCTAATTTTACAAGAGCATTCTTCAAGCTTTGTAACAAGGTGTAGCTTTTTTCAATGTTTTTTTTTTTAAACAAACAAAGCAAATCGTTCGCGTTTAGCCCTTCAAGCCGTCGCTAATTGTCCCAGTCAAACGATTCGTTTTGCCTAATGACTCTGTTTCCTGGCCTTAGTTTTCTTTCCAAAAGGTAACAGGCATCTACACATTGTCCATGTTGGATAGCCAAATAACGTTGGGGCTTTTGCAGCTTTTTCTCTTGCTGGGCGGCTCCGGATCTTCCCCGCTAAGTAAGCGTAGGTGAGCTCAAAAAAATGGAATCCCAAACAAGTTCAGAAACAGTTTCGTTCCTTTTTCCGTTCCCTTAGCTTGCGGGAAACACGAGGAGCGAGCCTGTTTGCCCTGCACTGAGCCTACATGTTCGTATCCCTACATTAGTGAGCCAAACTGTCCTTTCTTGAAAAAATGTCAACTGGGATGCGGCTGTAAATTTGGATATGTGCGCCACGATCTTAGCAAACTGTGTATTCCTGCCCGAAAGTGTCGGACCCCAGTGCATCAAATACCGATTCCATTCTTGTAAAGTATCCTTTTTAGGATACTTACATTGAAACGGTATTCAGTTAATGATAATACCTAAAACAAGATAATATTTTTGGGTATTTTAATACTTTCAAATCTGAAACTATATATTTATATTTGAAGTTTATATGTTCCTCTATGTTTGGAATTGAGAGTCAAAGTTCTGATTCTAACTTTCCATTGAATTGAAATTAAATGAAAATGTTTTTGCACTAAATAAGAAATAAATCAAATTGTAGAGTCTCAGGGTTTACAGCCTCTAGTATTATTGTCTTTGTCAATTTACAGGCGACAGGATTTTTACGGGCTTGTATTTTGGTCCTTCGTTTCTACTGCTGTTTCATCCACTTGGTTTCAGCTCTCTTTCTTTTTATGACAACAACACGAAATTGTGTCTTGGGAATTCTATGTTTTTTGCAGCAAAAGTTTTATTGTTGATTTTTGCGGTGCTCGAGATTTACGACGCTGTCGGTGTCCTGACCCCATTTCAAGGAAATGGTTTGGTTTTTGTGACCTGCCGCCAGTTCATAAAGCATACAATCTTAAATCTCTGCTCCCAGATTTCTCTTCCTGTACCACATAAATATTAATTTAGCCGCAGTTACTCTCGCTCTTTTTACGTTTCTTTCACTTTGGCCCTGGCTTTTGATATGTGACATTTGTTTGCTTGCACTTTACTTTATGAATGGAAATTATTGCCCAGCATTTTTATTATTTTTGAGCTTGTTTTTATTGCTGGCTGTCGTTATGTTCTTGCTGAAGTTAAATGGCTTCTTTGTTGGCTTTTATGAACGTAATCAGCAGCAAAGTGATTGCCAACATTCATAAATAGGGAAGTAATGGGCATTTTATTAAGTCAACCTGTTTGGACGATTGCAAGTTCCCTCCCATAAATTATTATGTAAATGTATATAACTAAAGAGGGAATGTCCCAAAGGACAATAAATTCATTCATTGAATGCATTGATGTTACTGCAAACTAAACTAATCTTTTATCTTGGGAGTTTCTCTATTGAAATTTACATGCTTTTGGATAACTACAAAAATGCACTTCCGTTTTGTTTAGACATAGTAAACTGGAATCGGCTTTATTTAGAATCCGGTTTCAGCGATTATTTGTGCATGCTCATCAATTATTTAGCATATTTTATAAAATTCTATTGGCTCACAATTTGATTACCCAATGGAACGGCCCGAAAAAGCGAAGAGCACATTTTGCATATCCGCTAAGCTAAATTAAATGTTAATGCTTCCGCTGTTTGTGCGTTCTAATGCGCATAAATTTCTAACAAATTTAACACAAAATGGTTATTATTATATTATTTCACTAGACTAGCCACGGGCTTTGGGAGGAATTTTAATGGGCAGGCATAAAAGCAATTATGGCCCAGGAAAAGTGTTCATACGCTGGCAGACACAAAACTGTTGTTATTATTATTTTTTGTGGCGGCTGTGGGCCATTTAAGTTTCGTCGCCGAAGCTCTGAAATAAAATTAAATTTCCCATTAGTGGTAGGCTTTTCGTCTCATTTCTGCCACACCAAATTGTATTTTATGCGTATTTACATGCTCCATATAAATGTATTATGTTTTAATTTATAGCTTGTCATTATGCCCTCGTCTTCGCTCTTGACCATATGCTTTCGCTATCTTTTTTAAACTTGAACATTGTAATTCGGTTTACGAACAAGAAGTGTTTTTAAAAGCTCACTTCAAGTGCTAGTAAGTGACTTAAGCCACTAAACAACTTGACAACAATATATTAGAAACAAATAAATCGAACGAGAGCCGCAAAGGGGATTAGGGAAAAGAGCCCTTGGACAGGACTCCGGCGATATCCCCGGATCCGGTTGGGGGAACAAGTTGGGGGACCACTTCTCTTGCCCTTTCTCCCTTTATAATCGAAACAGTGAGCTGTGCTGGCCACAATAAATTCAAAACTTTTCGCCCCCAGGGCAGCACACCTCTTTTGCTGAGGATATTTTTTTTCATCCCTCGCTTTTCTGGCCATTTAAATGGCGAACTTTTATGGAAACAAGCTTACACGCATTCCTGCCGCTCCCACAAATGCACGGTTCGGTGGAGAAAGGACTTAAGGATAAGGAGGGACAGGACGGACCATGGCAACCCATGGAGCTCTTAATTCCTTATGGCCAACAACGATTCCGCCCGCCTGCCAATTGTTTAATGAGCTGAGTTTTCTCGGTTGTTTTCTCCACTTTCTTGTTGCGTGTTTTGCTCATTTTGGTTCTACTAAGCAGCGGAAATCGTCAGATAAGAGAATTTCACCAAAGTTGTTCATTTTAATCGAGAAACTTTTGTCTAGTTTGATTGCCATGAACTATGTATGTGTGGGAGTTCTGACTTGTGGACAGCTGAGGTCTTGTTTTATCTTTTATGAGGCCTGGCTGTTGAGAAAATTGACAAATAATGATAACGACAAGAAGAAGCTGCTTGGTAAAAACTTATTCTAATTATAAAGTTTTCAAACGCAAATAGTTGGCTGTCTAAAAATGTTTAAATATTTCTGTAGATATATAAATGGTAGGAGCTGTGGGTGAAAAAAAGGTGGCAAAAGTTGTATTGAAATTCAAAAAAGTAAAATGTTTGGAAAATTGTTGTAGCTAATTTTATTTTTAAGATCAGTAGCTAAAATTACAGGATAGCTATAAATCGTATAAGTATAAACACACAATCCAGTTAGAAATTCAATCCGTGATAAAGCCAATAAGAATTTTGTATTTCAAAATCCTCCCCTAATTTTGATCCTTCCAATTTCTAACAGCCACAATAATGTTATCGGCCTGAAAATATGCCACACAATGTTTGCAATCCTTTAAGCTCCTCAGTTGTGTACATTTTCATCGTACCGCCATAAATATTATGGCGAGTAAATATTAAATTTCTTCGAATAGCTTTTATCCAATTTAATTGTTGTGAGTGCAATGAAATGGGGATAAACCCTTGTTCGATATTAATAAGCCTTGAGTACGTGCCATAAATAAGAGTGAACATTCCGCCGAGCAAATAAAGTGCTACCAACAAAGAATAAAAAAAGGAAAAGGCGAGCGTGATGGAAAAATTGCAGAATCCTTCACTGTGAGATAAATGAAGTTGTGAGTAGTTGGAGGACCCACCTGTTTCGAACGAAAAATATGCATTTAATCCTGATGTGAATTTAATTAATGCGGAAAATAAACACTCTTGCACAAGCACATACTCCAGCTCTTTGCAAATTTTCAACCAATAAATTTATTTTAAGGCCCTTGTCGGTAGTGAAAATTAAAGATGAAACGGCGATAAATATTTTTGCACTCTGGTCTCGGTAAATCGAATAAAAATGGACTTACTCCGTGTATTGGGGCCGGGCATTAAGGGCTTAATTTAATGGGTACACCCACCGCCGATATTCCCCCTGCTTGCAACTCCATGTAATATTTAATGTTTGCTCTCCTCTTCAACCGCAGGTATGCGCACTATCCAAACGCGCCGTGATACTGCAATCCTCGGATATGCTCGCCTACAATGAGCTCCCACTCCATCAGGCCAACAGCATTAATGGCAACAATGTGGGCGGGATTACGGCCATGGCCTCGAAGTCCTCTGCCCCGCAGAACATCATCGCCAATGCCGGGCTGAGCTACGAGGATGTGCTGAACGATGATTTCCAGTTCGACATGGATGGCCACGACGTGATGGTCTTCCTGCACATCCAGAAGACGGGCGGCACCTCGTTTGGCCGCCATTTGGTGAGGGATCTGGACCTGAAGGTGAGTTCACACTATGATTGAAGCCATAAATGAGCACTGCTGACCGATATTTACTTATAGCGTCCCTGCGAATGCCAGCGGCAAAGGAAGCGCTGCTACTGCTTCCGACCGCATCGCAACGAGAACTGGCTCTTCTCCCGCTACTCGACGGGCTGGAAGTGCGGCCTGCACGCCGACTGGACCGAGCTGACCAGCTGCGTGGACGTGGAGCTGGACAAGAACGAGGGCGAGACGGCCAAGCGGCGCTACTTCTACATCTCGCTGCTGCGGCAGCCCATTGCCCGCTACATGTCAGAGTACCGGCATGTGCGGCGAGGGGCCACCTGGAAGGGATCACGGCACTGGTGCCTGGGTCGCCAGGCCACCGCGGCCGAGCTGCCCGCCTGCTACAAGGGCAAGGACTGGCTGGACGTGGACCTGGACCAGTTCGCCGGTTGCGAGTCCAATTTGGCGGCCAATCGGCAGACCCGCATGCTGGCGGACCTCGCCCTCGTCGGCTGCTACAACAAGTCCTCGATGAACGCCCATGAGCGGGATCGCGTGATGCTGGCCAGCGCAAAGCGCAATCTGGCCGCCATGGCCTACTTTGGACTGACTGAATATCAAAAGGTTTGTTTTTCTTGGGTTTTTGTTAAGAATAGCATTACACATCGTTTTCCCCACCTCATTTTAGATGTCCCAGTACATATTTGAGGAGACCTTCAACCTGCGCTTCGCCATTCCCTTCGAGCAGCACAATACCACAATCTCGGCGACTGCTGTCCAGAATCTTCGACCCGACCAGAAGCGTCGCATCGAGAAGCTCAATGGCCTGGACATTGAGTTGTATGCCTTCGCCAAGACTTTGCTCTTTCAGCGGTGAGTACTGCCCCTGCTCGCGAGCTATGTATTGATATTTATAACACTCAGCTTAATTGGCTTATGTGCCGATAGAACATGGCTTTAGTTATGTTTTTGTGCGCCCCTTGTTAGTTATTGTCTGGCCGGAAAACCTGATCACAAGTCGTGGGTCCGGTTCTCTGGATCATTCCTTGCGTAGCATCATCGGGACTTCTGGTCGAAGGTCGATGACTCAGGTCCATGTTCCTTGCAGCGCTTTGTATCCCATGAGGGTGCAAAACCCCTTTGATCATCAGGGGGCAAGCCAGTCGACGCGTCCTTTGTTGCCGTCACTTTGTTCCGTGTTGACATTGGCTCTGGCAAAGGATATTGTGCGGAAGGAAAGCAGAATGGATCCCATGGAACCATCATTAGATCGCGTTACTTTTTAACGCATTCAATGAACAGCGGTTATGCATGGACAGGCATGGGAAAATTATACTGAAGGTGTCTCAGCGCAGGGAAATTGTCATTAACATCATTTATATTACTTTGGGAATGATACAAAAAAGGATCAGTTAATTGTGAAAACCTTTTCTCATTTTAATATAAAAAGAGTTACGAAAGAAACCACTAATAACTGATGGTAAAACTACAAGTATAAATATTTTTTGATAGATACATATCTATGAGTATTTTAAAGCAGTTTTCATCGTGGAAATGTAGTTAAATCTTTTTTGTTCATGGGATTTTTCTGATTGACATTGGGTAAATTGGTCAAATCGGAGACAATAAAATAACACAGGTTTTCCTCTACTAGAAATAGGAGTCCTACAATGCCTTCCATATCCTCCTTCTTGATTCCAAAGGATACAAATCTGTTTTCCTTGTTTCAAGCACAGCTGTGTGTGGTTGACCCACCCAGAATTTCATGCCTGCCTGCTTTAACCTAGAATTATCACCTCCCAGTTGCTAGAATCTTCCGGCTATTGTTTGCCATCAAAGAAACAACCAGGTGAGCAGTTGTGACAGTCTCACTGGAGAGAAAGAGGGGGAAATGGCAGGAGACAGAGGCAGCTACCGCAGGATCAGCAGGATATCATGAGGGTCTCTCGTCAGATTAGCGATGGCAGATTGCCCAACTCCCTGCCGTGATCACAGAGAAAATCAATTTTCCTGACGCATTTCCATTTTCCACGCAATTAAAACAGCCTCAATTCAATTCAACTCATCGCGCAGGCGCGACTCGCCCCTTTCCAACGCACTTCCGACGCATTTTCCTTCTAATTATGCGGGCTTCGGATTTCGTATCAAATTAACAACTTATGCTGGTTGCCAGCTGGGTTGGAGCCAACGGATAATGTAGCCCATCAAGTAATATCCTTGTACTCGTAGTCGCAATCCTCGAGAGCAATCGCATTTGTAGCCGTCGAAGGGAAGAAGAAGGAGAACTCCAGACAGATGTGAGTGTGTCTCTGCTCGTCCGCCACGGAACATTTCCTATATCTGAGCTAGGGAATGCGGAACCCCGTCGTCCTATATACACCAATACCCATCTACCCATCTTCCTACCCCTACTCCGATTTTGAACCCTACTCGTGCTGTCTTGAACTACAATTGCAACATTTGCGCGCGCTCAAATGAAAACATTTTCTTCACGTATACGAAGCCGACGTCTTGACAAATACACAGATATGACGACTAGGGATAAGGAATTGTGGCACGAACTACCACCAAAAAAAGTAGACAGGAATACAAGATCATGTAGTTAAATCGAATTTGAAATACTCTTGAATTCATTACGTTTTGTAGAAATGGTCAATTACAAAGCAGTTTATATCGAATCATTATCGGATATAGTATATAGAAGTATTTTACGTAACATTGCTAACCAAATATTTTTTACTTTAAGCAACAATGTTAGTTACAATTTAACTATCGGTACAGAATAAGTGTATCTTAACTTAAAACAAAATTAGGTCAAATAATTTAGTTCCTTATTAGTTTGACAATATACTTAGCTTACGATGTCTTGCCATTGTAAATACAGTAATTAAAAAAATAAACAAATAGTGATTCTAGATTCACTAACACATTTATTATATCTCAGCTAATGCAATATAACTAAACCGTTCTCTTTTGGTAATCAGTCCTACACCTAAACGGTTTATTATTACACAAGCCGTAAATGCTTGAACCAAAATAGTTATACATAGTTAGCACTAAATTTATTAATAAAGCATTATTTAATTTAATGTTTTCGCATCAGTTTAACGATCTGGGAAATACCCAACCTGAAATAGGGTATGCCACACAGAGGTGAGACAACGTAGGATCGTTGCAGCGACCCTTGCTCGAGGGTTGTTTTCCTCGTTTCCTATCTCGTTCCCACCCTCTGCCTGTCCCGCTCCCTCGCGCTCCGCCAGCTGAACGCGATGTCTACCTCAGCGATCCTGGACAGAAGGTGAGCTCAGTTAGGTTTTGACAGCGGAACGCGTAGGTACAGCGAAACGGGTAGCAACGGGATAGCGGGTTTAGTGTAGAACAGAACAGACCACAAAGTACAGAAACCGAAAATTTCAAACGAACTACAGACGATTTGTTAAACAGTTTACCTGAAAAAAGAAAAAAAAAACCAAACCAAAAGTTAAAGTTGTGTTTATGTTTGATCGTTGAGTTATTGTTATTGCAAAAGTTAAACGAGCGTTATTTATGAGACATTGAGACCAAATCCAAAGAAATCGTAACAAAGTTAAACGAGAAATCTCACCCACAAAAAGAAAACATAAGTTCGAAAATGTCTTTCTCCAAGGCCAAATTGAAGCGTTTCAATGACGTGGATGTGGCCATTTGCGGATCGCCAGCTGCCTCCAATAGCTCGGCTGGTTCAGCGGGCAGTGCCACGCCCACCGCGACGACGGCAGCCACTGCTCCGCCCACCGTTCAGCCGGAACGCAAGGAGCAGATCGAGAAGTTCTTCAAGGATGCGGTGCGCTTTGCATCCAGCTCGAAGGAGGCCAAGGAGTTTGCCATTCCCAAGGAGGACAAGAAGTCGAAGGGATTGCGCCTGTTCCGCACTCCTTCACTGCCGCAGCGCCTGCGATTCCGTCCGGCGCCCAGTCACACGGATACGGTCAGTGCCAGTGGCTCCTCCACAGCCGCCTCCACTCCTCTCCACTCGGCTGCGACCACTCCCGTGAAGGAGGCCAAGTCCGCCAGTCGTCTGAAGGGCAAGGAGGCCCTGCAGTACGAGATCCGGCACAAGAACGAGCTGATCGAGAGCCAGTTGAGCCAGCTGGACGTGCTGCGTCGCCATGTGGAGCAGTTGAAAGAGGCCGAGGCCAAGTTGCGGGAGGAGCACGAGCTGGCCACCGCCAAGACAGAGCAGCTTATCGAGGCCCTGACCAGTGAGAACATCTCGCACAAGGCCTTGAACGAGCAGATGGGTCAGGAGCATGCCGATCTGCTCGAGCGTTTGGCCGCCATGGAACAGCAATTGCAGCAGCAGCGCCAGGAGCACGAAAGCCAAGTGGAGACACTGATCGCCGAGAGCGAGGCACTGCGTCTGGCCAACGAGCTGCTGCAGGCGGCCAATAAGGAGCGTCAGGTGGTGGAGGAGCAGCTGCAGGCCCAACTCTCTGCCCTCCAGTCGGATGTGGCCCAGGCCCGCGAACATTGCAGCCTGGAGCAGGCCAAGACCGCCGAGAACATCGAGCTGGTGGAGAATCTCCAGCAGAGCAACGCCTCTCTCCTGGCCGACGTGGTCCAACTGAAGCAGCAGATCGAGCAGGATGCCCTGTCCTATGGACAGGAGGCCAAGAGCTGCCAGGCGGAGCTGGAGTGCCTGAAGGTGGAGCGCAACACCCTGAAGAACGACCTGGCCAACAAGTGCACCCTCATCCGATCGCTGCAGGACGAGCTGCTGGACAAGAACTGCGAGATCGACGCCCACTGCGACACCATTCGGCAGCTGTGCCGGGAGCAGGCTCGCCACACCGAGCAGCAGCAGGCGGTGGCCAAGGTGCAGCAGCAGGTGGAGAGCGACCTCGAGGGCGCCGTGGAGCGCGAGAAGAGCTACTGGCGCGCCGAGCTGGACAAGCGCCAGAAGCTGGCCGAGAACGAGCTGATCAAGATCGAGCTCGAGAAGCAGGACGTGATGGTGCTGCTGGAGACCACCAATGATATGCTGCGGATGCGTGACGAGAAGCTGCAGAAGTGCGAGGAGCAGTTGCGCAACGGCATCGACTACTACATCCAGTTGAGCGATGCACTGCAGCAGCAGCTGGTGCAGCTGAAGCAGGACATGGCCAAGACGATCACCGAGAAGTACAACTACCAGCTGACCCTGACTAACACCCGGGCCACCGTCAACATCCTGATGGAGCGGCTGAAGAAGTCGGACGCGGATGTGGAGCAGTTCCGGGCGGAGCTGGAGTCGGTGCAGCTGGCCAAGGGAGCGCTGGAGCAGAGCTACCTGGGCCTGCAGGCGGACGCGGAGCTGCTGCGCCAGCAACTGGCCGAGAGCCAGGAGGCGCTCTCCTCGCTGCGATCCTCCTCCCAGACGCTGCAGGGCGAGGTATCGTTGAAGGAGTCCTTGCTCCACGAACTGCTCGCCGGCGAGGCGGAGACGTTGGCTAAATTCAATCAGATTGCAAACTCGTTCCAGGAGCGCATCGACGGCGACGCCCAGTTGGCCCACTACCACGAGCTGCGGCGCAAGGACGAGACGCGCGAGGCCTACATGGTGGACATGAAGAAGGCCCTCGATGAGTTCGCCACCGTGCTGCAGTTCGCCCAGCTGGAGCTGGACAACAAGGAGCAGATGCTGGTGAAGGTGCGGGAGGAGTGCGAACAGCTGAAGCTGGAGAACATTGCCCTCAAGTCCAAGCAGCCGGCATCGGCGTCGCTCCATGGAACACCTGGCAAGGCCAACCGTTCGAACACCACCGATCTGGAGAAGATCGAGGATCTGTTGTGCGATTCGGAGTTGCGTTCCGACTGCGACAAGATCACCACGTGGCTGCTCAACTCCTCGGAGAAGTGTGTGCGCCAGGACAGCAACAGCGAGATCAGCGAGCTCCTGCTCGCCGGCAAGTCCTCGCCGCGTCCCACGCCCCGCACCCCCAAGGCGGCGCCGCACACCCCGCGCAGTCCGCGGACCCCCCACACCCCACGAACACCCCGATCGGCGGCCAGCACGCCCAAGAAGACCGTCCTGTTCGCCGGCAAGGAGAACGTGCCCAGTCCGCCACAGAAGCAGGTGCTCAAGGCACGCAACATCTAGACCATTCCTTTGTACCACCTACCATACTCTACTATTATAAATTATATACCTTAGCTAAGATCTGATTCGAAATATATTCAACACACTCATGTTGCACACAACACAGCCAGAGGTGTTTCTGAAATCGCTTTCGAACGAACTCCGACTAAATTCTAATTCTTTGTTGTTTTTCATCTTTTGTGTTTATTCTGGTAATTTGATATATCAGAGGTGTATGCTTTATGTTTCTATTTAGAAACATCTTTTCAATTAAATATCTTTTGGGACATCCTTTCAATCAAATATTGTTGGCTAAATTCATAGAAATTTGATATTTTAGTGTGTTTACAAAGGACCATTTTTAATCTCCGTCGATTGTTCTTAATTCCCTCCTACTCTTTAATGAAATTTGATAAGAAATAAACACTTCTTTCAATGCAAACAAAATGATTTGTATGTATCAATAATTTAATTGACCATTTTTAACAACTATGTTAAAATGAGATAAACAATAAAACTTATTTCTTTTCCAACTATTCGTATGTATTTTCAAATATGTTAGATGAAAAGTTTCATCAGGGTAACAACCAGAAAAGCAATAAAAAGTAAATTTAATTTCCAAAAGGCGCAATTTCAATTGTTAAAGACTGTACTCAAACAATAAGAAAATTGTTTACGCTTTTCTTGACAACCCTGAGGAACTCGTTTTGATTTCGATCCTCGGCTGTGATGGAATTTTCTCAGGCTGAACCTCATCCAGGAAGGGGTGAATTCAGCCAAGCAGGCCGATGGACTCTTGCAACGCTGATTACGCACACGTGGCCCTCGGCAACGCCTTATCCCCCTGGTTACTCGATGGGAACGAATTGCCTCCTCGGTTCCTTAGTTCCTCAGTTCCTCGAGCGAAACGGAACAGCTGCGCCTGCGCCTGCGCTTCCTCCTCAAGGGTGGTTTAACCATCTTGTATTAAGGTAGACGAAGCGAAGGGAAATACCTATGCACAACCACTGACAGCCAACAACAACCACTGGTAGCTGCAAGCTCGGTTCATTAATTGTGACTTAAGCCTGTTGACGGGGTTTTCCCTTCACCTTTTTTGTTTTTCCGCTCCTTTTCCTTCCCCTTAAAAATCTCTGGTTGCCTGTAGGGCAACCGGTCTTTTGTCTTGTGCCGCATAATGGCCGCTTATGACCTTTGACATTTTCTGCAATGCTCACAATGCCCCGGGGCAAGGTAAGTGAAGACTTGCCCAAGACGTGGATTTATTCATTGTGCATACAGCTGTACCAGCACAGTACCTCGGGCAGCTGCATCAACAATTGAGGGTTCCTTTTTTTATAGTGGGGTGCACATAAGAAAACATTCTATTGCGCAGAAGTAAATTGAGCAGCTTTTGTAGGAGAAAACGACAATGCCGAGGGTCGGTTGGGAAAATGGCAAGGGAAAACGGAAGGGAAATGCCGACACAAGTTGTACCGTAAATCCCCGAAGAAAGTAGATTACGCATTCAGACAAACGGTGATTAAGGTATTCGCCTACCTGAGTGAATACGCAGAAGAGAGATCTTCCGTGAAAAATTAGCATTTTCTTGTTTCACATTAATATACAGTTTGGACCTTGATTTATGTAGACATTTTTGACGGTCCAATTTTAAGAAAAACATAATTATTTTACTTGCAGAGTTTTAATGAGGCAATTTTTCGTAAAACCTTGGTACATTTAAAATTCTACTACTCATTGCTACATCAATTCCAATAAACAATTATTATTATTCAAATACACCGGCAATCCTTTATATTACTACTTATTTGCATCGTTAACCAATAATTGAATTTCCTCTTTGCAGTTTCGAACATCTGAAGGCAAAGGATACTAACTTTGAGCAGCGCTATGCCAACCTGGGCAACATCTACTTCAAGCAGGGCGTCACGGAATTCAACTGGGACAGCAATGTGGATGATGGACTCAGCTCGGATCATTGAACTCCAAACCAAATATTACCGATTAGAAACTAGATGTAGGACACACAAACTCATAAATATGTAGCTGGGCAGGGCAGAATAGAGGGGTGATCAGTAAGGTTACCAAAACGCAGAAGCATCAGCATAAAAATCAACCGAAGGACTTTAAACTAGCGTCTAAGCATAATGTTAATTAAGCAGATAAAAACATCTAGCGGACTTGGCTTGTTTCATTCATAAGTAACACAACTAAAGGGCAGATGAGCGAAATCTCAGAGCGCATATTATCTCTAAACCTAATCCTAAGCACAACTATAAAATCTATGACCATAAATGTACTCCTTGCTGATAAGTCGCAACCCGAAAACCTAGGGAAATGTAAATACTTTGCATACTATGTGTATTTTATGAAAGCGAAATCCCTTTCAAAACATTGTGAGGTGCAACCACACTCGAATTCAATTTTCACCCTCACACCACATCGCCATAAATTAGATTAATTAATTACCTTTAAGCTCATAGCCTTTCGTTTATTGTTACGCCAAGTCTCTGCAAAGCCAAATCCACACATAATTTAAGTGTATAGTGCTTGGAAAATGTTTTCGATCCAATAACGCATTTATTTTATTTTAATACTTAGACATCACTGTAAATACTGCAGAATAAAGTTAAACATAAATACACATTTAATAAGAGCATAGAAATTCACTTAGTTTCGTCTATTTAAATCTTATTGTTTTCGCCAGTCAAAGTGAACGAATGTAGAGTTGTTAGCAGACATCATTATTTCAGACAATAATTAATTGGAGATTGATACCAAACGAAAATGCAAAATTTTATCAAACAAAGCCAACGAAATATACACAAAGCCAATTGCCTACATCATTAACGAGCATAAACACATTGCCCAAAACAAAAGTAATGTAAAATATTTCAAATATTGATTAGTTGCATAATAATCTACAAGGCATGTGCCATTTTATATAGCAACCATAATTGAACTATGGAATTGCATATTTAAAGCAAGTTCGCAAAAACCATTTTATTTGCATTTTTATGATTTTGAAAAAAACATTTTGTAGCAAGCAAACACACATTGAGAATAAAAAACAATGCAAAAACAACAAATAAGAGCAGGTAAAATTGAATAAAACAAATGAATTATTGAAAATACAATATCATTCTTTATTTATTGCTTTTCCTGGTCACCAAAAGGTGGTGAGTGGGAGATATAAAACTCTTTGCGAGTGTTTCAAAATATGCAAAAAATCAGGTTCACCTTAAATTAATGCCAAAATATTGAAGGCATTTTTTAGGCTTATGGTAGACAATTATCATAAAATTTAAATTTGCTGCTTTGCCTTGGGGGTACTAATAAATATCAAATTAAATAGCGGGCTTTTGGGGATAACGAAAATTTAATTTTTATTATGGTATTATTATAATTTTAATTTGATTTTTTTTGATTTGCAAGCCTGTAAAAAAATACAAATTATAAATTTAAATTTTTAAAAATTCCACTTCCCATTAGGCACAAAATGTATCATACTAAATCAAAAACAAACCATTGTTGTGCAAGTCAAATGACCATTCACATTTAGATGGAAAATTTATTTGATCATTTTAAAGACAACAAGAAAGAAAAGCTAACTTCGGGCAGAGCCGAAGTTGATATACCCTTGCAGAATATTCTGTAAATTATATTCTCCAAAATTATTTATATGATGCATTCTTAATACTCATAAAAAATCCCAAACTTCCTAACTTTACAAACACCAAAGTTATGGCATTTCCGATCAATCAGTTATATGGCAGCTATAGGATATAGTCGTCCGATCCTTATGAAATTTGGTAAGTCAGACTGATTAGCCAAAAATAAAACCCATAGAACTTCCTAACTTGCTAACTTGAAAAACACTAAAGTTATGGCATTTTCGATCGTTCAGTTATATGGCAGCTATATGATATAGTGGCCCGATCCGTCTCGTTCCGACCTATATACTACCTGCAATAGAAAGACAACTTTTGGGAAAGTTTCAAGCAGATAGCTTTAAAACTGAGGGACTAGTTTGCGTAGAAACGGACGGACGGACAGACGGACAGACGGACAGACGGACGGACGGACGGACAGACGGACGGACAGACGGACTTGGCTTGATCGACTCTCCTGGTGATGCTGATCAAGAATATATATACTTTATAGGGTCGGAAATGTCTCCTTCACTGCGTTGCAAACTTTTGACTGAAATTATAATACCCTCTGCAAGGGTATAATAAATATTTATTAGGTACTAAACAGATCTTCCTCATTTTTCAACACCCCTACGTCATAGATGTTATAAATGCGAAGGAAACAAACCCAATAATAAGACATCACCCAGACGGAGCTAAAAATCTCCGACTAATTTGCACCAATTTGAGGGAACAACTAAACGGAAGAGCAAACATCGTTTTCCCTCCCGTCATTGTGAAGCCCATGGGATCGATGAAAAATTAGCAAACTCAGTACGCGTACGTACGCCAAGCTGTAAGCTCGTCGCCAAAATCCGGAATTCGCAATGCCGGAATCGCAGTCGTCGGATAGTTATCCCGGGAAGTCCTCCTCCGGATTGGATGTTGTGGAGCAGGTGAACGGCAGCTTTGGCCGCTGGCAATTGCGCACCATCCTGCTGATATTCCTCTGTAAGATCCCCAGCGCCTGGTTCACAGCCATCATCATCTATACGGCTCCATATCCCTGGAAGGGGGAGCTCGTCTGCCATCCGGCCGAATGGAATGTTAGCCGGACGCATGTCAGCCAGTTACATCCACTTTGGCAGGGTGCCCGCAGTACGGATCGATTGTTTAACGTGGACGTGTGCAATGCCTATTCGAACTCCCTGGCCAGAGGATTCGTGCGGAGTCATGGCCAGGAGTGGAACGCCTCGGAATCAAAGCAGCCGGATGCCCAATCTTCGCTGCCCTGCGAGCACGTGGAGCACATGACGGACTATAGATCCCTGATCATTCAGTTCGATCTAATATGCTCCCGTCGCGTTCTTGTGGCGGTGACGCAATCTTTTCATGCTCTTGGTGCCCTAATTGGCGGTTTAATGGCCTACTCTGCTCTCAAAATGTTTGTATTTGCTTAAAATTTTTATTTTTATCACAGTTTGATAACTATGGTTTTTATTCTTTAGAATCAGCCCGCGTCGCTTGATGTTGCTGGGCATGATTGGACAGATATTTTGCGGAAACCTCACTGGCCTGGTGGACACTTACCAGTTGCACATCTACTTTCGCTGCCTCACTTCCATTTTTTGTGCTCTCATGTATACATCTGGGCAGGTTATACGTGAGTATTACTATACTGGTAGATCACAAGTTAAACTACAAATTTTAATTTTTAACGAATCTTTTTGAATAACTTTTATTTGCCAGAACATAAATAGTTAAAAATATACAAATTTTCTGGTTCAACTTTGGTTAGATCTTCATCAATGAAAATCAAAAGACCCAAGACACGAACTAATTTCTGTTTTTTACTTTAGTAACCGACATCACCTCGGGAAAGGCTCGCATCATTGTGGTCACTCTATCGGAGTTGTTCTGGTCCATGGGTCTCGTCGTTCTCCCGGCCATTTCTATATATTTCGATGACTGGAGCTACCTGTACGTGGCCATCTCATCCTCCCTCATTGTGCTTGTCTGGCTTCATCGTTGGATAGCTGATGCTCCTCGCTGGTTGCTGCAACATCAACATGTGGAGGCTGCACTGCGTCAGCTCCTGGAATCGGCCACATACAACAACCGGAAGGTGCCGCTTACCCTCGATGTTCAGCTCACGGTGTACGCCAATGATCTGGAGCAAAAAGCCAGGCAGAAGCACGGCTACTGTCAAATCTGGGATGGTGAGACGAAACGCAGCCAGCTGGTGTACATCCACTGGATCTGGGGCGGAGCCATGGTGATCTATAACATCACCCTGCTGATGATCCGGAACCTAGGTGCTCAACAAGTGCATGTGAACACTGCAGCCATGGGATTTGCTGAGATGGTTGGCGTTTTTGTGGGTCTATACCTGATCCTATACACGCGTCGGCATTGGCGGTGGTCAGGAAATCTGATGATTATAGCAGGTCTCAGCACATATATCATCTGGCTGCTTCCCGAAACTGGTGAGCATTCAATTGGATACCTAATCTTTATACTCTTAAAGGTATTTTCTTTTTATAGAGCGAAATTCACGACGTGTGGGACTGGAACTGATGTTTTGGCTCATTTTAAAGGTGGCAAACTCCGCATCGATAGCTGTGCTGACCACCTGCACAAGTGAAATTGTGTCCAAGGAGAAGCGGGTGTTCTTGCTGCTGTCCGTGATCTCATTTAGTCGCCTGTGTTTGGTCTTCTGTCCGTTTCTCAGTTGCCTCACTGTCATCCATCACTTGCTGCCGGTGACCATTTTGGGCACACTTGCCTGGATATATGGATTGGCCCTGCGGCGCCTGAATCGTTACTATTGGAACACGGAGCAGCCGCAGATGAGCCAGGTGCCCACACCGAATACCTATCGCCGCCAGTCAGCCATCATCATGCGCCGCTGCAGCACGGCAAGCTCGGAATGCAGTGCCTACAGCAATGAGCTATTGAGCAACTTTGAACGGAACATAGCAGTTAGTATAGCCGACATATGGCACATCAATTTCCATCCCTCGAGTGAGATCGAAATGGAAATGGAGCAGCAAAGACCGGAAGCTTACCGATCGCACAGCTCGGAAACCATTTGAAGAGCTTTTCTTGGAGCCCAAAAGTAGGCTCGGCGTATTCAAAGAAACGAAGTGATGTATCTAACACTTATGTATATTGTACATCTACTTTAGTACGACTTATTGTCATTAACATTCAATTTTGTTAACTTAAATAGTGTTATATTTCAATGATCACAGGAAAGGTATTTACTTGCTTAAAATTGAAATTCTAATTATATACTAAAGCAAATTAAAAATATCATAATGGAAAAACACACCCACTTTTTTTAGACGGCACTACAATATCTGAAAGTCTTCACATTTATTAGACTAATGAATTTCGCCACAAAGTTAAAGGCTTGCTAAAGCAAAATCTGAGTATTCAACGTCATATATCGATAATTAAATTATAAATTTTCATTTGTTTGAAGTCCGCATTATGGTATTAATTAGCAAACGGTGTGTTACAAATTATATGAAATTAAACTAATTTAAATGATAAATTTATGATAATTAAGTGATGACGGAATATACATCCTGGAGCAGCAAATATACAATTTTGTGGGATTAATGGTAAAGATTTTGTAAGGACAATCAAGAGCACGAAATTAATGTAGGTCAATGCATCAATTGAAGAGCACCACAATCGATGTGTCATTAAGAACGCTAAAAAAAGCGACTAAGACAATAAAGATTAAAATAGAAATCCGCAAGGAAGGCGAAGAAGAATTTGTACAAGCCCAAAAGGCAAACGCTGCTAACATAAAGTAATAATGTTATGGCTTCCAAGTTGTAAACCCCCCCTCCCTATTGGAGACCCCCCGCTCACCTGAGCGCCCCAGATAATGCACACTTGATAGGGGTAAACTCAAACGAAAACTAATAAAATAAAGAGCATTGAAAGACACTTTATCGATCCGCCAACTATTCAATAATTTTTAATATTAAATGGGTAAACAGATGGAAAATGACTCAATCCGTTAACCAAAATGTATTTCAGTTTCGACTGAGCCAAATAAATAATGAACTTTAAAAGGGCAAAAACTTCAGGGGAAAATGCCAAAAAAACTCACTCGCTTAATAACTTTTTATTATTTGAGCAAATTCATTAAGAAAATTAACGCTTTTAGTCTCCGAGTGGACAGCCAGTCGGCTCACTCCCTGGCAATAGACCCCAATGCGACATTGGCGTCAGTTGCCATTTGATTCTCGGCCGATTGAGACGCGTTTGCTCCAAGAAGAAAATCGGGCTGGGACGTGCAAATTGGAAAGCTGCCTTATGCGAACGAATACGCAAACCAATAGGCAAACGCGTGCATAATTTTTATTGACGCCTAATTTATTTTTATTTATTTGTATGCTATCAAATGAACAAACAGCAAAGAGACATCGCGAGTTATAAACTGTGTTGTGAATGAAACATTAATTAACGCAAATATTTAGCTGTTTGTGGTTTCGAAACAGTGACCGTGGAAAAAAGCCGAAAATATATATTTTGCTGGATTAAGGTTGGTGGAACTTTATATAATTAAAGTTGTATAACACCTAGAATATTATTTTAGAATAGGTATGCATCAATTTATTACTTAAGGAAAGTGCAGCGTTTTTAATTTATTGAATAAAAATGTGCAATCCACTTAATCATACTCTTGTCAAAAACTCGAGCATACCATTAACCTGATACGAGTACGCCTTCCCAGTGGATCAGTGGTTCTGCCCCATAAGCAATTAATAATTTGCATTTGGGTTCGAAACAAGTCGTTCAACTATTAGCTCGACCTGCCGCCACTGTCATTGCCTAGATGTATATCACATATCGAATAGGAAATCCAAATATTCTGCACCGGCACGACCAGTTTTCTGCAATTAGCATTAAGCAGAAAATTAGAAATTAAAATATTTGCGCGACCAGACAGATGTGCCTGGAGGTGGGACCACTTGTAAGCCAGACAATAGAGAATTAGCACCTGTGAAATTGAAGCATAAAGAGTCTGTCAATACAGATGATCAAACAAAAGCGGCAACTTGCGAATCTGTCGCGAATTAACAACTGAATCTTATGACTGCCAATCTTTCGCCATGTTTGCCCTCGAAAAATAAGGGCTAACAATCAGATAATGCCATGATACGAAGTGGCACTCATTATCTGTCTTAATCAACCTCCTTCTGGCTTATCGATAAGACTATAATCATTGTAGGGCGTGATTTGTGATATGATATCAGTGAAGATAAATCAAACAAGAACTTCGAACAGGTTAAACAAACCCAGAGCTTAGCTAATTTATTAATGAATGAAATTAATTCAAAAGATTACAGAGCTACTGCAAATAGAAAAGCCAATTGAAGAAAAGTTATTACAATCTATTACAAGCTAAAGTGTTCCTACATTCTCTTTTATTATAATTTATTTTTTATTTCCCCATGTTTTTTATGACATTCACATGTCGATTTAATAATGAAAGTCAATCAAATCAATAGTAACCGCAGATATTTCAAAAATCTAGAGTGATATTCAATGCCTTTGATCGACTGATTTCAGCTGTAAACCGCATTCAATTTATATCAATTGGGTGGGACGACAAAAAAGGGGACAGCGAGTGAAATAAAAGAAATAAAAACAAATAAATAAATGAAAAGTCATCAAGAATGTTTTCCACTCTCTCGTCGTTCGCAGAATGTTCCACTAGAGAGGCGCCACTGGAGCAATGGTTAACCCGTCGCCAGCCCGAGGTGGAGAACCCACTGCACCCCACATACTCCCCAATGAGATGGAGAACGATCTGGACAAGAGGATGGCATCGCCGCCTCCTGCTCCGGCGAGTAGCGATATTATCGGAGATGTCGTGGGCGACTTTGGCATCTGGCAGCTGAGAACCATCCTCATCATCTTCCTGTGCAAGATCCCCGCCGCCTGGTTCATGGCCTGCATCATCTTCACCGGACCGGAACTCTATCCCGGCTCGGAGTTCGCCTGCGACACCAGCTATCTGGTTAGCAACAGTAACTCCAACTTCAGTGTTTCGGACAACCAGTGCTATGTCCTCGACGAATCCACTGGCAGTAGGAGCGAGTGCGAACAGTTCACCTACGACTCCAGCTTCGACTCCCTGATCATGCAGTTCAACCTGGTCTGCCTCAGGGACATCTTCGTGGCGTGGACTCAGTACTGGCATCTCTTCGGGGTCCTCGTGGGTGGCGTCATGGGCACCAAGATGATGCTGGGCATCAGTCCGAGGAGCACCTATTGCGTGGGCGCCATTGCCCAGATCGTTTGCGGAGTGGTCACTGGATATGCCAGAGATTTCAGTCTGCACTGCGCATTCCGGTGCCTCTCCGCCGTCTGCTGTGCGATCATGTTCACGGCCGGTCAGGCAATATGTAAGTTAGTCTTGAATAATCGGGAGGTATAATGCAATAATACTTACTAAATTTCCAGTTGCCGATATCACAGCCGGAATGCATCGCATTGGAGCCATCATTCTGTACGACACTTTCTGGTCCGTTGGTGTGATCCTGCTGCCCGGTCTCTCCTCGTTCTTCAACAACTGGTCTCTGATCTATGTGGGGATCACATTTCCCACTGTCATGCTGATAGCGCTGCTCTACTGGACACCGGATTCGCCCCGTTGGCTGCTCCGACATGCCGTGGACCGCGTCTCCATCGACAATGTGGAGGAGATTGTGCGCGAGGGAGCCGCGATCAATGATCGCACATTCAAGATCCCTCCAGACTTCCGACAGCAGCTGGAGCATCTGAGTGAGCGACTGAAGGCTCAACCCCCACCCGCTCCATGGCGGGAATTGTGGAAGGGGAAGCGGGCCAAGACGCACATGGTGGCCGCCCACCTGGCACTGGCCTTCTTCGTGATCAACTTCATGGGCATGCTGCTCAACATTCGATCGTTCGGAAGGGACTATCTGGTGCCAAACACCATTGCAATGGGTAAGTGATAGTTTACGGGTCATAAGTATAAGTTTATATGTTTTGAAACACTTTTCTAATTCGATTGTCCATTTCAAATTGTATTTCTATGAGTCTGTTAAGATACTCTCTACTTTTCGCAACCGACAAATATTAAAGCTGGTAACGTAGTTAACAAGAAGAAACATGAAACAAGATTAAATTGCTAATTTTAAAAGTTACTCAATCCTGGAAAGTTATATTTGTTAGTGCATTAAGATAAGTAAATGGGTACTCGTATAAATACTTTATTAACTTTACCCTTTTAACCAATTTGCGTAGGATTTTCTGAGATTATTGGCTGCTTCCTGGCCCTCCACTTTGCTCTTAAGCACAACAAATGGAAGTGGCAATGTGCCGGGGTCTTTAATATATTAGCTGGAATCCTGGGCTGCATGGGCTGGATCTTCACCAATGCGGACTCTAGTAAGTTTAATATTAAACCTCCATTTACCATTCAGTTATTCAATATTGTACTTCCCCAGTGGATGCTGATCTGAAAGTCAGTCTATGGATGATCATCGCCACCATCCCCAAGGCGGCCGTCTCGTGTGCCCAGTCCATGATCCTGGCCTGCATGAATGAGCTGGTGCCGGCAAATAAGAAGCAGCTCTTCGTCTTCTCCGTGGTCACCTGGGCACGGATTTGGCTCCTCTCGGCCCCGTTCTTCAATGTCCTGAAGAAGATCGACACGGCCCTGTCGTTGACCTCGTATTGTGTGTTCAGCATCCTGGGCGGAATCTGCACCAGCCTGCTCCTCACGCCCAGGACGAGTGTTGCTCCGATTGTGCCTCAGGTGGAACCGAGTGACAAGAAGGAGCAATCCCCTCTAAACGCTCCCGTTTGGACCGTCGAATCCGATGTGAACAATACTCGATTGTAGGCGAAGAGGAACGCTATTTTTTTGCCAATTATTAGTCAGCTAATGAAACAACATTCTTCTGTGATTAGGTTAAGTGAATTGTTATTTTAAATGCTTGAAGTTACACTACAGAATATTGGTTGTCTTTGAACTCTAAGTTACTGCATTACGGAAAAAAAATAAGCAATACACTTCACATATCTTAACTTGTCATTTAACTGATTCCAATAATTGAAGTTCAGTTTTTAGGAAAAAGCTTATAAAATAATTTCCAATAGCTAATTTAGTTTGAACTTGCCAACTTTGTCGATTTAAAAATAATAATATGTAGTATATTAGTTGGTTAGGCTTTGGTGTCTGCTTAAGTTAAAGCAATATTAAATGTTTATTCATTAAACGAAACCATTTGAATATATATATATATATGAAACATCAGGATTTTCAGTTGCTATCAGTTTCGGAATGACGTCGCTTTCCAAGAAGCCGGAGTCGAACCGGAGTAGTTTTAGGGGAATTCAGGCCATCAGGATCCATAATCGAAAATCTCTCCCCTCCAGTGCTCAGCTCCTCTGAAGACCCTGACTTTTCATTAATCGACCGTAAGCCAAGCTTTCGCATCATATCCACCTGGTTCATGGCACCCTCTTCATCTCGAGGATTTTCCGGATCATGTTTTACATAAGCATGTGTAGACATGACTATATATGAACTGCTGTCGACGAATTCTAATAAAAAGAAAGTATATACTGATTTCAGGTGTTCTAACAACTTCGCAGAAAAAGCTAGGCTAACTAGATCTAATTTTAACAGAAACAAATACTGAATAGAAGTAATTCCCAATGGATAACATACTATCAAGAATTCTATAGTTTATCTATTTAATCTTAATTTTCAACAAGTTTTTCAGTGCTTAAGTTTATTATAGAATTGAAAAGTTATCTTCTTAATATTAATTTGTCTGCTTATTATGGAAAACTTATAAGATACTTATAAGATATTTGACTAAAACATGATATACAAAAGCATCATGCTGAAAAACAAATGCAGGAAAATCCAGAACCAGTAAATCCTGAAATGTTCAAACAATTGGATATTTTAGGAACTGAAAATGGAAAAACTAAGAGACTCACCTGGTAACCATAAACTTATTCGACTCAACGGTGAAGTTTTCGCGATGCAGGTATTTATTAATTCCAATCATGTGACGGCGCACATAATCATCGTAGTCCAGCTCATCCAGATTCCAATAGAGTGTGGGAAATGTGCCATTATCAATCATTTCCTTAAAATAGAAGCGACTCTTGTTCTTGAAGATCCATTCGTTCAGCGAAAAAAAGCTACCTGTAAGAAGCGCGATGAGGGATTACTTTTCTTTAAAGATTTCTCCATAGGATTACCGGCCAGACATGCCTGCCGGAACTTCTTGGCAATGGGGGTGACCAGTCGCTTCTTTTGGGCCAATAAAAGGGTTTGTAGATCCATTAGCAAGGCGGGCACAAAATGCAGAAGCCACACGGCCAATTCATGCTTAAAGGCACTACGCCTGTACTTGAAATTCGGAAACATAATCATTCGCCGTGTGGGGAAAATTCTTGACCACTTCATGGTGAGCTCCCCGAGATGTTGCCAGGTGATAGGATTGGTCACTCCCGAGGTGGCGTTACAAATGCTCAAGCTAAAAAAGAGGAATTTAACTAAATAAAGGAGCACCTCTGTATCAACTCACCTGCCCAGTTTTGCCCTGCTGACCATCATGATCATGGCATTGACCACAAAGTCCACTGGGATGATGTCACATATTAGGTCCTTGTCCCCCAAAATGCTGCTAATTCCCCCCTTTCCAATCTCCATCATTATCCCGCTGATGGCCTGAATGTTGTCAATCCAACCGGGATAGGGTTCCCTATACGCAGCAGTGACTATTGAAGGTCTCACGATCACAATGGGAATCACATGTCTATATGCATTGACGATCTGCTCGGCAATTGACTTGGTAAATGTGTAGGTGTTGACATGCGGACCCTTTATGTAGTCAGCCAGGCGATTCAGATAGTCGTCGGGTATTTTCTGAGTGGCGGTAAGAAACTGACGCCAATCCACTGGCGGCATTGTGGGATACACCTGCTCATCCACATACTTGCGACCAGGATTGCAGTAAGCCGTGGAGACATACAGAAAGCTCTGGAAAATAAATTTATTATTAGTAGAAAGAAGTAAAAATTATATAGGAAACCCTACCTTTAATTGAGGCATACTCCTGCAGAGCTCGAGAAGATTGTAGGTGGCCTGCGAATTGACACGAGCCGACACTTTTAGGCACTCATTGAAGCGCACCTGTAATTGAGATACTTAGATCAATGGAAATGCTTTGGGGCTTACCATTCATTCCTACCGTTGCTGCACTGTGAAAAATAATGTTCACCTCGGCACACAAGACGACTCTGTCGGACTCATTTAAACCTGTTGGTGGAAGCCTCTGGTAAAAACATGAGGTTTCATTGCAGTTTCACTGGGACCATACCAAAGTTGTCGTCCTCAATGTTGCCGGAGAAGTGAAAGATCTTCTTCAGTCTCTCCGGATGCATTGCCCTCAGGCGCTCAAAGATGGGATTCTGGAGGAATACCCGGAAACGTTCCTCCACCGTGACCCCGCCCTTTGATCGGATCAGCATATAGATGCGTTTGATCTGTGGAAAACTCCAGAGCAGCTTCTCCAGCAGCGTTTTGCCCACAAAGCCGGTGGCACCTATCGAAATTTATTGCTGCGATCAGTATGTTTTAAAGAGATATTCTCTATATCACTACCCGTTATGAAGACCACAGCATCTTGGTAAATATCGGTCTGCGGCTCCACCATTTCCATTCCAGCGTTGTCCATGTTGTGGCCACTTTGAAGCCACACTTGCTACTGATCCGGTGCAATCGATGAGGTGCCCACTTTCCACCAGCAACTGGCTTTGCAAAGAAATGCCTTGGTCCTCTTGAAACAAGTTTTCCATGAAAATGCAAGTGGAAATTGAAATTGGCCAACGAAAGCAGCAACCCAGACGTAACTTTTGAGCACAAACATATTACATCATATTTGGATGTGGATGTGGACAAGGTTGGGTGTTTGGTTCATGATCAACATGCAATAGATTTGAGAGGCTTCAAGCTTCTGACCAAAGAAAGTACCCTCAGCTGAGTATAATAAGCCCTTATCCTTTTTTGTCTAATTTTCGCAAAAAAACCAACCAAAAAATCAACTTGGAATTGTTAGTTTCGGTCCTCAAAACAGACATTCTTTTGGCAACGCTTCTTATTTTGGCAAAAATCACTTTAAAATAATGTTTTTAAGGCAAAAATCACAAAAAAAACAACTCAAGTTTCGGTTTTTTGATCAAAACCATGGAAAATAATCCTCGAATGTTAGAATGTCATAACTCGGTAAACTCGTTATAAAATTTCTAATAAATTGGTACTTCCAGCTAAAAAATTAATTTTCGCCCGTTTTTGGCAAAAAATCTTGATGTTATAAAAAATGTGAAAATCAGTCCAAAAATAAATTTGTTCAATTCGACCTGGAATCGACAGTTTATTTTTAAGTTAAAACAAAAAAAAGTTATATTAAATTTATTTGTGATTAAATTTACACCCCGTTGCGGTTTGCTGATCAAAGTTCTGGAAAATATTCCTAAGTTTCCTAAGTGAGAAATTCAATTTGTTGAAGAAATTCAGAACATCATATCAAAAACACATTTATAAGATTTATTAATATGTACATTTTGTGCGATTCCATTAAATATAAATTTTCAAGCTAGTAAATAATATTAAAAGCATGCACTTGAAAACTAAGTCGAAGGCTAGGTACCTACTATAAAATATTCAGTTAAGCCATTAATTTCGATCAAGGAATTTCCCCACCTCAAACTAGACCGCAGCTTTCGAAGTAATACGCATTCCGATGTTGTTTACCTGGCCAATTCATTAGCTCCAATCAAGCCAAGTGCCTGCCTCCGCTAACAGTCTCCCCGGAAAGTCATCTCCACTGGAATCCGAACGGATCAACAGCAAAAATAGATCGCATCTCGTCGCTCGATGTTTGCACAATCGGTTAGGAAGTGGGCTCCGCTTATTTGGAATGATTTGATTAGCGACGACGTCGTAGGCAGGCACGGCAGAGTGTGGAGCCCTCGAGTTTACCTGGCCAGGTGAGGTGCTAAGCGGAGTCGCAGTCATGCTGGAGGGTTGCCGCTCCCAAGACGTGCTTACTAAATTACACCGCTAACGAAGGATGAAGGAGGAAAATATATTTGAAGGCTGGAGGCCGAACCACCGCCGCCACTCGCCCACGCCCCTGGATTTGGGACACCTCTCACACATCTTTACCTGCACCGATCCCAAGGCCAACGAAGTGCCTCCTGCTCTCTCCTACTCCCCCTGCTGCACCAGCCAAAACCGACGACGATGTCATCACGCACATCCTGGGGGACTTTGGCCCCTGGCAACTGCGCTCGCTGCTCATTCTGTTCCTCTGCAAGATCCCCGCTGCCTGGTTCATGGCCTGCATCCTGTTCACAGCCCCGGATCTTTATCCCGAGGAGGAGTACACCTGCGACACGATCGCCTTTGGGCCGGTGACCAATTTAACCGTCTCCCTGGATCAATGCTATGTGATGGTGAACTATGGCGACGCTGGCTACGCCATGCGACAGTGCCGCAAGTTCCTCTACACCACGGGCTTCCACTCGCTGACCATGGAGTTCGACCTGGTTTGCCTGTGCGACTTCTTCGTGGCCTGGTCCCAGTACTGGCATCTCTTTGGCCTGCTCATCGGCGGAGTGGCGGCCACCAAGTTGATGCGCGTCCTGAGTCCCCGCCAGATTTACGGATCGGGCATCTGGTGCCTGCTCATGTGCAGCCTGCTAATGGGCATGGTCAAGGACTTCAGTCTGCACTGCGGACTGCGTTGCTTGGCCGCTGTTTCGTGCTGCTTCATGATCACCTCGGGACATTATATATGTAAGTATAAGAAAATATAATTTATTTGTTACTTAGTGATTATTTAAATATTCCATTTTCAGTTAGTGACATCACCGCAGGTAAATATCGACTGGGAGCCCTCCTGCTTTACGACTCTTTCTGGGCTCTGGGCTTGATTCTGCTCCCTGGTTTGGCCTACGGTGCTCCCAGTTGGCAGCACATTTACGTGGGAGTAACCCTCTCCCTGCTGGTGATCGTGTTCCTGCTACCCTGGACTCCGGACTCACCACGTTGGCAGCTGCAGCACACCAAGGAAAGCCAGCTGGCCATCGAGCGAACGGTGGGAATCCTACTGGAGGCAGCCCGCATCAACGGAAGCATTCACAGGGTGTCCAAGGAGTTGCCCCATCAGCTGGGTCAGCTCAGGGATAGGATGCAGGAGCAGGAGCTAGCAGTGCACTGGATGCAGTTGTGGATGGGTCAGCGGAGAAGCAGTTTCCACTTGATAGCCGTGCACTTGGCTCTGGCCACCTTCATGGTGGTGAACACTGGGCTGCTGCTCCACGTTCGATCCTTCGGCAGGCAGCACCTGGTATCCAATACGCTGGCCATGGGCCTGGCCGAGATGCTGGGCTGCTTCCTGGCCCTGCATCTCACCTTCAACCAGAGCGCACGCAAGTGGCAGTGGGCAGGAGGATTTGCCATCGTGGTTGGCTGCATTGGTAGCATCTGCTGGTTCCTGGCCGAGGAGGATATGCCGGAGGTGTATGGACTCACGCTGGGATTGCTGATGGCATCGCTGCCCCAGGCGGCCGTGGCCTGTGCCCAGTCCATGATCCTGGCCTGCCTGGGTGAGCTGGTGCCCGCGGAGCAGCGCGGCTGCCTCTCCTTCTCAGCCGTCACCTGGGCGAGGGTGTGGCAGCTCTCCGCCTCCTTTCTCACGCTGCTCAGGCAGGTGAGCCCCGCCCTCTCGCTGTCCGCCTTCTGCCTCCTGGTCATCCTGGGCGGCATATGCACGTGCTTCCTTTCCACTCCCAAAGGGGAGGAGAAACCGGAAGGGGCTACGGTGCACAAGAAGCAGCACTTAATTGCGTATACGTAATTACGTATACGTAGGGGGCTTATTTGCTTAGTTAGTTCTAGCGTATGTAAAGTATTCGCAATCAGTATTCGAATTTAGCACATATTGAGTTGCATACTTTTGGGAATAAATCAAAAGTTTAGCATCTACTGGTATTCATTTATTTACGACTATTACCTGACTTTGCTTTATTATTTGATGAACATATATTTAAGAATCGGAATAAATTTACTTAAATACCAAGAATGGTTTTGATCTTTTCGTAATTAAAGATTTTAAATTGTCAACCTATTATTATTATAAGAAGACTAAGTTAGCTAAATTGTTACCTTGTTATAAAATATATTATAAACTTAAAGCAAATGTTTTCTTCATATTTATAATTTTTGAAGAATCAAAATACCTTTATCCTAAATACGTAGTTTTTGATTTAATTTTTTTCCCATGAAGCTGTCGCCAAACCCATTATTTTTTACAGGAACTCAAACCATTTGGGACCAATGTTCATGCACAGCACATTCATCCACTAAGCTGACACACATATACATATGTGTAATACGTATAATAAGCACACATGCCTGGCTAAATATCCAAGCGCATTGCTCCACTAACAACATATTGCTATTTGGTCACCTGTCCCGCCCCCAATATTCCACTATTCCCACCATTTCAAAGCGACAAGCAGAAATCGCAAATCAATAAAATAGAAACCATAAAATAGTCAGAAGCGGCGCCAGTGCATTTGGCCCCAGAATGAGTGTGTCATTCGCGGAACAGTAGTCGGCGAGGAAGGACCAGTCGAGGAGCAGCCTAGTACCAGCCCAGTGGAGGATCCGCTGGCCAACTGCTGCGATCTGGATGCCATGAAACCGAAGAAATCCGCCTTCGCCAATACATCCACTGGATACGGCAGACACAAACACAGCGGACACGGCAAGGGCCACTCCCACGGACAAGGAAACTCCGGCAAGGATAAAGCCGACGGCGGTGGCAAGGACAAAAAACGAGAGCCCAAGGATCAACATGAGCAGAAGGAGGAGGACAAGGACTTGAATTCCGGTTTCGGAGACTATCTTCGCACACCGGAGGGTCTGTAATTTACTCCACTTAAAAACTTAGCTTCCTATTTTCTAAAATACCCTTTGTTCTTTATTTGATTAGCATTTGAGATGATGAAACTGTTCGTCTTTGCCAATACTATTATGTTAATCGTCACCATGGCCTGGCCGCATATCAAGGAGCAATTCTACATGGTCAATCAGTGGCTAGAAAGTTTCCGCGAAGAGCATCAGCAGTAAAACCAGACAATCTATCAAGCAAACAGTTCAAGTTAATTTCAAGTTCAAAATGGTCGGACCCTTCATGCAGGGCCTCTTTCTGATTGGCATCATCTACTGGTACTCCAAGGGCATGATGTCCATGATCAACGATTATTACAGGAGTGAGTTCCAGCGAAAGTTGCAAGTGGATCCGTCAAAGCAGAAAGCAGAGGTGCCCATCAATGTGGACAACTTCATGGATTATGTTAGGGAGTTGGACTCCCCAGATGAGGTTACAAGGAACCCACCGGAAGGAGCTATGGCTCCTCTTCTAAGGAAGCCCATGAGCCACACACTCTTGCGATTCCTGGAGATCACCGGCTCGCTACCAGCTTTTGATGTTTGTCTCAACACGAGCAACATAAGATAGCTAATTGTATAACTTTAATGTTATAATTACTTAATTATTTATATGTTATGTATTTTATATGACTTTCGTAGAATAAAGAATAATACTACAACCCCAATTGCATACTTCTAGGTACTTTGGGTTTGAATATGACTTTTAGAAATATTTTATTTCCGTAATAAAGTTCCGTACTCCATTTGATACCATAATTCAAAATAAGAAAGTATATTTTTAATTTTTTTATTTAAACTTTAGCAGAATATATTCATGTGTTTCCAACATCAGCTCACTTACTAACCTATCCACAAAACTGTATAAATATACTAATTTCTATAATTACCATGGAATATATCGATTTGGTCTGTCCTATGCATTATACAAAGTTTGATATTGCACTCTCATAAGTAAGCTCTCTTCCGATGAAGACCTTGTCATTGCTAGTTATACCTTTGAAGCAGATTGTGAATATATAATTATAAGCAGATATGAATGAAATTGTTAGGTAGTTGATTTGGAAGTTATGCCAAATGTATACCTACATAATAGGTGCTGTTCACAAATCGTCTGTATTCAGGTATTCTTTATGTGGCACAATTTGTGTATTTTTAAAGGTATTTTAAAATATATTATTATTTCAAGAGGTCAGTACGTGATTAATGTTTAGTTATTTTATTACCAATTTCATAAGAGATCCATAATCCTAAGTTATACTACTCCCACCTACTTCTTAGAAGTGTTCTAAAAATAACATAACAAAAATAACAAAAAAAGACAAATACTTTTCTGGTAAAATCATATTCATCATTTTTTTAATGTATATTCTATATACACAACAGTTCATCATACATAAGTTTATTATAAAATAAAAATAATAATAATAGTGGCATTACAAATTAATAAAGCAAAAATACAAAATATAGTACATTATACATCAAATTGATTCGTTGTAAATGTACATGGTGATTTGAATAAATCAAATGGAGCAATAGCGCTTATGCTTTAATCGAAATTATAATTTTAGTAAACGGAAATCACAATGTCTTTCGTTGAAGAAGGAAACAAAATTGACTCAAGAGCAATGTAAAAAATTAAGGAAACACAAAACCTTTCTGATGTATCACAACCTTTCAAACAAGGATTAACAATTGAGAGCTCGCTTAGGCTAACAAATCAAATTTCGACAAATGAGTTTTGGTGGCCTACTACACACTATATATGCATACATATACGTAAATGGATACCGCTTGATATTGTTATATGGCTAAACACGTACAAATTAGATTGCTTAAGAACAAGGCAAAAATACAAATGCAGAGGCTCTTCTCTCTATAATGCACAATGTCTCCCTACCGCAAGGATCATTTCAATTATATATATTACTGTGCGTTCAAGTCTTAACGAGTAAACTGTAACACCTAATGACTCTGACTCCCTTTTCACTGCACGGCTTCACTTCCCACTCTAATCCGAGGGCTTTCTGTTTGTGGGAGGTGGCGGCGCTGGCACCGTTGGCCTCTTGGGCGTTTGAAATGAGTTCGGGGAAATGGGTGTCGTGGCTTGGGGCTGCGCTTGCTGCTCCGGTTTTTGCTCTGCAGCCGTTGGCGGCTGATCGTGGTTGTGATTGCTCTCCTTGACCGTTGGCGGCTCCTCCCGCGTTCCGTTCGTTTCACTATTCTCCTGACGCAGCTTGTCGAGAAAATGTTCCGTTTTGAATCGAACGCTGCCATTGCCATTATCGATTGTCGCCTGGGTGGGAGTCGTACCGCCCTCGTCGTCGCTTTTTCCATCCACCTTGGGCGCTCCCACGCCTAGCACATTCGGTCGCTTGGGCAGCAGCGGCTTCTGGGGTACATCTGGCTTTAGCTTGAAGCTGCCGATGCTATCCGTGCTCTTGCGATCGGCCGTTGGAGAGGGCAGGTTGTCCAGCCCGAAGAACTGCGTCCTCGTCATCGGAACGGGCTTGGCGGGTGTTACTGGAGGCGGGGGCAGTGGTTCCAGCTGCGTCTGCGTCGGCTGGCTGGCGGCTGGTGATTGAAACTGCGGCAAGTTCGGAAGCGGCGGCTTGACGGGCTTCTCCTGCTGCGCCGGCGACTGCTGGGGGAACAGCTCCTTCGCATGGGGTCGGTGCGAAGTCTGTGATGTTGTCATACTGGTCCCGTTTCCATTAGTTGTGGGCGGCGAAGGTGCATTAGCTTTCTGCCTGCGTAAGGTTCCATAGCGGGGACTCTCCAAAACTTCTAAAAAGGAAAATTAAATTAGTTCATTAAAAAGTATAAAAGCTTTAAATGTATAACAATCACGCTTATACAACTAAACTTTTACTGAAATAGATAGTTCTTGGAAAATATTATTTTTACACCAGTTCTAATTTTCGAATCCTTTCATGAAGTTAATTGTTTTAACAGTCAAAAACAAATTTAATCATAATAATATTTATTAAAAAATTTCGTATAATCAGACTTCAGAATTCTTTCAAAGTTATATTTAAAATAAAATTTTCCCGAAGTGTTTTTTTTTTGGATCCAATCCATTTTATTGCACAAAATATAAACAAAAATATTGCACTAACTTTAACAGCATCATGAAATGTATGATGGAAAATAATATGGGGCGGGGGGGAAATACTAATAGAGGATTTTTCGAAAAAGTTCTGGTGAAAAAGTTATCATAAGTCGAATACTGTATACTGGCCCGTTTCATAGAACTCCGACTGTGCAGTATGCTTACCACTATCGTTTCGGTCCAAATTCTCGTTCGACGAGTTGGATTTGCTCTTGCCCTCGACGAAAAGCTTCTGCTTCTGCAGGGTCAAATAGAACTCGACTTCGCCGCTGAAGAAGTAGTCCCACTGGCTAATAAGGAGCTCCACAATGATGTTCGCTGCTGAGGAGCTGTTCACCTGGCCAATGTAATCGGCTGGGGCATTGCTGCTCTTGTCGATGCGTGGCCAAAGCATGTTCGGCGACATTACGATGGCCAGGTTCTGGGAGCTCATCTTATTGTGCACTGAGCGCTGCTGCACATGGGCCAGGAATCGGGTGAGGTAGCGCAGGTTGGCGTAGTTCTCCTTTGGCAGCTTGCTCAGAATGGCCTTGATCTCCGTCTTGCGCTCTGCCTCGCTGTGTCGTTCGGCGATCCGAATGAAGTCCTTGTACAGGCCGTAAGTGAGCAGTGGCTCGGGCAGCTCGCGCAGGTAGAGCTTGAGTATGGAACCAATGACATGGGGATCCTGGTAGTCCAGCGGTAGCGGCGTCTTTACGTGCTGCGCCTCCAGGGCGTGCTTCATGCGGCGTAGCTTGGTGCTCGCGCAGCCCACCCGCAGCAAACCTTCCTCCTCCAGGCCATGCTCCAGCAGGCAGCAGCAGCACAACTCCACGATGTAGGAGATCTCGCGGTTGGTGGATGTCAGGTGCTCCTTGAGCGAGGTGCCAAAGCGGGACTTCTCGGTGCCCTGGATCGTGTCCTGAATGCGAGCCAGCGAGGCGTTCACGTGCTGCAGGGCCCGCTCGTGATAGTTTCTTTGGTTGAGTACATAGTCGCGGATGCAGCTAACGATCTCGTCCTCTTTGGCAATCAGTTCCAGCATCTGGGCCGCCCAGGCATCCCGTTCCTTCTCCAGCTTCAGCTCGCACTCCTCCTGCTGGCTCTTGATGTGATTCACCTTGGCCGCTGGCTCCTCCAGCCGTATTGCCGCCTGCGAGAGTAAAACAGAGCACTGATTAGTCTATGACAGATAAGAGGCAATTCCAGGGAAATCGTCACATTCCAAAGGGCAACAAGTTAAAGTCTACAAATATCTTATCTGCAGGGCCACACACCACAGTAGCACCCACTACTGGAAATGGGATTTCATGTGACTAATGGGAGGTGCTTGCGCATCAGGAAAAGTTTGCGGGGCATATAAAAATAGATCGACCTCAACCGCAGCCCGCCCAGCTGTTAATGCCTCTCATCAAGGTCTTTGTTTCTAGCCGGACAATGGGTTTTGTGTGGAATATAGCGCACATGCGCCGCTGAATTAGGGCCACTGACTTGAAACCCAGACATGCACCTGTATCACAAAGTAGCTTATAAAAAGGTAGACAGATAAGAAATGCAATTGAACTCAGTAGAACCAGTTGATATTAAATGAAAGAGAAAGGGGGTCTCTCAAAAAGAAAAACAGACAATAAGTTGTTTTATGTCCGCTTAAGGGCATTGTATAGATTACAACACTGGCATATTATAATAATTATACATTTACAAAACATATGTATAAAGTGAAAACGACTATGATTATAAAAAATACTGAAACTTGAAAAGTTTCGAAGATATGAAATTTCAAATTTATTCAGGGAATAAAATATAAGGGACTCAGATAATCCATGTTCAGCGTAAATTAACAACAAAGTGCCCGCTCTATGATGTAAGTTTTGCTTACAACAGCATTACCCATTGTGTGTAAACAAACTGGTGCTGGCATTCATCACCCTATCCCGTATCATAACACTGCTAAAAATAAACAAATCGTGAAAAATTGCTGTAAGTACACCAACGCTATCTGCAGCGAGAAGACAATGGCATCCACCTAACTATCAATGTCTGCTCCCTCCCCCACCTTCGGATCAAATCATTTGCAGTGACAGAGTGTGACTGAGTCACATCATTTCCATGAGCCGCAACCTCTCGACGACCTACATCCCAGTTTGCACCACAAGCCACACATTCCGGGCACCAAAGTTAGCACTTCCAAAGGCAGCCGTGTGCATATACGTATTGTTTTCGGATCGGATCTATGTCAGGGAGTGCAATTAGAACAGCGTCTGATTAGCGAATTATGGCAAGTCGACTGGCGTTTATATGGGACTCAGATGGCGGCGATAAGATTACCGGGGAGTGTAAATAACTTCGGTTTCGAGTTTTCTGATACGCCAATGGTCAGTCAACGGCGGTGTGGCGTCCATTTCAATTATGATGTCACTGCCGCCAAGTCAATGAACGTCTTCCGACACCTTAAACAGACAACATACATCAACAAATACAGCGGCTAGTCATCCCCGCCCGATGTCTCGATATGGCAAACGGCGTCGTGATTTGTACAAAATAAAGCGGAAAGAAAAAACGAGCGAAAAAATATCAAAAAAAAAAACACAGAAAACAATGAAACTTAAAAAGTAACTTTTTGTGTCCAGATAGTCGGTCATAACTGTTTGGTTCCACACTTGTAGACGCCGATGGGCAGAACCAATCGGGTGTCAGGAAATTGGAACACCAAAAAGCCGTTCATCCCAGCCCATTCCGACACATCCCACTTCAGATTCTCCCACTCGGCGATAAGGCAACAACGAAAAGTATCGGATTCGTATCATAAAAACGTAAACGACAAAATCGAAACGCATGGCAAACAAACAATAGAAACTGTCGTGAGATAAAGCCAGAATGAAAGAAAGGCCAACAAAAGCAACACCAATAATAATAATAATAAATGGAAATTAAAAATTGATTGCTTCTTTTGCCGGCGCTTCTTGACATCCGCCTCAATACAGTGGTTATGCATTGATTGGAAATGGAGGGGTTTGGTTTTGCTTGGTAGTTTTATGACATTTAATTCTGGAAACGCCCTATCGTCTGGTTTCATTCTGGGAATTCCAATTGAAGCTTTAGAAGTAGGATTTTTATTTTCTTTTTACCGAACTTGAACTTGTTACAAACGAAATCGCCACACCACAGTGCAATTTCACTGAGAGGGATACACTTAACCGCCAACTACCGGCAGTTAGTTGTTATTGTTCGTTAATCAGAGACAACCTCGCGATTGGATTTCATTGGGAAAACGAAAACGGTCGAATCACTTGGTCAGCTGAGGTAACTTTTTGCGGCCCATTATTTTCAGCCAGCAGATTTCTTAATTAATTTAACAATCTCCCATTGTCATCGCGCGCAGTTTCGTGAAAACGGAAATCCAACATTATTCACTCTCTCTGGGCTGTCCACCGAACATACATACATTCACGTAATGCCTAATCCGAGTTAGATTTATGATCCGCACTCACCTCATGACTGCGCTTCAGCGAGGTGTACTCCTGCAGAGTGCGCGATACGTTGCGCTTGAGCGTCGAGATCTCCTGGATCTCCTTGTCCAAGATGTTCTTCAGCCGCCTCACCACCTTGGTCTCCGTCTCCAGTTCGCTCTCGATAATGCACTCGGCCATCGTCTTCTCCAGCTCTCCTGCAATTGCGAAACACACAGAAATGAGTACCCGACTATGGAATTGCATATCCCACACTTATCTCCTCCTCAAAAGTGCACATATAAAAATAATATTTAATAAAAAAGAATATGATATGGGTTTATCTGTCTACATAGTGATAAAAACATATTCCTAGAAAAGAACCGAAATTGTTGGTTTAAGGGGAAATTTAAAATTATTATAGAATCTAAGAGATTTAATAAGTTTTTTATATATATGTATGTACATAGAATTAGTATTTAGCTCATACCATTGATGCATTGACTATCTTTATAATGTCCCCAATTTGTTTTAGCTCAGATGAACAACCTAAGTCGAAACTCACACAGCTTAAATTCAAAAATATATATTGCATTAGCTGAGCAAATCGAACAGGCATATTTACACTTTAACGCATGTTTACAGCCATGCATACATAGATTAATTGTTATCATAAGCAGATCAATGTTCAAGTATTTATACCACTTAAATAATTTTATCAAAAATTATAAAGATAGTTTTCTGTGTGTATCTTGAAGACTCTTGCTATTCCGCCCGCAAGTGAGGAAGTCAATGCTTATTTAAGACCTTATCGCCAAGCGGTAGCTGCAAAGATGTTGGCGTGCCGGTTTCCAGTTGCCGGAGTTGCTCCGTCTTGATGCGGGGCGAGATTCGGGCAATCCGAAGGGGAGGTGCCAAGCGAATAGGTTGACGAGCTGAGTAAGCAAAATTGTGATAATTGTGTTGAGTGCCCCGAGACTGGAGGCTCAGCAGCTGAACCCGCAATAAAAGCAAATGCAAAGAGGTCGCACCACAGAAGCGGGAGGGAGTCCAAAACGAAGACGACGTCGGCACTGGAGTATAACATTCGAGATACGCTCGCTTCGCGCTCCCCTTGTTGAATGGGTTGAATTGAGGCGCATCGTGGCTAACAATAAATGTTGCAAAGGGCGCACAGTGGGTAAAAGTGAGATGATATCGCACTGTAATTACGGGCAGAGGCGACAAAAAGCCCATTTTAGTGAGGTAATTTTTAGTTTTTGTGTGTCTGGAGCTGTTTTTAGTCGAGCAACTTAGGTGCTTCCCGCCGACATTAAAGTTATTGGCGTTAGTTTCTAACATTTAAGTTGGTACTGAGCCGTAACCAATTATATGGACAATTTTTACTGGGGAACGTTAAAAACCGTTTTTGAAAATGGATGCTTAAATATGGTTTACAATACTTTTTAAGACCAGTTGCTTACGAAATATGCTGGAAAAAAAACATGTTTTGTTAAAGGAACCTACATTTTTGTAATGGTCAGCCATTATTATTATTTTTATATTACTTGAGAGTGATTTATAGTTAAATCTGATATTGGCATAACATTTTCAGTTAACATAGATAGAGATTCACCTGAGAGCTTTGAAATGAATATCGTTATTTTTATTATGTCATCTGCAAACGAACAGTCTTTTCCTCGAATTTGACTTTAATTTATACGTTTCACTGATCATAATTTGCAAATAAATTTGCGAATGAAGAAACTTAGACATGCTATAACTTTGAATAAAAAACAATAATATTATGACAGTTCTCCTCATTTGAGGGAAAGGAAATGGGCTTTGTTTACACCAATACGTTATTTATTTCCCCATTTTGACCCATTTATAATTTCCTAAGCATTCCGGTGGAACTCACACTTAACCCATGGACACACGTTCACTGTGGCTATATGCATACATATATCAGCATGTGGAAACGTTCGTGTCTAATCAGGAACGTGGGGAACTGGCGGAAAAAGGGGTTTTGGAGATCCCTGGCCGTTACACAACCACCGATGCTCTTGAACCACTGCGAGGTTACAGCTGCAACTGCAACAGAAACTGCAATTGCGTCCAAATTGCAATTGACGCACACGCATCTGCGAATATGTGGAATGCAGAGTGCTCGAAAAAGGGAAACAGCAAATGGAAATAATACAAAAAAAATAATACAACGAATGAGTAATACGGCCTAGAGGGAGCGCCCACAAAATAAATGAGTGGAGTCGAGAAGACGCGGCGCCTGATCATGACGATACGATGATGATGTATGAATTGGGCTCAGACTTTTACTTTTACTAAACAACAGCCAGCATAATTATCGCCGTTTACTGGTCTTTGTTATCCCACTTCGTGAGCGATGTGTAACAAATTTAAATGAAATGCTCAGTAAATCACATAGAAAAAGGGCAATAAAAGCGGGCGCAAGTGGGGGCGGGCTGGGCTGGTCTGGATTGGTTGGCAAAACAAAAGGGGTATAAATAGATAATGCCGAAACCGCAAATAATAACCAATACTGCGGGCGAACGGCGAATGGGCTGCAAAGAAAGCAGCGAAAAAGTCATAATAAAAATTATAATAATGATTAAAAAAAAGCCGTCGATGTTGATGTTGCTGTTTTCAGTTGAGAAATGTAAATGCCACAAGGCCAAGCGACAAGGCGAGGCCTCAAATACACAAATACACAGACAAACCGAGGCCCGTGACACAGTCATCCGCGAGTATTCTCCATTCCATTCCCCTGCGAAACCCATACGTGTGCCATTGTGCATGTCTGGCGGCGATTATCGGATTTGGAACGAACGACAACCACTGTGCGCCTTATCAGCAGCGGCAACAAGACTGCCACAAGAGGCGTATGGCGAAGGGGAGGTGGTTTGGGCGGGGAGACCCCCTTGGGCAATTCATTTGCGAAAAATGTTAAGTGTTAAAGGCTTACTAATTGCTTGGGGAAGATTTAAACTTGGAGTTTTTAAATTCCATTTTCGGTGACTATTTGGTATAACTGCGAGATAAACTTGCAATTATCCAACCCCCTCCTCACAAATTCAGCCCCACGCCACTGACTCGCAAACTCCCACACAGGCAATAGCCCGATAACCCGATAACTAACCGCAATTGGCGAGGACCTTCTGCAGCGGCATGTCCTTGGGCAGCTCCTTGGCGGACTCGTCCAGCGCCTGGGCGATCTTGTAGTGGCTGTTCTTCTTGGTCCGTTTGTCCTGCTCCTCGGTGCTCCCGCCTCCGCCTCCGCCTCCGCTCAGCGCCGGCAGCTTTCGGACGATCTTCTCGATGGTGTCCCGATATCTGTCCACCTGCCGCTCGATCGTCTCCAGCTCGGAGTCCTTGCAGTCCGATTTGGTGGATCTGCGGGATGAAGACGAGGGTTTGACATGGGTTAACCATGGGTTAGGTCATCGGCTGTTCACTTTTGTTATTGTTTTGTTATTGCCGCCGTTGCAGTTGTTGTTTTTGCGATGAGGCAACACCTGTCTGTCCACCTGGAGCGCATTACACACACCTCCACACACACACACACACACACCGAGACGTCCGCTGGCTGGCCTTTGAACTTACCTTGACAGATTTTCGGCTGCTATTTTGATTTTCGCAAACTGCCTCTTCATCTTGGCTGATTCGCAATTGCCGCTCGCGTCTCCAACGTTAACTTAACTTCTGCGTGTTTGTTTGCGATGTGTAATTAGCTAGGCATTGAGTAAATACTTAAAACTGGCAAATTAGTCATTCTTCAACGATGTTTTACGGAAAAGTGAGACTGGTGTGACCGCAGCGGGAGCGCTAAGAAATGCTGAATAGCTTGTCAGAGGGTTTTTCGAAACTCACCACTTGGTCACACTTAGCTTAAAGTGTTTCAATAGCATTTTCGTTTGATTTATTATATTCAATACAGCTTTGAACGAGTATTTCAATTTTAAAATACAAATGTTTTAGCAAAAGAACTTGATTTTTAAAAACTCATCTGAATACCCTTATCTTCATAAAGCGTTGCCAGACGGTCGTCTCATACATTTTCCCAAATTTATTGGGGTCACACTGCATTCAACCGCCTTGCTGCACGTGTGTTGTCCGTAAATAATAGTTTTATTATTGTTTTACTGACCAAAATGACCCAGGCGGAGATTGTGAAACGTCTCCGGGAGGAGTACGACAGTAAACACACCCAGGAGCAGAAGCCCAAGAGGACGGAGGACCTGCTCACCCGCACTAAAAGGTTTCACCAGCGTGTGCTCAACCTGTTGACCACTCACAAAGTGCCCTACTCCAATAAAGAAGGTAAGACTCAGACATAAGAACCCTTTGATCACTAAATAAACCCCATTTCGATCAGATGAAGACACCTACGAGGACTACCTGTTGCCAGACACTAAGGAATCGAACGGGAAAAAGAGCAAAAAGCTGAAAATCCAGGGAAAATTGAAAGACCAGGATTCCGACGATGAGGATGTGGACGCCCGTATCGCCTCCATCAAAAACAAGCTGCGGCAAAAAAAGGGACCCACCACGGAGCGGCAACAAAAAAGGAGGGAGTCCAAAAAGCTGAAGCGCAGCAAGGGCGTCCAGAAACTGCTCCTTTCCTCGGCCAAAAACCTTAAGAACGAGAACGTCAAACACCAGAAGCTGAAGAACGGGCTGGTCAAGGCGGAGAAGGACCCGGAGGACAGCAAGGAGCAGATACAACCGGTTAAAGTCCAGCCGGTGTACAACCAGGAGGCCAAAATTGTCTATTCCAAGGTGGACTTCGCCGCCAATCCGGGCGGCAAGGTCAAGAAGTCTCACCAGAACCCCAAGGAGATCCTAAAGAAGTTGCGAGACACCAAGAAGCACCTTACCGAGCTGCGCGAACAGGGCGAAACGGAGAAGGCCGCTGAGATGCAGACGGATATCGCCTGGCGCAATGCATTCGACAAGGTCGAGGGAAAGAAGGTCAAGGACGACACCAAGCTCCTGCAGAAGGCCATCAAAAAGCGACGCGTCGAGAAGAAGAAGTCCAAGACCAAGTGGTCAGAGCGTAAACAGAAGGTGGATTACGACAAGGACAAGCGGCAGAAGAAGCGCCAGGAGAACCTGGACAAGCGCAGCAAGGACAAGAAGAACAGGAAGCTGAAGACGGCCAGCAAGAAGGGCCGTATCATACCCGGCTACTAACCAACTAACTAGCCTTAAGTGTAAATTAATATAATGTATGCCACGTTGAAATTAAACTCAGAATGCTATAGAAAAAAAGAGTAACCGTTTGAAGATCTCGTTCTAATTTGTTCATATTAGAAATTTACTTTTCCGGCCTCGACACAATCTAAATTCCCCAGAGCAAAATTCCAAGTTCCATAGCCTCCAGTTTTGGCGCCTCGTTTTCGTCCACTCCATGTCATTTCCCGTTCCACTGTGCGTTGCGCGGCCCCATCGAAGAGTAGCAAGAGGAAGAACGGCGAACAGCTGTGGCCGATAGCAACTATCGATTGTTATTGTAATCGTTCGGACAGCTAGTAGCGATTTTTCCATAATTTCCAAAAATACGCGAAGGAAAATAGTAAAGTTGAAGACCCCACAAATTAGACGGGGCTTTAGTATTACGCGTATTGAGTGTCGCCGTTTGAAGAAGAAGCGCAGCGAGTGGGCCAAGCAACGAGTCACACGCACACACACAGCCACACAAATTACGTGCAGAGCGCAATCTATTCCCCCATTTTCCACCGAAAATAAAGCAAGGCAGGCGGAAAAACAGCCAAATTGCGACGCATTTTGCGGAAGAGACGAAAAGCAAACAGTTGGAACCAAAAAGGATACTCCAGAGGAAGTAGAACCACTGCAGGAGCCACAACAATAACTTCGCAGATCAGTGCAGAGCAAGAAGAAGAAGCAGCGGCCAGCTGAGAAGTGAAGCGAAAAGCAGGGCGAGGAGGAAATCAGGAGTAGCTGCAGAAGGGGAGCGAGGAAGCGGAGGAAACAGAGGCGTAGAGGCGGCGGGGAGCAGCCACCATGAGCATGGTGCGGCGGATTATCCTGCTGGGCCCCAAATACAGTGTCTGGGCAAAGGGTAAGTGCTTACTGCCTGTGGTTGTTGTTGTGCCAATCGCATACGTAACTGCGTCATTAGCCGTGAATCAGCAACAACAAAAGGAATAACAAGCCAATCGGAACTGGCAAAACAGCCTGCAGTTTTACCAATCCCAATCCGAATCCCCCCGTCCATTTGGCTTATCAGAATTTTCTAGCTGCTGCGCTCGCTAAATATTTATTGTCTAGTTCAAACAACCAAAACACAGAGTGAAGGTCGTCTTCTTTTGATATCAAAAACTGCTCGCGGTCAACAGGCCTCAGTGGCGTCGCACCAAAAGGGGCTCCCCGCTGATTTTACATTCACGAAACACACATCTGATTGGAAGGCCATATGCCCCTTTTCCAATCAGACAGCCAGGGTCTTGCTTTTGGACCAACTGAACTTGAATTGTTTTATAAGGCCCGAATGGCCAGCTAGCTTAATTATTACTATTGCCGCACTGACGCAATGGATTTTTATTATTTCATGTCTTCGCGGGAGCAATTTCTTACACACATTTTTAATGGCCAACAGTTGGTTATTACATTTTGTTGGTCTACGGGTTAGGAAAGCCGAGAGGCGGAAGTTTACCTAACTAAATGCACTGCGAAAAGGCAGTTAAAAAGGAGAGATTATTTTTAGTTTATAGACACACGTAATTACAGCACCTGTGGATTCCGAGATTAACAATACAGCGAAAATGTTGAGAGTCATCTGCGATATCGAAAGATGCTAATTGCCCTGGGCCTTTCATTGTTAGATTATTTTTTATGGGCCAATCTAAAGATTCTCTTCCTCAGATTCCCTTTGTTATCAATTATCTGTGCCTAAAGAAGCAATAACCCCGCTCTTGAGGTCGATGGAACAACATGTTCTTTCTTTTGTGCACGACAACCAACACACACCTCTGTATCCCTACACAGGAAGAAAAGATCTCCCATGTAGTAATTCTATATTTGGATTCTTTTAAAAATAATAAAATTTACGAGAGCCGGAAGCACTTCTGACACTACTAATTTTAAATCGGTGTGCTTCAAAAATCACTTCGACTGAAATCGATCCATACAAATTCGACCCGAATTCTGGGATTTTCTTGGATTATAGAAATAATTATAGGAATTTCTGTGGCTGATAAAAAGTAATTTAAAATTGTAACGTTTAAAGTTGATTTTAATTTTTAAAGTTACATCTTTAGTTAAATAAACATTTCTGATCCTATTTATTTTGCTTTAATTTTGGTTTTACAATTTGTTTTTGAATAGATAGTTATTTTTAAAAACTATACTTATGCCACTTTTTTTTTATTCCAGGAAGTGGAGTTGGTCAAACACAGCGCTCGGCGAGATGCGTTATCCTGAGCGCAAGCAGCGCGGAGGTCAGCGTTTGGGGCGTTCGACGCTTCCACCTGGCCACGCGGAATTGCGCGATCAACCGACTGATGAGACTGGAACCCGCGATGGCAATACCGGCGTACATTGATGTCACCAACGCCACATCGAGAACACCAGAGGACTCCAGCGAGAGTGGGAGTGGTAGCGGTAGTGGAGCCAGTCCAACAGGAGGCAGTGGAGCCAAGACCCCCGGTGGTGGCGGGGGGTCAGGTGCAAGTACGACCAGTGGGGCCGATCCACCCGGCGGCGGCAGCGACAAGTTCCTCTCGTGTCCAAAGTGTGGCAGCGCCTGCACCCAAGTAGAAACGTTTGTCAGCTCGACGCGATTCGTGAAGTGCGCCAAGTGCAACTACTTCTTCGTGGTGCTGTCCGAAGTGGAGACCAAGCAGCGCACCAAGGACGAGCCTAAGAACCAGCGCAAGCCGCCCCCTCCGCCACAGAAGATCATGGAGTACCTGGACAAGCATGTGGTGGGCCAGGACTTTGCTAAAAAGGTGCTGGCGGTGGCAGTCTACAACCACTACAAGCGCATTCACCACAACCTGCCGCAACTGCAACAGCAGGGAGGAGCTGGAGGCGGAGCCGGCAACAACGGCCTGGATGGTATTCCAAGGCCCGACTTGCTGCACATCACCGGGATCGGTCACACGCTGAATAGCTCGCCGGGCAACGAACTGCCGCCAAAGCCCGCCCAGATGGGCATGGGTGGCGGAATGGGAGGTTCCGGACTTGGAGGCGGACTCACGGGCGCAGCATCCAGCAACTCACGAGGCGGTGGCGACCACAGAGCCGGTTCGGAAATACTTGATCGGCAGTCCAACGATGTCAAGCTGGAGAAGAGCAACATAATCATGTTGGGCCCAACGGGATCCGGCAAAACATTGATCGCGCAGACGATTGCCAAGTGTCTGGACGTGCCCTTCGCCATATGTGACTGCACCACGCTGACTCAGGCAGGCTATGTGGGCGAGGATATTGAGAGTGTCATTTCAAAGCTTCTGCAGGATGCAAATTACAACGTAGAGCGCGCCCAGACGGGCATCGTCTTCCTCGACGAGGTGGACAAGATCGGCGCCGTCCCTGGAATACACCAGCTTCGCGATGTTGGCGGTGAAGGTGTCCAGCAGGGCATGCTAAAGATGCTCGAGGGTACCGTGGTCAACGTGCCCGAACGCAACTCTCCGCGCAAGCTGCGTGGCGAGACGGTCCAGGTGGACACCACAAACATCCTGTTCGTGGCGTCTGGTGCATACACGGGACTGGACAGGCTAATCGCGCGTCGCCTCAACGAGAAGGTAAGGCAGAGATCTTATTTTGAGTTTGCTTACTAATTACCTATTCTATTTCCTAGTATTTGGGTTTCGGCATGCCCTCGACCAGCGGATCTGGCCGTCGGGCAGCTCAATCAGCCGCCAGTCCCATGGACAACGATCAGGAGGAGCGTGACAAATGCCTGACGAAAGTGCAGGCACGTGATCTCGTTGAGTTCGGAATGATACCGGTAAGAATGAATTTGTTGAGCTAAACATGCTCAGATAAATTATCAAACTAATCAAGTTAAAACAAAATGAATTTCGGTACACGTCTATAATAATTAGTGCAGGTATATAAAGCTATAATTTTGTAAACAGCCATAATTTAACTTTTAATGGTTGACTAAAGCTATTTCCATCTAGATACATATTTCTAATGAAATAGAATTTAAGATTCTTCCAACCACTTTTACTTTACTAATTTTGAAACCACATTTGTGCTGCAGGAATTCGTTGGTCGATTTCCGGTTATTGTGCCCTTCCACAGTTTGAACGTTAGCATGTTGGTGCGAATCCTCACTGAACCGCGAAACGCTCTGGTGCCGCAGTACAAGGCATTGCTGGGTCTTGATGAGGTTGACCTTACTTTTACCGAGGACGCGGTAAAGTCGATAGCCCAGCTGGCGATGGAAAGGCATACGGGAGCACGTGGACTGCGCTCCATAATGGTAAGCAGTAGTAAAACACTTTAAGCACATAATACAAACCCTTAAATATTTTTCAGGAGCAACTGCTGCTGGATCCCATGTTCATAGTCCCCGGCTCAGACATTCGGGGTGTTCACATAACCGCTGATTATGTTAAGGGAAGCTCCACACCAGAATACAGCCGTGATGCGGACGCCCCGGCATCCGGGACTATTGCCACGGACTCTGATACCACGACCGATAATGATAAGAACTTTGAGAATAGTGAAAAAGTACGACTAAAACAGTAATTTAGACAGAGATACCCACATCCAAAGCCAATCAAAACAGAAATCGGGACAAAACTTAAACGAAACAAAAATCCTTCAATTCGCAACGCTTTTCGAATTGTTGGTTCTTCTTAAGCTCTTGTCTTCTTTTCTTTCTTTAGCTTGTTAAATTTTTCCAAATGATTGATTGCGAATCGTTGTCACAGTTGAGCGCTTAGTTTTTCTCTAAACTTACCCGTTGCAAACACTATTCATTGTTAAACCCCGTATCATACTCTAACATGTATATTTTTTAGTGCGGTTTGAATGATAAATTGGTTGGTTCTTCGTAGCTCCCCTCGAGTCCCATCACTCTGTAAAATATGACCCGCTTTGGAGTGAATGAAGGCTCCCGCATATATTTATAAAGAATATCCTCAATCCCATATGCATCTGTGATTCATAATCGACAAGCAGCGCAATCTTTTGAGCCCGAAGCAATTGTAAATGGAAAAACAAGTCCTAAATAGAATGTTACAATGAATAAAATCAACATTTTTTTAAACATTAAAATAAATGTAGATCGAAAATCTGCTATGTTGGCAGCGATGTGGTCAAGGTCTATTGTCGCTAAGATCCTCTCTTGCATAAACCAATTATATATACAAACGTAAACATATATTTAGGCAAATTTTGCATAGTCTAAACTGAGTTTCTAAATGAGTTCTGGTAGCGTTGTAAAGATGACAAACGAGAAGCACGTTCTACTTTTAACTAATTTAAGTTGAAAATCAATAAAAAAAACCATTAATAAAAAAAAGAAAAAAATTAAAAAGTGGTGTTACTATTACTTTTAGTTAGTCGACTAAAAAATTGTACTAAATTGATCATTTTTAACATACTTATTATTCGAAACCTTATTATTTTGTATGTTTGCAAACAATAAATTTTAGACGGCTCCAGGTACCGATCGCTAAGAACAAAATTTTTTAAATTAAAGGTCCACATCCTTAAATGCAAAAAGTACCCTTCAATAAGAAACACAACATAACTTTATTACCATGTTTTAAGTAATGTTTTTTTTCTTTCTTATTCTTTAAAATTACCAAAATTTATTAACAGTAATTGTAATGCAGACTAACAGGGAAATTCAGTTGGACATAACTTTTTCCTTATCCTTTTTTCAGTTTTTAGTTTTCCATTTGAACGGTCAATATAATAAAAGTTTTCCACCCCTTTTTAAATTTTAAAATCCCAACAGAATGCTACGTCAGTTTTAGTTTTCATTAATTTTATTTTATTCGTCATTAAAATTCAACTAAATCTGCAGAACTCATAATAAATAATTTTAATTTATTGCACATATGGACTAATAGTAGTACCTTCTTTTTGTTTGTTTTTCTGTTTCATTTTCATTTCGTAGTGTATAAATTTGTATAAAAATTTGTAAGTTAATAAATATCTTTTGGCGACCTTTAATCGTTTTCCTCCGATATGAGCAGCTCGTATTCCTGTGCAGCAAAGCGATCCCAATCGGAGGTCTGTGAAGAAGGGAAAGCTGTTAAGGGACTCCAAAATCAAAAGCCATTAAGACTTACATATTCGTCACGCTGCGAGGCAAAGGGATCTCGTTGTTCGTGATCCAGATACTTCTCCAGGTTGAAGAAGGTATCGAAAAAGACATGCGTCATTTTGCAGCGCTTCAGATCGCCTAGGGTGATGCAATCGCGATTCGCCGGCTTGATCATATCCAGCATCTAATATAAAGAAATATTAAGTAAATCTATTAAAAGGTTATAGGCCAAGTCCTCACCTGACACAGGCAGTCCTCGAAAGGTAGGCACTCGATGCCGATTCCCTCCATCCGCTGTTGCTGCTCCTCGTAGAAGTATTCCAGTTCGTACATGGACAGCACACCATCTCCGTCCACGTCCATACATCGAAACCAGTACTCGATGGCTGTCGGCGTCCGTTTGTCCTCCTCCGACAGGATGAACCACACAAAGTCCGTGTAGGACATCTTGGCCTCGTCCTCCGGCGCCTTTTTGTTATCGCTGCGCGTCACACATCCCGAGAAGATCCGCTCCACGATGCGCGATGACAAAGCATGGTCACTGTGCTTGGCGAGATCCTCCTGGTTGACCAGCAGGTCGTGATCCTTGTCCAGCTCCCAGAACTTGCAGTAGATCACGTAGAAGTGCTCGTAGCTGAAAAAGGCCATTATCTGGTTGATGTCCTCCTCCTCCTCCAGCAGACTGATCATCTGTGGGCGGTTTTTAAATTATACATTATGAATTTGTCCGAAATTTATAAACTTTCGATTATTTCACAATATTTATAAATATTTATAGATCATTGAAACATTTAGCTCACCTCCAGCAGATCGGAACGCTTAAGTTCGGCTATTGTGATCTTGCCACTCCAACTGCGGTTCACCGAATAGAAAATGCGCGCGATGACTGTGTGCACGTATCTGGAATGGAACTCGGTGGCTTCCTTGAGAAAGGCCAGGCCGGGGTGTGTGTCCACCACATCCTGCACCATTGGCACCAGGTCCTCGGGCACGATGTACGAACGGAATCTCTGGCCTCGCGACAGAATGTACACGAATCTCGAGGCCGCCTCATGGCAATAAACATTCATTCTGTAAGATTTTTACACAAATATATATAATAGGATGTTTTGAGTAATTAATTTATAAATAACAAAATTGGATCCATTAGTCAGTGACATATCGTTATGAACTCTTTCTGTAGAAAATATAGTAGTCTTTTATTCATGAGTAAATAAAGAATCTAATAAGGATATTCTAAACTTAAAATAGAATACCGATATTATGAACTTAATAAAAAAAGTTTTATACAACTGCTTTATGATCAAAATAAGGTAGGTCGTATATATATTTACACTTTCTTATTATTTTGATATGTGAATAACGTTACATCTAGACAGCTCGCACAGGCTCGCATTTAAAATTTTCAACCCAACATTTGAATTGAAATGTTCTTTAAAATAGTTTTAGCATTTTAAAAATATCATTATGGGGAAATCGTGCCTAAGGGTTACATATATAGGAATAACTTACTGTTTCCAGAACTCGACGAACCGCTGGCGCTCGACGAGACCCGAGCTGGCCGACTGGCAGAAGACCATCACCGGCATGCGCCAGTAGAAGGGCAGGCCGCAGATCTTCAGGATGCGCGGCAGCTCGTCCTTGGTCACCTGGTTGTTGGGAAAGCTGTCGAAGGCGGAGAGGATGCCCCGCACCACCCGCTCCATGGCGATATTGGGCTGTGGCTTGCCATGTGGAAAGTAGAATCTGCCGGGTAATGCACACCTTTGATTAGAAACCACATCAAGGGATTCGAATTGTGGATCCGCTCACCTGGGTATGTAGACGCTCTTCGTGGAGCGGATCTCCTTCTGCAACAGATTCTGCTCCGGCGGCGGTGGCGGGGTGGCATGCAGCTTGACCTGTCGACAAATATGAACGAAAATTAATATCACTCATTAATTGTTTACATTCCCTTGTTGTGCTGCGGCTGCCAAAGCGCCACTCAACTCAATAAAATTTGCAATTTATTCTCGAAGAATTTCATTTGTTTACGTTTTCGCGGAAATTTTTCTCGCTCTCGGCCAAAAAGCCGCAGACTGCCACGCCCATATCGACGTACGTTCGCCCTTTACCTTTGAATTTATTATTAAATGTTTGCCATTCAAATAAACATCAACAAATTGTTGGCTAATTTAAGCGGTGAGTGGAGGCACAAAAACAAATACTTTTTGTTTAAACTAACTTTTCGCTTTGGTAAATAATGGAAACATATTTGGTCCGTGGGATTTTTATGTTGCCAATTTGTCGATACTAAACAAGATAAATTGTTTTCATGGAAAAAATGCATTGAATACATAAAAAGGTAGAGAAAAGAAGGAAGTGAAAACGATCGTGAGCTATAATTTTTTATTAGGCAGCTACAAAACAAAATAAATTGCCTGTATGTGGAAGAATTTATTATGCTATGCACAACTAAAAGTAGAAAATTCAAATAAAATAAAACGATTACTGAAACTAATTATAAGTAAAAAAGATTAATCTAACTGTATTATTCTTTGTTCTTCTGTATTTCCCCAAACAAAAATTATATGACTTTATTTGGTTTTTATATGTATGAGGACGTTTCATCAGTTATAATCCATGCCTAGGCCATTCATGATTTTAAAACTGTCAACGGCGACATAAATATTAATCTTCTTAGTCGGCCACAATGAGAAGCCCCTACGAAAGAGCAAACAAATCATTGGCATGTGCGCATATTACGTATACGCCCGGCTACACATCGTTTATAGTCAAATATTACGCATACGCATTGTTGCCTAATTTATAGACAAACGCCAAAGAGCCCAAAAATCACTAGAGAATCGAACGCATACAACTTGTGTCTGCCCCTGCCTAAAACTTAATTGCAAAAAATAGGTTTTTTTTCGTTGGGGATTATATTTTTAGCCGATTTGTTTGCTTTGATCAGACGCTTGGTCCGAAGTGAGGAATTTCACAAGCAATCGTAGTAAAGCAAAGTTCAATTGTTTTAGAGAGATTTTGGTTTGGTGCTTACCATTCATAAAAATATAAAAAAAAACAGAATATGCCGTGCCCGCCCGCACATGTAATTAAGCAATTAAACAATTCTGAAACAAAAAACCCCCAACCAAAGCAACAATCAGCACTAAGGCAACAAAACAACGAATTGCATTTCGAAGTGCTCAAAAGTGATGATGATCATGTGCTTGGGTTGTATTGAATTCGGTTTGGTTGTTGTTTGGTTTATTTTTGTTGATCCTCCACCCGTTTCTCTCTCACATTTGGATATTTTGCTTTTGCACGATTGTGCTGATCGTAAATGCTTGATTTGATTGTTTATATACGAAAATATGCACACAACACTGGGAGCTCTCGATGTGGGTAAGTGAAACCTCTATGGATACCCAATAAACCCTGAGCAGTTAACAGGTTCTTGAGCGGCTAAGCAAATTATACCGGAATGTTTTGAATTTATTAATAATGTGCGTTACAAAACTGCGAAATAACACTTCCGTTTTCATGAATGTCCAACAAATCTGTTTTAATTTAATAATCACAAAATCTTTGTTATATACATTTTGTATTCAACTTAAAATTTGCTTTGTATCATGACGTAATTTGATTAATTTGCACTTGTACAAAGTGAATACAATAATTTATTTGGCTTACTGACTTTTCGTCTGAAGTTTTGTTTTTTTTAAATATAAACCTATTTGTTATTCGTTTTTTTTTCTTATGAGCTTTAGATTAGGTACTATTTTTTTGTAGCCTTTTTTAACTCACCATAACCAATATTTATAGTACACAATTCTGAGGACTGTCGAATGATATTTAAGAACATTGTTTAAGGTAATTTTGTAAGCAATTTATTTAAATAATCTACATGAATTCGAACCTATGTTATTGCCATATTTTCGATATATTTTTGGGTACCTTCTAATAATTTATTTAATTTTTTCCTTAGTGTAAAAGCTGAGATTGTGATTAAGCTTTTAGAATGAAACCCCCTTGCTTTGAACCTTTTTCACACTTATGCCCGCCGATCTTCCCCAGCCATTTGGCAAGCGTTTCTCGTGTGGCGTCTTGGGGTAACCTTAAATCAATCAATGATGCAGTGCGCTCGCACCGATAAGAGCAGCCCACAAAAAGTCGAACGAAAACAAATGGGCAATTGCAATTGGTTCGATCTGCGACGGGACGAGGATATGGGGAGGGGTAAGTTTCGATTTTTTTGTGCACTGTCTTGTGGCATTTTCAACTATTAGATAACACCACGAGCATACGATTTTCGGCCCCGCGAATGCCTGATCGGTATAGATTTTCATAACTCACCTTTATGAGGCTCTTGGGCGGAGTGTCCGCCTGCGGCCGCTTGATGTTCAGGAAGGCGTGCCGCACATCCGGACACTTCTCGAACATGAGGACGCGCTCGGCCACGGAGCCGCGGGTGAGGAGATTCACTGGAAGAAGAGACTTGGAGTTGTGGCGCGCTCAGGGATATAGGGATTCGATTCGTTTATATTACTCTTATCCTGGCCATTGGTGAGGGCCGCCCGCGCCCCGCTGGTCGGTTTGACTTTATTCAACGTTGGCATCGTTGTGCTGGCCGATGTTGCTGGCGTTGCATCCATCGATGTTGCTGTTGCTGCTGCCGATGCTGCTGTTGCTGCTGCTGCTGCAGCTATGTTGCTGGCGTTATCAGTGGCGATGCGACTTGTTGATTTGCGTGCTGTGGCCACAGTTGCCACCCCCGTTGGCTTTTCTTTGGTTGCCGGCTTCGTATCGGCGCTGTTTTCTTTGGTTTTGCTTGACTTGCGATTTGTGGCCGCTGGCTCGCCGCCCTTATCACTCACTGCCGCCATGCTGTTGCCCATTCTCGCGGATGGCCCGTCTACAACATCTAGACTAACAGCTAGAGATCCATTCCTGCTGCTGGCCTTGCTCTGCTTTTTGGTGGGTTGCTCTGACGCTGTTAACTTGTTGCCGATGGCCGAATTCGCGCTAATGCTACTGTTACTGTTGGCATTAGCCTTGCTGTTTTGCCGCTTTTTGCCAACTGTGGCCGGGGCCTGGGCCTCCTTCTGCTGCTGGATGAGCTCGCTGATCTTGAGCAGATTGTGGGTTTGCTGTGTGGACAGATTGTTCACGTCCAGATCCAGACTGATGTCATAGTTGAGATTGACATCGGGCAAGGGTTTGCTAACCGCGGCCACTTTTTTCGGCGATTGCAGGACCTGATCCGGCACAGGATTGAAGCTGGAGCCCACAACCTTTTTCACCTTGCCATTGGAGGTGATGTCGGATTTCTTTAGGCTGTTGGTCTTGCCGCGCTGCTCCTTGTCCTTGTTGACGAAGCTGGTGACCATCTTTCTGGAGACCCTCGTTATCGGCGGTGGGCGATAGGTCACCGGAGGCGGCGGCATTTGTGTACATCTGCATGATTTCTGGCGGCGGAATGCCGTGGCTCTTCCACGTCTCATAGATGGCATCGGCGTGCTCGTTGATCTTTTTGGTCAGCTCGGCGATTTCCGCATTGGGATCGCTGGTAGCTGCAGAAGTACTTGATCCCTGGGACTTGGGAGACTTGGGACTGGCTCCAGAACCCGCTGGATTCCGTGTCGTGGTGGTGGTTTTAATGGCACTTGTCACCGCCACCGAACTGATCATGTTGCTCCCCGTCCCGCTGCTAAGCTTCTTGGTCTTGGTGGTCGTTGTTGTTGTGGTGGTGCTCGAATTGGCTTGCATTTTGCTCTAGTATCTCGGTAAATTTGTGTTTCTTTTTAGGTTTCTTTCTCTCGCTCTCTGTTTGGATATTCACATTTTCACTGCTCACATTTTTATTTCAATAATTTATTGAAATCTTAATTGAGTTTTTATTTAATTTGCCCGGCTTTGTTGCGTTGTTTGGCACTGCGAGATTCACATGCGTTTCATTCACTTTTCACATTTTCAGCGTTCTCAACTTTTTATCCGTAGACTGCGTATGGCGAAATCTATTTATATAAAAGAAAATACCAAAATTTCCTATTTCGTTTATTTCAGACGCCGAAAGCGAAACATACAGCCAAGCATTCGAAACACAGACGCACCGCACGAAAATATACGGATACGGATTCGGGACCTGGCATCAGCGGAATATCGAGCAGATACGTAAGACGCGTACACGGCGGGCACAGTGGTCGCAGAACCATTATAAGCAATACAAATTTGACATGAAACTGCCAAGAGCAATTATCATATCGTGGGATTAATTAATGGTCCCACACCTTTGGCGCCGAAAACGTGAACGATTATCGTGTCACGTTAAATCTTCTCGACATTCCATCTGGTTTTGTTTGCGCAAAAACAAACAATTAATCAATTGAATTAATTGAATAACTTTTTACGGGTCAAATATAAACTAGACCCACTGTGCATGCGTAAGATATAGACAAGTGCGGTCAAAATAATAGCTTTAATGGTCTACCGAAATTTACCTGAAATTTATATTATATTCTTTCTATAGACGTTTGTGGTTCAAGGAAAAGCTTTCTGGAAAATAAAACGTATCTCTCAACATTATTACTTTTGTTTAATTCGTTATCAACTCGGAGTAATTTGTATTATTTCTAAATCTACAAAAATGGGGTTTCCGAACCCTTTCGTTTAAATAGTCTTATTTTTTATAATTATATAAATTATATTTTATTAATTGATTATATTAATTGATATATTTTTTTGATCAGCCAAACCCTTATAAAAAATAATTTTATTTTTTTTTTATTATCTTTCAATGAATTTAAAGTTTCTGATTGTTTTTTAAAGCGTGAGTCGTTTCCTATTTGTAATAGAACGCGAGATTCTTATTAATTCTTATCTAAATATATTTAAAATTTTTTAAGTGCCTGTCACAAACCTCTACACAAAACTGACCTATAAGTATGCTTATTTGCATAACGAATGAGCTCTCTAAATATTTTTAAAACCTTTTTGATAAACCTTTTTATGTCTATCGAACTCTTTTTGTAACACTCTTAAATGAGATGTTAATTCGTTAAATAGCGCAGATAAACATTTGGACAAACAACAAATTCTCTTATAGCTTTTCATTGAGTAACCTCAGGGGAAGGCGCTGAGAAACCAATTAGCATGGCTATTATCTTGACCGCAGCTGTCGATTGTACTATTTCGCTGTTTTACGTGGGGTTGCGATGGGATGGGATGAGACCGGGAGCTGCGTTTGCAACTGCTGCTTCTTCAACTTTGTACTATTTATTCGAAAATAAATTTCGAAGTAGTTGCTGCTCACAGACACACGTGCAATGCACTTTACATATGTTATTTCTCTGTGTGTGTGAGGTGGGGGGATGACGTACATATATGTAGTTTGATATTTGTCTGCCTTTATTAATGATTTAATTGCATTTGGGACCGGAGGCGCGCGTGCTGACGACAACGGAGACACCGAGAGATTCCGTCATTAATTAATTAACCAAGCCAAACCGAGCAGGGGTTAATCGACATTTTCGCGGCACGACATTTTTGCCGATTTTTTTAAAGGGGGAAATTCGCGAATTATGAACGAATGTTTTCCGATCACAGGGGGAAAACACACGCGGCCGAGGGATATTTTGGAAAACTCTGGCAAGCTTCCGCTTGGCGAGTCTAAAATTAACAGCAAACAGAGCAGAATTCACAGATCCACAAATCGGAAAACAGTCGTATATCCGAGCGTATAGCGGTGCACGCGATGCTGCTAAGGTCCGTGTTGTTACTGTAAATCTTCGGCTGCTGAAAATAACATCAGCCTCCGTTTTCGTTCTGCGAGCGATCGAGCCAACGGAGCGGATGAGCGAGAGATCGCGGTGATCTCAGCTGTTCTGTTGCTGTTGCTGCAACTACGCTAATGACGCTCGTAGCCCCCAAGAACGAGCGCTCCCACACACTCGCGACCTGCGATCATATCAGAGGTGACCCAATGGGCAAAAAAAAGTCAGTGACAAATCGGGCTGGAAAAGCGCTAGATAAACTCATTTCTCTTTAGGAGAGTTGGGCAAACCCGAAATTGATAAAATATTGCGTTTTTTTATGCATGTGCAATACTTATTATAAATACATACAATTGATAGCAATTAATGCAACCAAAAAATAAGTTGTTTTAATATGTTTGTTAACAATTTAATTTTTTTTTGTATGTTACTTCAATGTAATACAGCTCTTTAAAAATAAAATGTTTAAAATGTAAAAATTCATAACAATTTTTAAAACTTGAAAATTTTATTCTAATCGGGGCTTAAATTCCTCATAACAAAAAACATGATAAGCAACTAGAAGAGCATGATTTAAGAACAAACGTCATAAGGGAACAAACTGTATTGAGTTGTGCTGCGAATTTATATATATAAAAATATACATTTTAATTTATCTTTTATAAATATTTCTAAATTATTATAAAATAGGTTTTAGCTAGAGCGGCAACTCAATCGCAGTGAGAGCCGGTGAGAGAGAGGGAGAGCGCCGGAGAGAGCGGCGCCCAAAAATATCGCCCATTACTTTGGCGTTCTTTGAGCAGCTGCTCCACCGAAATGATTTGCTATGCTCGCGCTCTCACTTTCTCACTTACCCCCACACGGCGGCGCAGCGGCAGCGACGTCGGCAGAACACTTGCCGTCGTTTACCCACTCACACGCACACACACTGGCACACCAATCCATAGTCGAACATAAAAAATACAAAAATCAAATCATAGGTGTTTGTTAATTATACACTGTGCCCTGGAGGCAGGGTTTCACGGTTCAGTTGGGAGGTTTGACAAGTTACGTTTACCCTAAACCATCCGAAATTCTTTTAAGCTGCATAACCATATTTTAAATCAACACTTTAATGTATCCTTAGTAACCTGATATACATAAAACATGTTCCTTTGCATGATTCTTCTATTCACAATTAAAAAATAACTTAAGTTTTTGGTAATATCATATTTAATAAATTTGAATATAAATAGTGTTCGTGTTCCTACAAATTAAAAGCATCCTTTAAGGCGATTAAGGACTGAAGACTATTTCCTGTCCTTTCAAATGTAGCCTTTTTATTTAATTCCGGAAAGAGTTTTTTGTTTATTATTTATTAAGCTTATTAGATTGTAAAGTGTCATTAAAGGGTCTGAAGTTTGTGGCCAAATTATTTTTTTATACTTGGCACATTACAATATTTAAGCAAAATTTAATATTACATAATCTTGAAACTCATGTAAACATGACTAAAATATCTTCCTCTTTCTTCTATTGACCTTATATATCAGTTCTATTATGCATATTGTAAATATGTTCACGTTTATAGTGTATGCAAAGAACTAACCTAATATTGTTATTCTTCTCCAGTTTCATTTTTGTCTGCCTCATTGAGCAGGAAAACAACAACAAGACTGCGACTACGGATCGAAGCATTTATCTCGCTTATTTGCTAATGCTAAATGATTGTCTTCTTCTTCTTCTTCGGCCGCCTTCTTCCTCTTCACATCGCAATGTTTGTTGCAGTTAGCTGTCTTTATGTCTTTATTGTTGCTATACCCATTTGGTGTCTTGGCTTTTTTATGTTTAGGCCATTTAGCAGGTGGGCGGGTGACTTTTGTTTGTTTAAAGAAACCCGAAAACGCTGAATAAATTGAAATGCGATTCATGTTTTAGTTTATACAGCGATTTGTATTTATATTTGTATACACAAAAATATACAAACATACGCAGATATGGTAACCGCAAGTGCGGCTAACGATGACGCCGATAATGATCATAATGATAATGCCGATCTGAGCACAGCTTCCGGTTTTGCGCTTTAGAATTTTTATTACTTTTTTTCGCGGGCCAACTTCATATAAATATTTATAACCACCTATGTATTTGTTGTATTGTTTTGCGGTGTGTAATTGATTTAAACCGAAAGATCTGCCAAGCCTAACATGTGTCGACTGTCACACCGAGTGACAGTTATTTCGGTATAGTTCCATATTAGGGCTGGGCATTAAGCGTGACATCCCGGCCAGCTGGATTAGCCTAAAACTTGACCCAATTCAAGTGAACGTGTTGAGCGAGCTCACAAAGGCGAACAATAGGCTTTTATGCCAAAGTTGGATTGACAAAATAAAATCTAAACTGCCCACACGAACAAAATATGTGCGGAAAATTCAATGGAGGTGCGAATAGATCAATCGCCAATGCAAAATCCATAAGCAGCTTAGCGCTTGGGAGAGCGAATTCATTTTTGGGCATTTAAAGAGATTTTTTGATTTGTAACATTCGGGGTTAAATCCAAGATAAGCGTGGCTCGCGAAATATGCGTTCATCTACGCACACACTGCGTATGCTTAATTGCGCATACGTACTGGGGTCGCCCTTGACGATTCTTCTGCTGCTATGCCTTTACATATTTCTTGAGCATTGACACACTAAATCGCTGACATTCCACGCCCCTTTCAGCACAATGTCAGACCCAACTAAAGCACGACCAGAATCCTCTTGGAAACCTTTGAAATGTCTCTAGCTATTGACATTGGTTTGGGCCATTGCGATGTGCACTTTCTTTTGTTATGGCTATTATGATTATAAGCCAAAAGCTGTCGACACCTTTCTCTGCACACTATATATTTTTAGGCATGGGTTAATTGAATTTAAAAAACATAGGTTCTACGAGGGAAAACTATAAAAGCCAGGGCAAAAAATGCAAACGATGCAGGTTTCCAACGACCAATCGCCGCGAATAGTCCGCTCCAGTGAAATATTCAGAATCCAGGAATCCTTTATGTAAAAAGTGTTAGAAATATTGTTAGTGAATTTGCAGCTTTTTATGTAGATAGTGTGATATAGGCGGGATAAAGTGACGCAGCCAGATAACAAAACACAATGGAGAGGTACGACCCCGAGGAAATCCAAAGATTTGGAGTTATCTGTACTGAATTTTTGTTCGTTGTTGCAGCTTTGCAGTAGCAGCCGCGCAACTGGGGCCACACTTTGCCCCCCTTGTCCAATGGATCGGTGGTGGACAAGGTCACGCCCGACATGGCCCACCTGATCAGCCCGTACTGGAACCAGTTCCCCGCCATGGACCCCATCTGGGCCAAGATCCTGACCGCCTACATGATCATGATCGGCATGATTTCCTGGTGCGGAAATGGCGTGGTGATCTACATTTTCGCCACCACCAAGTCGTTGCGTACTCCCGCAAACCTCCTGGTCATTAATCTGGCCCTCTCCGACTTCGGCATCATGATCACCAATACACCCATGATGGGAATCAATCTTTACTTTGAGACCTGGGTCCTCGGCCCGATGATGTGCGATATCTACGCTGGACTGGGCTCTGCCTTCGGCTGCAGCTCCATCTGGTCCATGTGCATGATCTCGCTGGATCGCTACCAAGTGATTGTCAAGGGCATGGCCGGCCGGCCGATGACCATTCCGTTGGCTTTGGGCAAGATAGCCTACATCTGGTTCATGTCGAGCATTTGGTGCCTGGCGCCCGCCTTCGGCTGGAGCAGGTGAGTCCACAAACTGGAAGGGGTTCCACTAATAAATTTATTTAATTTGTTTAGTTACAAAATTGCTTTTTCGAAAATTAAAAGATTCTATAAAGATCAAAGAGTCACTTTATTTTGAAAATTAAAAGAGTCATAAAAGTTTATATCTTCACGAATAGTAAATATCTTATATATCAGTTTAGGTTTTTTGCCATTGAAAATAAATAAGGATGCATTTTCTCAACTGAAAAGAAAACAAAAAAAATTGAATAATTTCAAAATATTTAATCATTCTACATATTGTTAATATAAATATATAAACAAAATTGTTGTTAAATACCCAACAAATTTTTTTTATTTATTTACATAAATATTGAAGACTCAAGGAATTTACAATTTTACGCGAATTTCTAGAAATAAGCTTTATAATTAAAAAATATGTTTCTAGGATTTTAAAGAGCCTTGTAAAATATACCCTGCTTTTTTCCCCAGGTATGTGCCGGAGGGTAATCTGACATCGTGCGGTATTGACTACTTGGAACGCGATTGGAATCCACGCTCATACCTGATCTTCTACTCCATTTTCGTGTACTACATTCCGCTGTTCTTGATCTGCTACTCCTACTGGTTCATCATTGCTGTAAGTGGCAAAGCGGTATGATTTATCCAGATGATTATCCCGGTTTATTCTCTCCCAGGCTGTGTCCGCCCACGAGAAGGCCATGCGCGAGCAGGCCAAGAAGATGAATGTCAAGTCCCTCCGCTCCTCTGAGGATGCCGAGAAGAGCGCCGAGGGCAAGCTGGCCAAGGTGGCTCTGGTGACCATCAGCCTGTGGTTCATGGCGTGGACTCCATACCTTGTGATCAACTGCATGGGACTGTTCAAGTTCGAGGGTCTCACACCACTGAACACCATTTGGGGAGCTTGCTTTGCCAAGTCGGCCGCCTGCTACAATCCAATTGTATATGGCATCAGGTAAGGATCCGTAAAAGATTATTCTGCATTTCTTAAACTTAATTACTTATTGAACCATCTAGCCATCCCAAATACCGCCTGGCCCTCAAGGAGAAGTGTCCTTGCTGCGTCTTTGGCAAGGTTGATGATGGAAAGTCGAGTGATGCCCAATCTCAGGCCACAGCTAGTGAGGCCGAGTCCAAGGCATAAATTCTTTGGCGCAACAACCAGAACAGCAACAACAACATCTAACTACTTACAACAGCAACAACAACAGCAACAAAAAAACAACAACAACAGCAAGAACAACTGCAGCAACAGAACGAAACGCTTTCGAATAACATCAAAAACAATAATTATAAAAGTATGCAAATTTCTTACATAACAAACAGCAATGTAAACTCAATTATCAAATCTTCTGCAATGTCAGTTAAAGACAAAAAAAAACTAAACAAAAAAAATAAATGCAAACGAACTAGAAAAGTTACTTTAAATGTTTCTTTGTAGCTTAGAATCTAGCTTACCTTTTACATCCATAAATAAGTAATAGCTATTTCCCAACTCATTAAAAAGCACCACATTTTGCAAAGCACTTCACAATGTAATTTCTGTTTCAGTTTTTGTTTTGTTTTAAATTAAAGGCACTTAAATTCCATTTTTTGTTTGATAAATTAACATGCAATGGCAAAAGCTCGACAAACAAACCCATGTATTTTCGAACTCAAAGTTCGGAGAACCATGAGTGAATCTGGTCGAATTTTACCCAGGGTTGCTGAAAACTCATTGAGCTGAGCTTCTTAGCGGTTAGTAGCATATGGACAACATTAACAATTAATCTGTATCAGTAGTATCTGTTAAGGCACAACTATAGAGGTTCCAGCTTCAGTCACTCGCTGCAGGAATCGTATTCGCTTTCGCTTTTTTTTATTTTCGTTTTGATGCCTGGCGTTCCGGGTGTTGTTGTTGTGGGTGATGGTAGCGTATTGTTGTTGTCAATAAGGGCCAAAGAGCAATTGCCTCCAATAGGTTTGTGGTAAGTGCTGGGCGGACTGTCCACGCATTCGGAGGAAGTGCAGGCCCGTTCCTGTATAATGAGTTTCCACAGACGCACCTCGATGCCAACGCTGTAAAATACAAGTAATAGCTGAGTATGGAATTATATGTTTTCTTTAAAGTTTTCATCATACCGGAGACCCAGCCTCATGAGGTCCAGCTTCTCCATGTTGTAGATGAAATCCTCAAACGTGAAACCTTCATTCAGAATGAGCGTCTTTGAGAACTCGTCAATTTCTTGCTGGGTCAGCCACTGCTCCAACTGCTCGTCTATTTCGTGAAGACCAAAGTGTTGCTTGTTTAGCTGCCTCCGGGGATTGCCCACTAGGGTGGGACGGACTCCGGACATTCCGCCCGCATTGGGACTCATTCTATGGCACTTTTTGTTAAATCCGTTAATGGTGCGTCTGTGAAAATATTTTTTTAGAATTTTAGAAAGAACACAAACAATTGACTTCTTAAGTGTTTTACCCACCTTAATCTCTTCCTGCCGCCCATGTAAATGTGGGCTAGCTCCTGACTAATGTTATGTAGGGCCTTCATGCTCTGGCGCTGCTGCTCGAGCAGTTGACGTTGCAGCTTCTGCTGGTTGTCACGAATGTCTCGCAGGATGCGGGCGCACTCTACCGAACTGGCCAGGGCATCGCCACCCGGGTCTGCTGGCGCAAGTCCGACTCCTCCTCCCGTACTGCTCGAAGGCTGTACCTTTTCCAGGCTCTGCTGATGCTTCTCTTGACTGTCGGTAGAACCCTGCTGCATGAGGCTTGTGTGCACGCTTTCATCATCATTTCCGGACAGATCCTTGTCCGCCAGATTGGCACCCAGTTCAGGAGAAAAAATTGTAACCGCCGCCTGGACGGCCCGCTTAACGAGATTATCCAAAGCGAACATCCAATGAGGTTTAATGCAGTGATACCGCAGCACACAGACAACAGCGTCTTGAAAAGAGTACAGGGCCAGATGCAGATGGTCAAGAGCCACTGCGTCGTTATTTAGCTTTTGCTTCAGTTCGTTTATAGTCGCCTCCAAATGCTTTTCGTTCTCATTCATGATATAATCCCGCAGTCCCCGGATCAACACCTCCAAGTCGCTCTTCCTAATCGCAATCGAGTGTTGATCGGCATCTACCTTCTTCAGCCAAATATCGCAGATCTTGGATTCATCCAGTGCCAAAACCTTAGAAAGCGTCGTCCGCCTTTGTGAATCCTTCTTTAAGTCGGTAGAATCCGTCAGTTTCACTCGTCTCACTAATGCTCGTTCGCAAGGACGGCGTGGAGGGTTCGATTTCCGGCGAAAGCAAAAATCCAGAAGAATTGCGTCGTTCCAGCAGAAACTGGTTGCTGGGCAACTCGTCAATGTCCACCGAGGATGTGTGAGTAATGCTGAAATTGGGAAGTGATATTAGAAATTATAAATTACAGTCCTCTATTTGCCCTCCCCAGTAGGAAAATCCGAGTGCACACTTGCTCCATCATTATTGATGTACTTGACTGATAAAACCAATCAATATATAAACGATAATTACACATGTTTACAATAAAAGAAAATATAGATTAAAACAAAGGTAAAGTGAGAGCTTTTTAAAAGCTAAATGCAAAATATCAAGAATTAAAAAAAAAGGTATGTGTTTCGAAATAAGATAATTATAAGAACAGCTATTTCTGTGATTAAACATTTAGTAATTGATTTTTGAGAGCTCAATTATTAGCTTACTCCAATTCTGGCGTGGTGGGCGTATTGCAGGTTGTGTTGTAGCTCAGCGGCGGTGTGGTTTTGTGCACAAAACGATCAGCCGGCACCGAGATGCTACGTCCAAACTCCGTATTGATGGGCAAAGCCGGACGCGTCTTGCGAGGTTTACTAAAATTATAAATGAATAATGCAATTAGAGGTGGAACCGTGTAAGACAATCCCCTGAAGAAACTCACTCTGCCAAAAAGGGATCCTCTAGCAGTTGCGAAGCGGATGGTCGGTCGAGTACGCTGATGGCGAAGCAACGCAGAATGAAGTTCTTGGCGTTTGCGGACAGTTCCTCGGGTATGTTTGGGTGCTTCTTGTAGTACCCCACCTTGAACATGGCCGCCTGGGCACAGCCCAGCTCAATAAACGGCGGCTTGCCTGTGGCCATCTCCACGTTTGTGCAGCCAAAAGACCAGATGTCTGCCGCTGGGCCGTAACCGCGAACGCCCTGGTCAATAACCTCTGGCGCCATGTACTGCAAAGTGCCCGTGAAGGTCTCCGTCATCGGATTGATGCGGGCCAGCCGCTTGGAGGTGCCGAAATCGGAAATCTTAACCACGCCGCTGTACGTGTTAACCAGAACGTTATCGCCCTTGATATCACGATGCACAATATCCTGCTCGTGGAGGTATTTGAGCCCCTCGAGGATCTGCTTGGAGTAGAAGGCCATTGTGGACTCGTTGTCCTTGAGCGGACCCCATTTGGTCTCTAAAAGGTCGGAGAGCGAGCCTCCTGGCACCTGCTCCATGAAGATCTTGAAGAAGCCGTCCTCCGAGCGTGATCCCAAGTAGCGTACGATGTTGCGGTGGCGCAACTGCGAGTGCAGCTTGATCTCCTCGTGCAGTGGCTGTACGTCCTGTGAGTTCTTTTCCGGCACCTCTTTGATGGCAATACGCACTTGCGTCTGCTTGTCGCGAGCGGCGTAAACGGTTCCGTACGTGCCTTTGCCCAGCACCATCTTGCGGTTCTGCTCATCGTAGTCGTACTCGTACTGCAAGTAAGGATAATAAGTCATATATTGCGGGAATAAGGAAATACTAATGGACCCACCTCGATTTGCGCGTCATCATTGCTGAGATTGACAAAAACCACCTGGTCAGCGGTCATCTCCAGGATCATATCGTAGAACTTTTGCCGGCGCTCGGTGGAGGGGAAGTATATCTGAAAGTCATCCGAATTATGATGGACGTACAGATAGGCACAGCGATCATCCCGCTTGTACAGGCTGACGGACTTGATCTTTGAGGCCACGAAAAGAAAGTCATGGAGTTTCTTGCAAGCATTCTTTGCGTGCGCCAGACAATTGTTCACGATCTGAATGGACTTTTCATCCGCATCCATATTAATGGTCACATAACTGGGCATGTAGATCTTCTGCGGCTCAAGAATCTATAAATTAAATGTACTTGTACCAATGTTAAAAATACAAATATCAGGGATACCAACCAGTATGGGAAACCGTATGCTGTTCTTTACTTCCTCCGTGTTGGTGGCCTCCAAAAAGAAGTCCATCCAGAACTGGAACACCTGCTCCTCAATGGGAGGCAGACGCTCCTCGGGCTTCTTGCGAAACCGGTGGATAAGAGAGATATTGCCGATGGTGGACTTGAGATACCAGTTGGGTGGTTTTAGTTTGAACATGCACTCTGCTGCCTGAATCGCCTTGGCGTAATCCTTGGCCAAAACGGAGATCTCGAAGAAGGTGGCCACATCCCAATATTCGCTCAGAGAGGACAAGCTGCCCTTTTTGCCGATCAAGTTGTTCAGGGTCATTCCAATGTGCTGCAGCTCCTCCGTATTGGTGAATTCCTTGCCCTCGATGACCAGCAGGGTGGCCAGATTGATGCCCGCGTACTCATTCGGCTGGACCTCAAAACTTTGGCGGTACCACTTAATGGCGTGCGCCAAACTAGTGGCGTCCGTGTAGTCGGACTCTACGAAGATGTCCTTGTAGATGCGACCGCACAGGCAAAGCATGTCTGGAAAGTGGTTCTCTTTCTTCTCTAGCGCCTTAAGCGACGATTCCAGTGCCTTCTCGCGGTCTCCCTTGCGATTCCTGCGGTTTAGGGCGAAGGCGTACAGGAAACTCATGTTGCCCGTCTCTACGTATTTCCGAGTGTTGGGTATGTTCTTCAGGTCGTTCACCAGCCTCACCATGGCATCGTAGTCCTGCACATCCCTCAACGAGCACATGAAGCTGTGCACCACCTCGCCGGAGAGGACATGTGGATCGTCCAGCCGCTTTCGCATCTCGTGCAAGATGCTCTGCAGCTTGACGCCATTCGTGGCGTACGTATCCCGCGCCGTTCGCATGTCGCTGAGAAATTTCTCACGCATGTGGGCTCTGTAAGTAACCGAAAATAGCAAGGTTTAGTTTGTAGGTACATAAATATAGCATAGCAAAAACATTTTTTCATGTTCCGGTGAATAAGCTAATTAAAGTTCTGGTTCACAAAAAGTAAATAATTCTGTACTTTCACAAAAGAAAGGAAAAAATAATTATATATTATTAATAAAAGCTTTAAAATCGATGCCATTGTTTCTACATCATCAGAGTTATTAATTCATAATTATTGCCATCATAATAAAATCGTATTAATAACTTAAAATTTTAAGTGAAATGAAACAAAGAGATATATTCTTGTAAATCACAACTGCATGCATTTTGTTTTCGATCTGATTCATTTTACAGGCTAATCGTGACTTATGGAGCAAATCTCTTGCAGGGTAAATTTAAAAATAGGTGGTGCATATATTGCAATTTTATCGTCGTGGTGTCGAATGACTTGCTCTAAGAGGGACTTCCCCCAATTACTTACTTCGACTGTATCTCCACATCCTGTAGCTTTTTCTTGAGGCGCCACTGCAAAGTGGGCACCCGTGCCTCGGGTTCTTTGTTGCTGTTGGGCTGGCTAGTCAGGTGGCAGGAATTACTCTCCGCATTCAGTTTGTAACTGAGGAACAGGTAGTTGGCACACGAGAGCTGCAAAAGGGAGAAGGGTGTACATACTTAAGTGACCGCCACTGTGAATGCAGGCCACATTGCGTTGGTGTAGGCCGCCACTGTGTATGTGTGCGTGTCTTCGAGTGTTTGCGTGGGCGTGCTCGCTTTTGTTATTGTTATTGCTGGGGCCGACGCTTTTGTTGTTTTACGGCCGCGGCCAAAACAAAAATAACGAAAGCGATTCGACGGAAATACAGAGGAACTTCCATAAATCATACACCTATCTGACACAACAAATATGGTCAAGAAGGCTTTAAATTACAGGATTAGGTTTAGTGGTTATAATCGAATTTAAAATAAATATTTTTTAACTTTTGTGACTTTTTAGAAAAATCTAAACGACTTATCGTTAACAATAATAATAACAACAATAATGTAGTTTAAGTTTACTGCTAGTAAAGGTAAACTAAAAAATATATTTAAAGTCTAAGTTGAAAAGGATTCTGGTAGCGTTATTTCCACGTCTTAGTGGAGATGTTACTTGATTTTTGTTTAAGCTTTTGGAAATATTTTTTTAAAATCGATTTCAAATATATTTTTACCAGTTGGAATTTGATAGGTTTTTGGTCACTCTATGGAAACTTTGAGTTAAGGAAGTCCGACTTACGGAAGTTTTACTGTAGAAAGGTCGACAACAACAACTAGCTCAGGAGTCAAGACTTGTCTGCAATTTCCCCACACTTATCTTATCGGAAACGGATTCCCGATCGCGCTCGCAGATGTTTGCTGGACACACCTGGACGTGTAAACAGCGGTACGCACCTTGAGACTGAGTGTCTGCTTGGACTCCACATCGTTGTAGATGAGGATGTTCTCCTTCATGCCGAAGCTCTCCCGGACGCCGTAGTGATAGGACAGCGGGCGCTGCTGCGTGAGGATGCTTAGATCGATGACGGCCACATCGGCGTTGTAGAACATTTCCAGCACATTCGTCTCCCCGAAATCCAGGCGCTCGAACTGCAAGGAGTGGGGATTTCACTGGATATATACCATCGCCCCTGACATTGTATAACCCATCTGGCGCACCTGAACCCTCTGAAAATTGGCGCCTGCTGACTGCACAGCCTGCTTGATCTCCTCGAGCGCACAGAGGCGATCCTCCAGATGGTCGCCCACCGCCGTATCGATTACACACACCACATCCATAGCTAGTTCGATCCGATCCGATCTGATCCCACTCGATCGCAGCTATTCTTGGAACTAACTATTCTGTTTTTGGACGAATTTCGCGCACTTGTCGGAATTTGCACACTTTCTGCTCGGCGGACGCGCGCACCTCAGTGGCAAACTGGTCCATTACCACTTACTTGCTGCAACTGCATCGCGTTAATTGCCGCGTAACGAATAATTATCAAATAAATAAAGAAACTTGTGGAAACGCGCAGAGCAGAGTGACCGTACGGTGTTACTGGGAATATACCAAAAAAAGCCCAAAATATACCATACAAATAAGTTGGCCAATAACTTTCATGGAACTTTGGCGCTAACTCCAAACTCCTGTAGACCGTTATAACCAGATCTTAAAAATATACAGCTTAGTTTAAAGTAAACAATTTTATAATCTTTTAAATACACTAGGTATGTTAATATTAAAAGCATATTCATTTTTGATTTGACATTATGCTGCATTTAAATGTATAATTTGCCTGAATTTTACTTGTTAACATATTTCATTGTTGATTAAGTATTGGTAAATAACCTTTACAAACAGTAAAATTAAAATTGTGCTAATTTTGCACGCAAATGTTAAATGTATATTATATTTGCGCATTTTTTCGACTAAACAGAAGTCATGGTAAAATGTATAAGAATACAGAAATTTTATTACAAACAGCGTTTAATAAACGCAATTATTATTTATACAATTTTTTCGAAAGGGGTTTTTATAAATGGCAAAATCATTTTGCTTAATTTTAGATTTAAACTTTGATCTTAACTAGCGTATTCTTTGAGTATGGAGCCCGCGATGACCAGCCGTTGGATTTCGGAGGTGCCTTCGTAGATCTCTGTGATGCGAGCGTCTCTATAATGACGCTCGGCCGCCATGTCCGTCACATAGCCCATTCCACCCAGTATCTGGATGGACTGATGGGAGCACATGGTGGCTGCCTCAGAGGCAGCCAGTTTGGCCATTGCTGCCTCCTTGGTGTAGGGCTGCTTGTTGTCTTTCAACCAGGCGGCGCGCCATGTTAGCAGACGTGCCGATTCCATGGCTAGAGACATGTCTGCGATCTTCTGTTGGATGGACTGCAGCTTGGCGATGGGCTTGCCAAAAGCCTGGCGCTTCTGGGCATAGTCCACGGCCAGTTCCAGAGCCGCTTGGCCAATTCCCAGTGCCTGCCCTGCAATTCCTATCCGTCCAGCGTCTAACGTTTGCATGGCAATTTTGAAACCCAATCCTGGCTTTCCCAACATGTTCTCCTTGGGCACCGCGCAGTCCTCGAATATTAGTTGACAGGTCGAGGACCCCCGGATGCCCAGCTTGTCCTCCTTCTTGCCCAACGAGAAGCCTTTGGTGCCCTTGGGCACAATGAAGGCGGAAATGCCCTTGTGCTTCAGCTGCTTGTTGGTGGTGGCAAATACGATAGCTGCTTCCGCCTCGAAGGCATTGGTGATCCAGGCCTTGGTGCCATTAAGAACAAAGTGATCTCCCTTGTCGGTGGCTATTGTTGACGCAGCTCCGGCATCAGATCCATTACCAGGTTCAGAAAGGGCGAAGCAACCCACACGCTCGCCGGTTGTGAAGGGCGTTATGTATGCCGCCTTCTGGGCATCGTTTCCGAAAGAGAGAAGTGGTCCCAGATACAGGGAGTTGTTCACCGACATGATGACACCAGCCGAGGCACATCCCCGGGAGATTTCCTCCATTGCAATGGCATAGGCCACATAATCCAAACCAGTGCCACCTGTTGAGCGGTAGTAAAACGTTATAAAGGGGGTAAAAGTAGACAAAATATAATTTACCCAACTCCTCGGGAATCGCTACTGCCATAACACCCAGTTCGCCCATTTGGCGGACCTGTTTTTCCGGATACAGGTGCTCCCGATCAGACTTGGCCGCATTTCCACTCAGCTCATTGTTGGCAAAATCGCGGCAGGACTTCTGCAGCATTTGATGAGTCTCCGAAAGGGCTGACAGTGAGGCAATCTGCCGCACATTTAAAGATCTGCGGACTGAAAATCAATATCGGGTTAATGATCTTGCATATAGAATACATTTGATGGTGGTGGGGCTCAAAGTCCACCGGCAGCTTTATCTTACCAATGTTTAATGAGCGGGTGAGTACGGACTGCATGGTGGCGTGTCACTGTTTATTACCAATAAATATTATCTGTATTGCATAAAAAAACCGAAATTATGCGGTTTTAAAAAATAGTCGACTATTAACAAAAAAATTAAAATTGAACAGTGTGGCCAGAGGTAGAAACCGGCTTTGTTATGAATGTCTGTATGTAACAAGTGGTTCTTACAGGGTGCATATTGTTTTGGTATGTTTATTACACATCGCATCAGTTGTAAACAGCATTTTTGTTGTCTTACATTTTGTGAAAAATCAGGTTCAAAATAATATTATGTTTTGAATAAACATTTAACCAATAATTTAGAAAGATGAGATTGCAAACTTGATACTAGCAGAAAAATACTAAATACTTAAACATTTTCTTGACCCACCTACGGTCATACTACTACCCATTTTTGAGCTTGGACATGATGGTAGCATCATAAACTATTGTTGATTTATTATTATTTGTATTATTAAATATCAGGAACCAAAGAGCCGAAGATGTCGCAGTCATACGACGTCACCGAAACTCTGAAGATAGAGGCCCTCGATTTCATCTACCAGGATGAAATGGAATGTAAGTAGTAGCGGAATTTCAAAGTCTGGTGGATTAAGGTACAAAATATGTTTGTTTTTAGTTTTGAGTATTAAACCGCCGCCAGAGAATCAGGACAATGCCAAGCCAGTGACATTAAAGCGACTGATCTGCAACATTAACGGTTGTAATTATTCCACCAACAGAAGGAGGGACTTAAAGCGCCACAAGCGCACACAGAAACACGTGCTGGAGAAATTCGGATCCGACGAATCCGAATCCGATGACTTCCTCGAGCCTTCTGTGTTCTCGTGTCCACTCTGTGACTACACCACAGCCAAAAGATTCAGTTTCGTGCGGCACAAAGAGTCGAGGCGCCACATTATGAAGGAGCTGGATGAATGCGAAAAGCTGATGGACAAGGCTGATAAGACAGAAAGTTCCATGAAGAGTAGGAAAAGAGCGGATTTATCACAGGACACCGATGCCATCCTGTACACCTGCACAGCCTGCGATTACAACACCACAGACCAATTCTACCTAGAAACGCACAATAAGTCCCAAGAGCATAGGCAAAACATGGAGAGAGCTAACGAGTTCATAGAGTATGTGCCACAGGGGGAGCAAAACATGGTACAGAGTTTTGAGGAGACAGAAGAAGAATATGACAACCAGAGGGATGTCTTCCACGAAATTAGCGCCACTTTGGAGTGCGCGCCCTGTCAGTACAAGACGGCCAGAAGATTCTGCTTCGTTCGTCACCTGCAGTCGACAAGGCATCTCACCAAAATGCAGGCAGAGTTTGATGCCCTAGAGCAGGCAGATGACTTCGAGGTGGCAAATGCCCTGGACAACATCGATGGTGTGGAGGAGTTAGTTGGCCTGGAGGAGACTGAAGCCTTGCAGGAGCAAATTGGAGTAAATACCCTGGATGAGATCGATGGAGTGGTGCAAATAGAACCCGGCTTCGAAATGATAGAATATGCAGTTGTAGAAGAGAATGTTTACGAGGAGATCGTTTACCTGCCCACCGAAGACAGTGCGGAGGAGAGCTGCGGTTTCATAACCCTGAACAATGTCTAGATTTAATGATGCATTTCCTTGAAACCTCTGATAAGTTAACACATTTGTAAGTCCATGAACTGTATGGTCAAAAATGTATAAGGCCAGCCAAATGTTTGTTAAAACAGTATAAAAAACTTGTAAATAAAGAAAATGTTACAATTTTGTGGTTATATTAATACTAACAGGATGGAAAAAGGATTGTGCATTAAGTATTTATTTATTTATATTTACATTCGGTTGTATTTCTTTAAAAAAAAATTGTACAAAAATTTTTTAAATGCTTCATTGTGTTATTTAAATATGTATGTACTTAATTTTGCAACTAAAAGGTACTAGTACCTTTTCCAACACTAAAAACATTGTAGCTAGCAGACATTTATTGAAACTAGATACTGAGTAGGCGGCACTAGAAGCTTAAAATAAGTAATATAAATTTCTAAGATGTATCCATTTTTTTTTTTTGAGAGTAGTTTTGATGCTTTTACAAAATCGGACATGCATAGACGTGTGCTAGGACAGATACTTTCGTGAACAACTGTGCATCTGCCAGTTTTCCGTTCTGGTTTTGACAGCCCGCTTTTCATCTCTGCGCAGATCCGACGCGCACGCACTGGAACTTGTTTAACGTTTTTTATGTTTTTCACTGCACAACTTTGTAAATTCAGCACACAACAAATAGAACGGCGAACTATTATTTTTGAGTGTCCTGTGGGCAAGAGAAAGGCACTTTTACCAGCACCGAGAAGAGCACCGCAATAGGAGTCCCGTTTGTTGTCCTATTGATTTGCCCCCACTTTTGGATTTTTTTCGGTTTCCTTTGCACACTATTTTCCGCATCCACCGCCTGCTGCGCCCGCGAAAGAGAGGTAAAAACAAAGTTTAACCTGGGCAAATATAAACAAATCCGAAGTGTGATAACGCCACCAGGAGCAACAGCAAACAAGAGAGGAGAGCGTTGAGAACTGCTCTCCCGATCGTGGGAGTGTGGGTGAAAGCATCGTTCTTATCTCTCACAAAACCTCTCTCTTTCGCTCTCCGACGATCTCCTGATAATACGGTGTGCACTGGTGTGGGTCGGTGTTCGTTTTTGAAACGCCTATAAAAGAAACGTGCATTCATGGCTAGCGCCATTAAGTTTTAACTAGAAGCTGGCACCGGATCTGATCCGCCAGGTGGAAAAGTACCGTGAGTCTTCGAAAAAAGGATTTCCCCATTAGTAAAATGTGTTGCGCGTGGAAACCAAGTGATTACTATTACATATCGGTTGCAGGAACTTACAAAAAAAATGGCTAAGCCAGCCGGTTATTTATGTAATGAAAAAAAAACATCTTTCATCAAACATTTAAAAGTGATATACTTAAAATTGGTATTTAAATTCATGTCAAGATGCAATTCATTTTTCTAATTTTAAAATGAATCCACCAAACTCGAGATGGATTACATTTAAATTATTATCGATGCTGTGGAAACTAAATAAACCAAATTTTCAACTAAAAAGCATCCATCCAATATTAGAATTTTTAGAGGTTGTCTTATAGCTGCAATAATTTTTAAGCCCAATATAATACAGGTGCATTTTGTACATAAAAGTGGATCTAAACAAAAAAAAACAATATGTTCATTATACCAATGAAAATTTGTGTGAATCAATTTGATTTTCAAGAAATTATATAGGCCATGTTTACCACGTCGTTTTTATCGCCTCAAACGAAAACAAACCGCTAATAAAAATAGTTGAAATAACAAAAGAACGAAAACCCGCGTAATCATCATGCGTCCACAATCTGTAGATTGGACACATTAAGTGGGATCCGTTTGGGGTCAGAAAAATAAAAGATATTTATTTTATTCTGTTTAAATCCCATTGCAGAGGCACCTGTAGAGGAGATACACTCCGACCAATGACCGCGAACCTAAAGTTTGTAAATCGATAGAATTAGAAAACGACCAAAATGCAGTCAATGAAAGCCGATGAACTGCCGGAGAATCCGCGCGAGACGTCGAACATCTTCTCATCCTTGATGTTCTGGTAAGTTTCCGAATAAACCTGACTTCCTTTTTATCCTTATTAATCCAAACTTTTTATTCCCCACAGCTTTGCCATGCCCACATTCTTCAAGGGGCGCAAAAAGACCTTGGATGAAAACGATTTATACAGGGCCTTACAGGAGCACAAGTCAGGTGAGTTTTAATAGGGTTTAGTCTCAGTGCGAAAGAACCAAAAAAGACCTGCCTTCGTGCCTTGCATAATAAATTCGTTACCATTGAGCCCAAGATAATTTATGGCTATATCTGCAGACCAGCCGATAATCAAATTAATTGAATTATTAAAGATAAGTTGCTTTTGGCCTCAAGGAGTTTTGAATGAGAGAAAAATTTCTTATCAGCACGTATGCCAGATTAAGCCATACGTGACGTCACTTGGCAATAGATTTCAATAAAAGGTGATTGGGTGTTACTTGGTGACTATATCCCATTTATTAGTCACCTATTAAAACTACTTCTCACCATGCACTCTTCACTTCTGGGGTGCAACAATCATTCGAGTTTCGATTTCATCGCCCTTTGCCCAGTTTTCAAGTGGTTCCTAAAGATGGACATTAGTCGCGTGTGAAATCCCTGATACCCGACATTTCCTTGCTGTCCCAGCTGTAGTCTTTAACTTATATAATCGACTAAACCGCATATTTTCCTCACTATCTCTACTATTCAGACACTCTCGCAAATGAAGTGCTGGGAAGACACTTCAAGGCGGCCGACGATTTCGATTAGATAGGGCTTAGCATGCGCCCACAATTTGTGGTTGTAAAAGCTTTCGGTTATTCCGTGAGTTCGAAGGATCAGCGAGCATTGAAGGGCTCTTCTCTAAAGAGGAAGTTGCGATTAGATTTCCGTGCATATCACGTCTGGTTTATTGCTATTTGCACCATATACTACTCTGTCATTGAGATCCTTAGGCGGAACTATAACTGGGCCTAATCCGGAAGATAAGATAGGCCTTGGATACACACATTCTGCACCATCACTCATTCCTATTGAAATTACGATCGCCACAGATAGCGGTATCCAATCTGGCACATTTAGACCTTTGATTTCCTCATTCAAAACTTTGGAAGTACCCCGAAAAGTGACAAATTCCATATCTTTGACAACGTCCGCTAGCCACAATTAATTGAATTTACTGTCCAAAATATTTGATAACACTTTCTACACTCCCGATATTGTATACGCAATTAGCTACTCAGGCTTATTTACTTACCCATAATAAATGGGCCCCTATATTAAGTGGATGGTACCCTTGGGGCTTATACTACGCCAATAATAATAACACATATGCAAACAATATCAAATGTGAAGCTCAAACTTTGGTTTCAGTTGCTAATCGGTGTGCAATCTAAGGCCCTTCAAGGCAGGTTTAAGCCTTGCGGAAGTGCCGAAATCAGAATCCCCATATGGAATGGTATTGGGTTGTGGAATCTCCCGGTCGATAAGATCGATTGGAGGTAATGCAGCTGGCAGCTGACCAGCATTTGTGTTTGCTTGTGTTGCAAGCCATAATTTATTGTTAAACCAAATCACAAGATATGACAATTTACTGGATTTATTGCCCACAATTAAGGTCGAAATAATCGCAAAACTGTTAGTCACTATGGCCATCAGTTACAGTAGTTTGCAATCCATAACCAGACTAGTTTTTTGCTCACATGAAATACTTAATAATAATCCTCTGTTGATTATATATTGATTAGTTGAACCTTCATTTTCAAATTGAATTGAGGTACAACCTCTTTGATTTTTAATTTAATTTTAATTTATTAACTGCAATTACATTTTAGGTTTCCATGTATGGAACTTTATGCTTAATTTAATGAGGTAATATAAAGTTAAACTTGAATGATGAAATGAAGTGCTATTAACTTCACAAAAGTGATGACGTAAAGATGTCTATTGCTGCAGAGATAACATCAATTTTATGAGTTCCACAACAAAACTGTCATACATATCTGTATATTATCTCTCGGATTTTCCCAACTTGACAATTTGAAGGGTTTATACAATGATAAGTGTCATTACATAGAGAATTTAAATGATGATAAGCTCACACAAAAAACACCAGTATAAAAATCCAATAATAGATTTGTTTACTTTTAATTGTTTGTATTCGCACTCAGAATATTAATATATTCAAAAAGTAAAAAAACTATAATTGGATTTTTCTACTGGGAATAGCTACATATATGTATGTGACCTATTTATATCTATCTATATCTATTTTATTTTAGTTTAAAACTAAACTTCCAGCTGTTGTGGGAACAGAAAATAACTTAAGTCATGGATGTTTATTTCTATAGCATCTTTAAACACTGCGGTATGAACGGTCAATTACATGCCATCGTGCCTTGTTGTTCCGTCAGGCGTAATTTATTATCTGCACATGGGCTGGGTGCACCTTGTTGATATCTCAATCTCTATACTTTCCAGATCACCTGGGCAGCAAGCTGAGCGAGGCGTGGGAGAAGGAGGTCGAGAAGAAGCGCAAAAAGAAGAAGACCCCCAGCCTGCTGAAGGCCTCGATGAACGTGTTCGGCTGGCGCCTGGCAGGTCTAGGCCTGGTCCTCTTCATCTTGGAGATCGGTTTCCGGTAAGCTGCCTCTGCCCCGCCCACCCCCAGACATCTGGCTGATTTATAACCCACTCCCGCCCTACCCATTGCAGAGTTACCCAGCCGCTGTTCCTGGGCGGTCTGGTGGCCTACTATGCGGACGCGAGCAACCAGGAAGGCGATAACCAGACGAAGGCATATCTCTACGCCCTGGGCGTGATCTTGACGAGCGCCTGCAACGTACTCTTCATGCATCCCTACATGCTGGGCATGTTCCATGTCGGCATGAAGGCCAGAATAGCCATGACAAGTAAGTAATTTCGGGGAGGAGGAGATTGCTCCCTTTGTGACACATGAATAATGATTGCCCCGCAGGCATGATATATCGGAAGGCGTTGCGCTTGAGTCGAGTGGCACTGGGCGATACCACCACTGGTCAGGTGGTCAATCTCATCTCGAATGATGTGGGCCGGCTTGATCTCTCCGTCATTCACATGAATTATTTATGGCTGGGTCCCGTGGAGATCGGCATTATCACATATCTTATGTACAGGGAGGTAAGTTATCTTAGATATTTACTCAATCGAAATAACAGAAATTATCTGGTTATTTGAATTAATTTTATTTTGATTAAAAAACTTAAATTACCATGATTTTTTTATGGGCTATCTTCTTAAATTAGATTGCGCTTGGCTCTTGAGTCAAAGCACTTAACATGTTAAAGCAAAACCAATAAATACATATTTTTGTAACATTGTTGTGACCACTTGTCAAACCAACTTCAAAAGAAATTATAAAAGTTGACTTAAGCAATATTTTAATTATTATCTGTAAAATGAAGTATGATAATCAAAGGATGATAAATCTTAAGAAGCTAATAAATTTGGACAGATTAGCTTAAAAGATGTTTGCTATAGAAAAATTATACTGTAGTAATATCCCTTTCTTCCATAGATTGGTATCTCTGCCTTCTTTGGCGTGGCCGTGATGTTGCTGTTTATACCTCTGCAAGCTTATCTGGGCAAGAAGACATCGGTGCTGCGATTGAAGACGGCTCTGCGGACGGATGAACGGGTGCGCATGATGAACGAGATCATCTCGGGCATCCAGGTGATCAAGATGTACGCATGGGAGATCCCCTTCAGCAAGATGATCAACTATGTGCGCACCAAGGAGATGAACGCCATCCGAAATGTGAACTACATCCGAGGCACATTGCAAAGTTTCATTATGTTCGTGACGAGGATATCGGTGTTTGTAAGCTTGGTGGGATTCGTGCTGCTTGGAAAGCTTCTGACCGCCGAGAAGGCCTTCGTTATCACCGCCTACTACAATATCCTGCGCAACACCATGACCGTGTACTTCCCCATGGGCATCTCCCAGTTTGCCGAGCTTTTGGTCTCGATCCGCCGTATTCAGACTTTCATGCTGCACGAGGAGACAAAGGTGCGCGACAAATCGGAGGATCTCGACGAGCAGAAGCTGGGCAAGGCAGGACTTATTTCAGAGCCTGCTGTGGCCCAGACCACTGGTGTCCTGAAGCCCAACAGTCGGCGCAGCAGCGAAGCGGAGCATGGTATCATCATCAGCAAACTGAAGGCCAAGTGGGATCAGAAGAGCACGGACAACACGCTGGACAATATATCCCTAAAGTTCAAGCCACGCCAACTGGTGGCTGTCATCGGGCCTGTGGGTTCCGGCAAATCCAGCTTGATTCAGGCTGTGCTGGGTGAACTGAATCCCGATTCTGGTTCGGTGAAGGTAAACGGTAGTCTCTCGTACGCCTCACAGGAGCCGTGGCTCTTCACCGGCACCGTGCGCCAGAACATTCTCTTCGGACTGCCCATGGACAAGCATCGCTATCGCACTGTGGTCAAGAAGTGTGCCTTGGAGCGGGACTTCGAACTGCTGCCGTATGCGGATAAGACGATTGTTGGCGAGCGGGGAGCCTCTCTCTCCGGCGGACAAAAGGCGCGTATCAGTTTGGCCCGAGCTGTTTACCGGAAGGCCGATATTTATCTACTAGATGATCCGCTCAGTGCCGTGGACACCCATGTTGGACGCCATCTCTTCGACCAGTGCATGCGTGGCTTCCTGCGGGAGGAAATCGTACTGCTTGTGACCCATCAACTGCAGTTCCTGGAGCAGGCCGACGTGATTGTGATCATGGACAAGGGTAAGATCAGCGCAATGGGCACCTATGAGTCGATGGCCAACAGCGGTCTGGACTTTGCTAAGATGCTGTCAGATCCCAGTAAGAAGGATGAGGGTGGCGGCGATGCTGCGGACAAGAAGAGCCTCTCGCGGCAGAACAGCAAGTTGCGCGACCGTCACGGCAGCATCTCCTCCATGGAGTCCACCGCCGAGTCCATGGCAGCCGAGTCGCCCATGCAGACGCAGGAGGGTCGCGTGGAGGGACAAATCGGTATGAAGCTCTACAAGAAATACTTTGGAGCGAATGGCTACGGATTGTTTATCGTGTTCGCTTTCTTCTGCATCGGTGCCCAGGTGTTGGCCTCTGGTGGCGATATGTTCTTGTCTTACTGGTAAGTCTTCGGTACATTCCTTTCTTAGCTTTTTTTAACCCACGAACTTTCCATTTTAGGGTTAACAAAAATGGTGAGGCCGAACGCGACACATTTATGGCTCGATTGCGACGCGCCTTCCCCGAAACCCGCATCAACGCGGACACTGACCCAGTAGATATCTACTACTTCACCGGCATTAACGTTTCCGTAATTGTCTTCTCGCTGGTGCGGAGCATGCTCTTCTTCTACCTGGCCATGCGCAGCTCGACGACGCTGCACAATACCATGTTCCAAGGTGTGACCCGGGCGGCGATGCACTTCTTCAACACGAATCCATCCGGCCGCATCCTTAACCGATTCTCCAAGGATTTGGGTCAGGTGGACGAGATCCTTCCCTCTGTGATGATGGACGTAATGCAAATCTTCCTCGCCATTCTCGGCATCGTAGTGGTCCTGTGTATTGTAAATGTGTGGTATATCCTGGCCACGGCTTTCCTTGTGATTATCTTTTACTTCCTACGCGTCTTCTATTTGAATACATCCCGAGATGTTAAGCGCCTCGAAGCTGTCAGTAAGTGAAACTCTTTAATATATTTTAAAAAGTGGTGGAACTAATAGAAAAGAGAAACTCTTATTAAATCTACTTCAACTTTTCGATTAAGTTCTTCCACTATAATTATAAAAAAATTATTACTTAATATCTAATCCAATAACTCGATTCCCACAGCCCGTTCACCCATTTACTCACACTTGAGTGCTTCATTAAATGGGTTGGCCACCATCCGAGCGTTTGGAGCACAAAAGGAACTGATTGCCGAGTTCGACAACTACCAGGATATGCACAGCTCAGGCTACTACATGTTCCTCGCCACGAGTCGCGCCTTTGGATATTGGCTGGACTGTGTGTGTGTCGTCTATATCGCTGTTATCACACTGAGCTTTTTCCTATTCTCCCCGGAAAACGGAGGTGATGTGGGTCTGGCCATCACGCAGGCAATGGGCATGACCGGTATGGTGCAGTGGGGCATGCGGCAGTCAGCAGAACTTGAGAATACAATGACGGCGGTGGAGCGAGTGGTGGAGTATGAGGATCTGGAGCCGGAGGGAGACTTCGAGTCTAAGCCAAACAAGAAGCCGCCAAAGGATTGGCCAGAGGATGGAAAGATCGTGTTCGACGACCTGTCGCTGAAGTACTTCCCCGACAAGGCAGCCGACTATGTGCTCCGATCCCTGAACATTGCCATCGAGGGCTGCGAGAAGGTGGGCATTGTGGGACGTACTGGTGCCGGCAAATCCTCCCTGATCAACGCTCTTTTCCGGCTGTCCTACAACGAGGGCGCCATCATTATTGACAGGCGCGACACCAACGACTTGGGACTGCACGATCTGCGCAGCAAGATCTCCATTATTCCCCAGGAACCAGTACTATTCTCTGGCACAATGCGCTACAATCTGGATCCCTTCGACGAGTATAGCGACGCCAAACTGTGGGAATCTCTGGAGGAGGTGAAGCTCAAGCAAGTGGTGGCCGATCTTCCCAGTGGTTTGCAGAGCAAGATATCCGAGGGTGGCACCAACTTCAGCGTGGGCCAGCGCCAGCTTGTGTGCTTGGCTAGGGCCATTCTCCGCGAGAATCGCATCCTCGTGATGGATGAGGCTACGGCTAATGTGGACCCGCAAACGGATGCTCTTATTCAGACGACGATTAGGAACAAATTCAAGGATTGCACGGTGCTCACGATCGCCCATCGTCTGCACACTGTGATGGATTCGGACAAGGTACTGGTCATGGATGCTGGAAAGGCAGTGGAGTTCGGTTCTCCGTTCGAGTTATTAACAACCAGCGAGAAGAAGGTGTTCCACAGCATGGTGAAGCAGACGGGAGACTCCACTTTCGATGCCCTGCTTAAGGTTGCACAGAAGGTGGGTTTACTTAAATACCTATTATTTTTATTTTCATTCTTATCGTAACTCTTTCAGGCCCATGATGACAACCTGCGACTCAAGAAGGATTCTTGACATTTCGCCGTGCCAAAGGCTTTTAAAGACTACATACTTAAGATACTGGAACCAATTACGAATCATCCGGCGGCCAATGCGGGCATTCAGAAGACCTTCCTCTTTGCGGAGGCCTCTAAGCAGAAGTTATTAGGATAGCACAGCATCAGCGGCACCAGCAGACATCAACACTGAGCAGCCGCCGCTGAGGAATTTTTTACAATATGTGTACAAATCAAATTAATTGTTAGTCAGGTGTATAAAACTAGGAAACTGATAAGAAATCAAACAGCAAGACAATAAGCTGATGTTAGACGAGCGTAGGGAGTAAACGTTTTTATACCTTAAACAAAGAATGATATGAAATGCAAATTTTGCAAAAATTAATTTTAGCTGAACTTTGTGCATTGGCCTTCAAAAGGTCGCATTGCATTTGTATTATGTGTTCCAGTAAAACGACAATAACAACCTTAACAAAAAAAAAACAAAACCCAAAAAAAAGAAAAAAACTAAAAGAGAATTCTATGAAATGTTGCGCCTAGTATTAATATATGTGTGTTTTTATAGTAATTTATTAATGTACAGGTATACAATAAATGTAACAGCTCGGTTGGTTCTTTTGTTAACATATTTTTATTTTGTTTCTTTTATTTTCGCGATTTACATTCGGCTAATACTCTAAGAAATTGTAAGCATTTAACTCAAAAGTATCTTCCATTAGCTGCAAAGCCCTCCTAGAGTTCACTTTAAAACTAAGTATATTTATTGTAACTTACTGCCTGTCGCAGTGAGAGAAACACAGACACGAGATTCATTTTTAGCTGATGTTGTATGTTAAACTTGGCATAGCTTTTGTTGCCTCTTCGACTACATAACTGTTCAGTATGTGCTATTTAGATATATAAGATATACATAAGTAGTCTCCCTTCCCGCACATCCTACAGGACCAGCGTCAGCCACGCGGCCATCAGACAGAATCCTCCGACGGTCGCGTACGGCTGCAGCCGCTTTTCCCCAGTCAAAGCACGATAGTACATGCAACCGCTGAATAACATCGTGCCCGTAATCATCAAAGTCCCAGTCTGCGGGAGAAAAATATTTATTTTAGTTAAAATAATAAAAGTCATGTATTGGCCTGTTCCATCTTCCTCTACATTCGGATAAAAATCGAAGTGAAATCTAACGATTATTGTAACCAAACAATTTTAGGATACTAACCTTACCAAATTATACTTGAGGCAGAAAAATGAATTTATAGGAAATAAATGTCCACAGTCAGGAATCAAATAATTACAAATACAGTACTTAAGAAAAAGAAAATTTATTTTACCAGCAAGAAAGCACCGATTTAAAAACTCTTTAACCATTTCAGGTTTAACCAATGTTAATTCAGTAACTTTATCTAAAAATGCATTTACTTTTAAAAGATACAAAAATTCCAAGAAAAAAAACCAGGAACAGGCCCTTTAGTCATAGTTTAATGTAAGATTAGAAGAAGTTAGCAAAGGCGGCAAGAGTTTTGTGTGCATATTTTGATGTTAGCTTTAGTTGTTGGCTTTAACCTAAACAAAATGGAGCGCGAGCAAGCTCCAAATTTTACTTATCGAATAAGGCTGATAACAACAAAAACCAATTACAAAATAATAGCAAACAAACGAGAATCTATGCCTTTTTGGTACATTTTTAAATACAATTGTAATATTGAAGTAAATTAACAAATTCCTACCCAAGACCCCATACCCATATCAGCTATGAACCTGCTCATATCACAAAACTAAGAATTATCCGAATTAATGCAATTATACAAGTATCGTGTGTGGTATTGAAAATTACTTTGTAAGCTGCAATTAGTGGTTGTTGAACATTTAGCTTTAGCTTTGGAAACATTTCATATACAACATGAATATACTATATATATATATAGCAGAAGAAAGAAGTAACTTGGTGCGCTTGGCCGAAATCAATATTCATTCATAGCTCAATTTTTGTAATGTCAATCAGCGCATTAGATTAGCTAAGCAGAGTGTCAATTATACGAGTATCAATGTTGGAGTTTTGATTCGAGAGTAACGCGAGTTGTTATAAATTCCGTTCACAGATCTAACTTTACACAGAGTTTATGTAAGGGACAAAAACCGGCAAACAAAAGCTTTACTAATAAACAGAATACGATCGAGATCGATATTAGAAGTTGTGTTTTTTGGTGTTTCGCTTGGATTTGTTAAAAGGATTGTAAAGAAAAACATTATTTTGTTTTAATCTTAGACACATTCATTTTTAAGTTAAGGCGTGTTTTCTTTCATATTATCATTAGTGCAACCTAACTAGTTTGCAAGCTACATTTATCCTATCAAAATGATGAAAAGTTGGGCCTAAATGTTTTAGGAATATGTGACAGTTATATAACCCTTTAAGTTGAACAAAAATTTGCTTATACGGGGAGAATTTCGGTCTATGTTTTAAAAGCTTCATAATTTAAAAATGGCGCTCCACGCAGATGATTTTCGTTATAATTGCTTTACAATGGCTTCCTTTTAAAAAATTAGGATAAATTATAATTACTGAAATAGTACAAAATAATTTTGGGGCGTTCGTATCAGAACAATAAAGCTCCCTAAAGCAAAATCTAAAGACGATTTCCGGGACTTCCCGCATTTCAAACTTACAAGCACGGGGTAGTGGGCCAGTGGCATGGCCATCATGGCAAAAGAGTGCAGAAAGTGGATGCGATTGGCCACATCGGCGAATGCCTGTGAGTCCACCTGCTCCTTTGGATCGCTGACATCCTTAAGGATGTACTTGCAGTAGGCGCCCATAAAGATGGCCGACGCCCCGCCAATCCCGGCCAGCCGCACAAAGTGGTAGTAGCTGCCGGCCAGGCCGTACATTGATCCATGTGAATGCGCGTAGCTCTGCGCGGAAGGATGCAGTGACATGTTCGTGTCCTGTACTGCTACTTTCTTCGGGCGTAATCCCTGCGGTCAAGAAAACGATAATTAGTAAGGAGCACCCGGAACGTAGAGTCGGAAAATTTGATTAGTTACGATGGTCCGGAGCAATGCGGATGCGGAGGAGGCGACCATCTTGCTGACAGGATTGCCAAGGGTCACGTATTCGAGGGTGTCGGCGACTGACATTGTGTACTGCTGGAAAATCAGATGCGGCTAACTAACAATTTTGACACAAAAAGCCCGGGCGTTGCCGGATAAATGTTTCTTATCGATTGCCTTCTAGCAATCTGACTTGGTACTCGATTAAGAATTTATTCGTATTCGATAGGAATCAAAAATGTGATATACTTTAGAGAGTTTACTGTTGTAGGTTGGTTAAAGCCGCCATAAAAGGTTATTTGCTTGCTTTATTAATTTCGGAACTTTCTATACTATATGAGAAAAATTCAAATATCAACGGTCATTTTAAATTAATAAGGGGATTCCCAAAGGTTATTCATAATAAAAAAGTTCAAAAAGTCGTTAGCTTTTAAAATGGTATTTTATTATTTAATTTTAAATAAATAATTAACTGCTCCTTATCAAAGTTTCGTTTCAGTTAAGCTACCCCACGTCTGTTATAAAAATCTCCCTGAACTAAATAAAAACTGTTATATTGGGAATGATCGACAACTCTGTCATTCGACCGCTGCGGCTACACTGAAAAATCATTGTCTAATCAGTGTGAAAGTTTTTTGCCGGCTCAGCGAAAAAATAAGAAAGGCAGAGCGGAAGAACTGATATATACCCCTTATCGGCCGATCGGTGAGTAGGTCGGGGCGTAAACATCCATTCGAAGCCGAAACAAAGCAGCCACTGACAGTTCCGTTGATTTTTTCAGTCGAAACAGCGCAGTCGGACAATGAAAACTGCAACTCATTGCGCATTTTTAATTATTGCGGCTATAGTCGCCATATGTGGAGCTCAAGGGGATCAAGGGGAACGCCCCTACAGGCGGAGCTTCATCAATCCGTATCCTCGCTTCCGGTTCTTCGAGGATGAAGTCGATCCTGGGGAGCCCCTATTTCTTACGCCCCTGATCAACAACAAATCGATACCCAATGAAGACGTAAAGAAACTTGCTCGCGTCGCAGGATCCCAGTTCCACGGAGTGGAGAGCTACTCCGGCTACCTGACCGTGGATCCTGGCTATAACTCCAACATGTTCTTCTGGTACTTCCCCGCCGAGCAGGAGCCAGAATATGCGCCAGTGGTCCTGTGGCTGCAGGGCGGTCCAGGTGCTTCATCCCTGTTCGGTTTGTTCACGGAGAATGGACCCCTGGAGCTGGACGGCCATGGAAAGCCCCAAAAGCGTAACTACACCTGGAGCAAGACGCACAACCTCATCTACATCGACAATCCCGTGGGCACTGGCTTCAGTTTCACGGATAATGATAACGGTTATGCTAAGAACGAGAAGGATGTGGGTCGCGATCTCCACGAGGCTGTGATGCAGCTGTACGAACTCTTTGAGTGGAGCAATTCCTCAGGATTCTGGGTCACCGGAGAGTCGTATGCTGGAAAGTATGTACCCGCTTTGGCCTACCACATTCACAAGGTGCAGAACGCCATCGAAACGCGAGTTTATGTGCCACTCAAGGGCGTTGCCATCGGAAATGGACTCTCTGATCCCCTACACCAGCTCAAGTATGGCGACTATCTCTACCAGTTGGGTCTGATCGACGAGCACGGTCTGCAGAGCTTCCACGATGCCGAAGCCAAGGGAGCCGCCTGCATCGAAAAGCATGACATGGAGTGCGCCTTCGACGTTTTTGATTCCCTGATCAACGGGGATCTGACTAATGGTTCACTGTTTAGCAACCTTACCGGCTACAACTGGTACTACAACTACCTAAAAACTCATGAGGATGATGGCGGCATCTTGGGTAACTTCCTGCAGGCAGGTGCCACTCGTCGGGCCATCCATGTGGGCAATAAGCCATTCCACGACCTGGACAAGGAGAACAAGGTGGAACTGCACTTGAAGAAGGATGTGATGGACACTGTGGCCCCGTGGATAGCCGAACTACTGGCCCACTATACTGTGTGCATCTACAGCGGTCAACTGGACATTATTGTGGCCTATCCACTGACCCGTAATTATCTCAACCACCTTAAGTTCCCCGGCTCGGACAAGTACAAAGTGGCTCCCCGTGAAATCTGGCGCATTGACGGGGAGGTTGCCGGCTATGTAAAGCACGCTGGACATCTGGTGGAGATCATGGTGCGCAATGCCGGGCACATGGCTCCCCACGATCAGCCCAAGTGGCTGTACGAAATGATCAATCACCTTACTCACTACAAGCACAAGGAGCACCAAACTTAAACTAGTTTATACAAATTGGTCTCTTATTAATGCTCTATATTTTTATGTTATCTATATTAAATAAAATGGGTTGAGATTTTTTGATTTATATAAGAGACTAAATTGGCAAGTAGTTTTAATAAAAATTTGTATTCGTAAAAAATACCATTTTAAAGACTCTAGGGTCAATGTAGACTTTTCATAACACAGATTACAAATGGAGTTAAAACGTAACACTCCCCTTTATTTATCTTATTAATTATGAACTATAAATTTAACAACGAGTTTATGAAACCAATTATTATGCGCTAGTTAAGTTATTAGTTAACTATCAGCTGTTCCCTTAAAGTTCCTGGCCACCAGGAAGTGCTCCGCAGAATCTCCGCGACTGGCTCGTGGTTTTACCCGCTTCACCTTCTCGTAGAACCTCAGCATGTCGCGCTCCAGCTTGGGCACATCGCCATTGTCCCACACCTTGACCACCAGATGGGCCTGTGGGGCGGACATGGCCAATGCAAAGCGGAGCACTTCGTAGCAGAGGTTCGTGATGCTCTCCTGGTCCAACATCCTAACTCCTGTGGCATTGGGCGCCATGTCGGACAGGACACAATTGACCTTTTTATCCTTTAATGACTCCTTAAGTCGCTTCTGCGCCAGGGAGGAGGTGAAATCCATTCCGCCGAAGATTGTGGCACCAGGCACAGCATGGAAATGCAACAAGTCAATGCTGAAGACGGCTCCCAGTGGAGCCCGCTCCTGCTTTCCATTGGCATTCGTCCGTTCCACGGCCACTTGTGTCCAGCTGCCAGGTGCTGCTCCACAGTCCAAAACGGTGTCCCCGGGTCGCAGGATTCCGTATTTGTCATCAATCTCCAACAGTTTGAAAGAGCTCCGACAGCGGTAGTTCATCATGCGGGCCTTCTCCACGTAGGGATCGGCCAGCTGGCGGGTGAGCCACTCCTGGGAGCTCTTGCTCCGCCCCTTGAGATTGCGCGGCTGCTGTTTGGCATACTTTCCGGCAATTTCCGTGTGCAGCAGGCGTTTAAAAACTGAATTAGCCGAAAAAACAAGCCGCATTGTTTAATTTATCGAACTTGAATCGGCTATCGCATCGGCGTATAGTCCTAGTACGTTCACACGGGAGCCGCAACAATAGCGATTTTTTCTCCTACAGGCTTATTTAACGTTAATTTTTTTTACAAATTTAATTGCGAATATTGCCAGAATATTACATATAATTAAAATTAAATTTTGTCAATTAATCAGCTAATTGGGTTAAACAATAATTCAATGCCATGAATCTTAATTCCATCCAACAAGTTTTATAAAAGACGCGGTGCCAAGATTTTGTCTTTTGCCGTTTTAAATGAAAGTTTGAATACGTTATTAACTCGTTTGGTATTTTCAAGGCGGTGCGCGATGGTCACACTGATACAACGATGGCCTTTTCCAACCATACGCCCGCTGTCACTCTTCTCCGCTCACTCGAATTCTCAACAATGGCGAACTTAATTGGAAAATATTGAACGCGAGTGCGTAGAAAATGTGAAATTAACACCAGCCAGAGCTGCAACAGTGTTTAAAGATTAAAATCAATACAAGAGGCGATAATATGCCAGAAACAACAAACCAAAAGTGACTGCATGTGCAAACTGAAAACGGATCGGAAATCGCAGATATTAGTTCTCTCTCTCTCTCGCTCTTTCGTAAACCCCCCACTCCCCCGACCGGCTGTTGAAGCTCAGTGTTTTGCAAAATGAGATTCTGCGTTGTGATTTGTTGCGTGTTATTTTTGCTGGCCAGCGGGCCTATTGCATCAGCTATAGGCAAAGCAAAACAGGCCGACTCTGCAGAAGTCGTCAGCAGCGGCGAGGATGAAAAGGCGGTAAGTGGGGGGCGGAATTGGACGGCATGACCCACTAAGGGTTAACATTGGGCCCGTCAATTAATATTTCATCACCTTCCTTCAACATGTTGGTCATAAGTTTACCCATTTTCCCCCCGCAGGACTGCACGGACCTCGCCCGCGACGAGGAGGCGCTGATGGTGTTCTCCACCTTGGGAGGCGGATTGACGGCCATCGATCCGGTGACCAGTGAAATACGCTGGACAATAGCAGATGGTAATTACGCCGGCCACTTTACAGTTCTAGACTTTCACGGCACCCCTATTTTCTGGTCTTAAGTGTGGGATTCGAAACATATGTTGGCACATGAGGGTCCTCATATCAAGAACTGGGCACTTTCCAAAAACAATGTATAGTATTTTGTAGAACCATTTCCAGAAGAAATTAACTACTATCTGGAATTTTGTATATCCAAACAAAGTAAATTATAGTCGTAGAAACCGAGAAGTATAAAAATAATTAAGTTAATTTCGAGCCTGCAATACTGAGTCGAAGGGAATGTTGCCATGAAACCTTAACTTGCATTTCTACGTGCATTAACAAAGGGCTGGCTAGATTTGTAGACTATATCAAAGCTTCCACTTTCTTTCCTGGAAATTTTTTTTTTAAATTGAAGTTCTTGGCAAGATTACTAAGGATTTCCGGATGCCATTAACGTGATTAAGGCTCAAACAAAATTATCATAAAGTTCCAAAAAGTATAAATAGCGCTCTATTACTCAGTCGAATATATAAACAAAAAAATAAATATCTACTTTGATTTTAAAAAGTTCACTTTTAAGGAAATATTTTTTTTTTTTGTCAAAAAACATCTGAGTAATCATAATTTGTATTGCGTAGTTAAATTTACAATTCCTAGGTGAGCAAGATACATGTTTGAAACTAGACCCATACATTTTTCCATAATACCTCCTTCCCCGTCTGCTAAATTACCAACATATGCTGTTGCACTCGCCATTTTAAGTGCGAAATGCGTTGCACAGGCATGCGCTTGATGAGCTCATCGCAAGATTCGTAGAGCACAGATGTAATAGCCTAGGATAGATCTTCCTCCCGCAATTCGTGCTCTATTATTTTCACTCTCACCGCGATATGTTTTGTATTGTGTGCCTGTGGCCTGATAAGAGTCCCACGTATATACGCAATCTCGACAACCGTTCTCGGCACACAATTCTTCCAATTAAGTTGCCAGCTAGTCCATATCACCAGTTGCTGTACGCTCATACCCTTCCCGTAGTGGGTGTTTGGGACTTTGAGCCACTTTCCTTTCGGTTCATTGAATATTCCTATGATTTATCAGCGTGACGTATTGATTTTCGATGGCCCCAACACGTTAATCTATCAGTCGCTTTACTGTTTCTTATTAACCTGTAAGATTCGCTTGGAATTTGTGGGCTCCATATATGAGTCATAATGGGTAAAGAAATAGTTTGTAAACACGGGGGACTATCAACACGATTAAAAGGGGTCGATGTAGCTTACATTTGGATTGATACAATTGTAGGTTACTACAATTATGACGTTAACTCAATCAAATAACGCATAAAAATAATTTTGGAATTGTTTTTAATCAGCTAAAAAGGTTTTCAGTTATCAAACCAAAAACAGGGCATATACAATTCGATTTTTTTTAATCAATCGGGAATTCTTTTTCATTTGCTAGTACCAGTTTTTTTTGGGCTCTCGCTATTAATAGCCCTCATGGGGTTTTGATTGTTTTTCCACTTTAAACTCTTTACTTCTTGATAAGTTCTGCTCGAAAAACTTTCCGTAATTATCCCCAAGTAAAATTATTGGAGTTATGCCAAATTGTTCCCTGAACAATACGCCCTCCACATGTTTTTTACAAATTTTTTGAAATCAAAAATTTACGCCCCGGAAAGATTATTTAGTGTGATAGCTGCAATACACATGTGCATACATATGTCCACATGTATTATTAGAAATTTCATGCTGACCGCTTGTCGTCTGACTTCGTGGAACTTAAAATGTTTAAAAATTCACGGCGATAGACATGTGGACAGCATCTGACCTGCGGCTTCCATATATTTTTGTGAGTTATTCAAGCCAATAATTTGTTTTTGATTCGCGGTAATTACACCGGCAATGTTCAACACGGCAGATCAGTGTTTCGATATGGGCTTCGTTCTATTACCTCATCACAAGACCGAATCAGGTTTTGTCTACGACTACCGCTAGCCAATTAGAATGCCTATGCTAATGAAAGTGCTGCGGCGAGTTAAATGACCTGCCCCAGAAATTGTGGCAACACTCCACAAATGCCGGCAGTCTTTACTCAGCCATGTGTTTGGGGCTGTAGCTAATTACTGATAAAGATGGGCACTACTTAAATTTGTTTGCTGTCATTATTCGATTTTGGTTTACGATGGGAGTTACGAATGCGCTTGGCAACACTTACATTTTGTTTAAATTATTTCTTCATTAGCGTGCATTTGCATTCGCCAAAGTCAGAACTTAACGCTGTTGCCTTAAGCGAATTGTTGGCGATAATGAAAATTGCCAACGCGGCTGGCGTAAACAATTCGGAAATGATCAGCCGCGGCTTGCCCAGTTCTTTTTCTTATTTACTCAACTGTTGTTTGGCTTGACTTTGCCTCTCGCGCCAAAACCCGTATAATTTATTCGGCCATTTTTAGTGGAAAATAGTCATGCTTTTTATGTGCTCCAGAAAATTAGTGGTTCACTTTTGAGAGGGGTTATCATAGATTACACTTTTATTCCCTTAATATGTATGTGTACAACAAGATAAGCGTTATCGGGAACAGGTTCTGGTTATAATTTATTACATTTACTTTACATTAGTACTCCAAGTGAACATTATCAGAAAATTTAATGGGAAATATAAACACACAGTGCATAGTTAGAATAATGAACTAAAAAGGTTCGATTTGAAAGATAACGAACTCCTAAAATTTTCATTAAATAAATACTTTTTATGAATAGACAAAAGCTTATATTAATGTAAATTAACGAGTGGAAATACACAAAATCACAATGTGACTTTCTCTATCTGGCATTATATTAGTTATTGCATTCAAATTTTAATTCCACAAGGGGAGCAAACTCTTGATTTAAATATATAAATTGATAACAATAATTCTACGAATTCATTAAAGTTAATCTCTATCAAATTACGGATTTACCCATGTTATCTTCGTTGAACAACAGCTTGAACTGTTTGCCATTTGTGAATCATCTACTAACTAAATTTATTATAAAACCTAATCTTTTTCTTGAAAAAATATAAATTTATGTATTCTTAATAATATGGTCAATTTAAAGAATATGTTTTCGGAAGTTACTTACTATTGTAGAGAAAATAAGTTTTATTGATTCAACGCGGTGACCAGGCCCTTACATTAACAATTTAAATCTTATTTGGAAAACATTAAGAACAATTTGCATTAAAATGTTGTCTTTGTTGAATATTCGTTGTCTATTATCAAAAAGTTATTACTAAATATAAACCGATTTCTTTTCTTTGCTTATTAATTTATATATGTCATCTATTCCAGATCCTCCCATAGTAGCAGAACCTCAGGATAATGTGCAGGTTCCGCATTTTCTGCCCGATCCTCGAGATGGCAGCATTTACCAACTTGGCCAGATGGGCAGCCTCAAGAAGCTACCGTATACCATTCCCCAGCTGGTGGCCAATGCTCCCTGCCGCTCATCTGATGGAATCTTATACTCCGGAAAGAAGAGTGATACCTGGTATATGGTGGATCCCAAGACGGGCAGACGGGAAAAGGTTATGGGATTCGGAGATGCCAGCATGGATGGCAAGGAGGGCGAGCAAATTGGTTGGGCAACTTCGCGGGCCATCTATTTGGGTCGGACTCAGTACACGGTCATGATGTTTGACAGTCTGTCCAAGAACAAGAATGCCAAGCCTTGGAATATCACTTTTTACGACTACAATGCCGTGAGTGCTCCTCCAGAACTGGCCAAGGAGTATGGTGAGTGGCGTGTTAAATTTTGCAATAAAACATGTCTGACTAATTATCTCTTCTTTTTACAGAGTACATCCATTTGACCACCACCAGCAATGGCCACATAGTCACCCTAGATCGCAAGCAGGGTAAGTTCCTGTGGCAGCGGGATCTAAGCAGTCCAGTGGTGTCCGCCTTTCTCTTGGGTCCAGATGGTTTACTCAGCGTACCATTTACCACAGTCTCCGACGAGGCTTACCAGGCCATACTAGAGGAGTCCAAAACTGGAAATGTGAACACCGTAAAGTTATTGTAAGCAAAAACAATTCTAATTCCTTTATCCATTACTAAATATTCTCTTTATTTGCCAGCCAATCGCTTTACGTGGGCGAGCACCAAAAGGGCCTATATGCCCTGCCCTCGCTAGTTGACAAAAATACTCCACGAATTTCTACATCACCACCCATAAAACTTCTCGATGGGCCTGCGGGCGATCAGAACAACAACCAGGAGACCGATCCCCGCACCGTTTACATTAAAGATGTGCTGCAAGAGCATCCAGGCATCATGTTGGGTCATTACAATATGCCCAATGAGGGAAATGGCAATTTGCAACTATCCCCTACGCCATCAAGCGCCAAGGTTGTCCAGAGCCTGGCCACCATACACAACTACAACGATGGCTACGGCATTCTGGCCAACAATGAAAAGAATGCCGCCGACATTGGTGTGCAAACGGATCCGGAGCTAGTGGAGCTTGGCATTAATCAGCGGGCAAATGGAAACACTATTAATCGGACCAAGACAATCATCCTGCAGAACAGCAATAAGGTGCAGGCATTTATTAACGAGTGGTTTATGGAGCATCCCAGTGGAAAAGTGCATCAGATTCTGATTGTCATCGTTCTGGGTATGATTGCCTTGTTCTGGTACACCTGCAGCACAATGCGGGAATTGCAAAAGCAGAGTGAGAACGGTTCTAAAACCTCTGCCATAGCCCAGAATGGGTCTAATGGAAGCACCGGCAGCAATGGAAGCAATGCGAGTGCCGAAGATCTGGTAGATTTGGGTAACGGACAAGTGCGTGTGGGCAAGATTAGCTTCAGCACAAACGAGGTGCTAGGCAAGGGCTGCGAGGGAACCTTCGTCTTTAAAGGCACCTTTGAGGAACGTTTCGTAGCTGTAAAGCGACTGTTGCCCGAATGCTTCACGTTTGCAGATCGCGAAGTGGCTTTGCTTCGGGAATCAGATGCTCATGAGAACGTGGTGCGATACTTCTGCACCGAACAGGATCGCCAGTTCCGCTACATAGCCGTCGAACTGTGCGCGGCCACACTTCAGGATTATACCGAAGGAGAACGCTCTCTGGAGCTGCAGGAACACATTGATGTTTGGCAGGTATTGAGCCAGGCATCCGCTGGATTGAGTCATCTCCACTCCCTGGATATTGTGCATCGCGACATCAAGCCGCAAAATGTTTTGATTTCACTACCAGATGCTAAGGGCAAAGTCCGGGTTATGATTTCCGACTTTGGACTCTGCAAGAAGCTAAATTTTGGCAAGACCAGTTTCTCCCGCCGATCGGGTGTAACTGGTACCGATGGATGGATAGCCCCGGAAATGATGCGATCCCAGCGAACGGTAAGATGTGATCTTTATTTTTTTTGTTCTGCTTAATTAAAATCTAGAGTTATTTCCCAAATCTTCCTTATATAAATGAACTTGTCAAGATAGCAGAAATGTAATGTGTAGGATAAAAACTTGCACTCCAAACAATAAAAACTAGTTAAAGCTTATACAATCTTACATTATCTGTATAAATTTTCTTAAGCAATAACCTAATTTTATTTTCAGACTACTGCTGTGGACATCTTTTCATTGGGTTGTGTCTACTATTATGTACTGAGTGGAGGTCACCATGCCTTTGGCGATAATCTGAAGCGCCAGGCCAACATACTTTCGCATGAGTTCAATCTGGCCAAGCTGCGTACAGAAGATGACAGTGAGATTAGCCGAATTGTAAGTGATTTAAGCCAAAGTGCAATCTCTAGTTATATTATTTAATTTTTTCTATTCTAAAGATACTTGCTGAGCAGTTAATATCCGATATGATACACAAGGACCCGCAATCGCGTCCTCCGGCTCGCTGCATTGGCAACCATCCGCTGTTCTGGGACGAGCCCAAAATGCTCTCGTTCCTGCAGGACGTCAGTGATCGTGTGGAGAAGTTGCAATTCCATGCCGAGCCGCTAAAGTCGCTGGAGAAAAACGGGCGGATAGTTGTACTGGACGATTGGAATGTGCATCTGGATCCGTTGATCACGGATGATTTGAGGAAGTATCGCGGTTACATGGGCGCCAGTGTCAGAGACTTACTCCGCGCACTGCGCAACAAGAAGCATCATTATCACGAGCTAACGCCGGCCGCCCAGGAAATGCTGGGCTGCATTCCGCACGAGTTCACCAACTATTGGGTGGACCGATTCCCGCAGCTCATCTCGCATGCCTACCATGCGTTCAGTATTTGCTCAAACGAGCCGATCTTTAAGCCGTACTACAGTGCCGGCTATCACTTTTCCCGTCCGTGGTACTTTGATGCGGACGATGCTTTGTTTCCCATGCTGATGCGGGATCCCAAGCCATTGCCCAAGATAGGAAGTCCAAAGAGGACGCCCCCACCTGCTAGCAGTCAAGCGCAGCAGTTGAAGCAGAGGAAAGGGCTTTACAACTTCCGTAAGCCAAGCGATGAATTACCGATTGCCGGAGTCGGGCTGCAGCGTAATCTGGAGTTAGACGGACAGGCACTGGAGTCCGATGGTAAGCGTGACGTTTTCGCCAACTTTAAGTTCCGGCGGTACTCCAAGCCTGGAAACAATCGAAATTACAATGGTGGACACAAGGACACGCAGGAGAAGGAGAAGTACGTAAGCTGGACGCTGCCGCCTTCAACGCAAGATTAGGACAACGACCCTAATGATCAGCATAGACAAGATGTAGTTTTATTCATTTATTAATTTAATTATTATTTAATTGTGCAATTTGTGTATATGCAACTATTCCAAAACGATTCCCAATTCAGTTCTTAGCTAAAATAATCAACGACAATGAAAAGAAAAGAAACTATTTTGTATACCGTAGTAAGAATAATGTAAAGTGTGTCGTCTACCGAATGCACGCAATTTAACTGTGATAATTTTTGATTTTTGTTTAATGCCCAAGTGCAAATTGATCTAGACAAATAGTTCGAGTTTTATATATAGTACTTAGGCTTATTGTATATTTATGCATTAGTTAAGTGACCTATCCCAACACTCCTCCAATTCTGGAGATCTTTGACAAGCGAAATATTTTTAGTTTTTAATATATATTAAAAAAGCACTTAGTATTAAAGTTAACGAATGGAATGTTTTAGTTGATGGACAACTTATGCTTGATTACGAAGTGCATTTTCTAAGAAATCTTAAGCTTAATCAAAATCAAAACTAAATAAAAATTTAATACAAATTTTACAAAACAATTTTATTTTCGCTATACATGTATAACAAGGTGGCATCAAGTAACTGCCAATATAAAACCATTTCTAAGAATTTTGGCTATAAGAAATGGGAGCTTAGTTCAATAACAAATTCATTATAAGTTCAAGGGATCAACAGATATAAACACTATTACTATACAAGAGATTTTGGTTCTTTAGAAGAAAAATTTTGTAACAAAAATTTGTTTCACTTTGGCGTTGTTTGCTCGTTGTTTGGTGCTATTTCTGCGTATTTGTCCTTTTTAATTGGCCGACTTCATCATGGTTTTCATCTCGTTGCGCACACAGTATTTGAAGGCATCCCAGCCCTCCGATTTGGCCACAGACTGTAAGGTTACATTTTTAGGATTAGTATAGGGCCAAAAGCTAGTGGGCAACATAGAAAAAATGAAATGGGAGACACAAAAGTGAGTAAAAAGCAGCAAGAAATAGAAAAGATTGTGGGTTTCGCTGCCCACTGACCTCTTCACCTTTTGGCGTGACTACCTCAATGGAAACCTTTAGACGCTCATCGTGGTCTACAACATTTTGCTAGGGAAAGAAAATACAACTCATTTCTAATCAGCTGGACTTTTAACCTGGGAAACATTATCGCGGTACAGTTCATTGTTAGACGTGTAGTGAGTCACAAATGACAGACCACCGACAAGCAATTTAATGAATATGGAAACGAATAATAAATGGGTTTCTAGATACTCAAAATAAATTAAAAAAGTTCAAAGGTCTGTCCTTTCCATTTCAATAATGTTTTTGAAGGACAAACAAAGGTGCAACAAATAAAAAACCAATTCTGTGTAGATATCAGAGTTTAATGGTTATATGGCCAATTCAAAATAAAATTAATGTTAATATTAATAATATGTAAAATAAATGTAATTGAGTAGGATTAATATCTTAAAAACTAAATTATAAGTAAACGAGGTAAAACATTAAGCTTAAAGCATAAATCGATTACAGGCGAGACAAAAACTAAACGAACACACACATTCAATGCTGGTCAGCGAGATTAGGACAAAAGCGGCAAACAAAACGATGAATAACTTAAGTCAAACTAAAGAATCAGTGCCATAGCGCATCGCTGTCAATGAAGTAATCCAATTGCCGGCACACGCGATGTCGCCAGGCCACAAACAGGGGATATGCGGGTTCATCATAGGCGTCCAGAGCTTCGTTGTAATCAAAGAAACGACCACTTACTTTAAAGCCGCGATGCAGGCGATCCTTCATGATGGCAATGAACTCCTTGTAGGACAGCATACCATCACCATCCGCATCGAAGATGGCAAACACGGTGTCGATCAAGTGGGGACTTAGCTTATAGCCGGTGCAGATTTTCACAGCGCGCGAGAATTCATCTAAACGTAAAAAGAGTATAATTATAATTCATCTAAAGGTATAGTTTACATTGTTATTGCTTAAACCACTCACCTTTCGATATGGCCCGATCAGCCAGGGTGTACATGCGCATGGCGATCGTGAAATCATCCAAATTGTTTAGAAAATGGCAAAAGTCTCGGAAATCGTGGAACGATATACCCTTCTCATCTTTGACCCGCTCGAGCAGGCGCTCCAGGAAGACATCATACTCATCAGTGGCCAGATACGTGTACCTTAGCAGGATCTTAGCGAAGTCCAGTTCGCTAATGACTTGGTTGCCCTTGGAGAACTCGTGAAATTCCAGTTCGAGCACCTCCGTCTGCAGGTTGTCCATAAAGCGGTAGAAGTTGTCGTAGTTGATCACCCCAGTGCCTCGCTTCCCAAAGAAGTGCAGCTGCAGAGTGGTGGCCACCATGTGACGCCGCTGCAGTCCCTCGCCATCGTTCACAAAGTTCTGCTGGAAGACATTAAAGGCATGAAGAGTAAGCAATTGTCTGAATGGGAACACCAATGAGTTAGTCACACCAGGCTCATGCTTGGGACTCGGGAAGACCTTACCTCCAGGGGAGTGGGCGCTGAAGGTTCGAGCTCCTCTTCCGGCTCTTTTTCGCCGTGCTTCTCCTTCCATGCGCCGCTGAAAATGCGCTCCATCTGGGATTTTATGTACATGCCGGTTTTGGGGGATAGATTTTTTTTTTGTGCAGGATTTATGGTTAGGTTGGAGAGAAGAAAAGTTAGGTGGTTTAGTAAGGGTCAACACAGTGGTGGAGCGTTTCTAGGGTGTAGGCCTGTTTTTTTTTGTAAACAGAACAAAAAGCGGCAGGAACAAAACTTTACATAACATAAGCTGATAACGTAACAAAAACTCAAAAGCAAAAAATCTAAAATATAATCTTTATGAAAACATAAAGACAACTGGTAGCAAAGCAAGTATAAAAACTTATCTTTCGTAAAAAGAACAAAACACAAGGTACGAATTTGAAATAACACAACGTAACTAAGCTTAGCTTCTACATATGCTCCAAGCATATATCGACTTCTGTACATTTTGAGCGGAGTTTTCGCGAAGCAAAGCCAATTCTAATTGGGAACTCTAGTGGCTAAAACTTACAAGACCCCTCTTGGTTTGTGGCACTGCCATCGGTTTCGTCATTTGACTTTGCTCATCGTAGGAAACTAAACGCGATAGCTGCGATTGAAATCGATTTTTATGGCATCACAGACAAAATAAAATATAAATAAATCAGGAGGTACAATAAAAAACTAAAAGTAAAGTGTAAGTGATGTGCAGCTTACTTCAGCGCCCTAGGGCCAGCTATTTTCAAATGAGTTTTCATTATTCATAAATAATACCATTAAATTATAGCTTAACTTAATAAATGAAATGCTTACAATTTGCTTGGTTTGTGGATCGACATTTTGAGTGTCTTTTAAAGCGCCGGCCAAAATGGAAATTATCTAATGATAAACATTTTTTGAAAATTATATTAAATAATAAGTAAATAAAATCAATTGGAGAAACCCATATGAATTATGAGTATACGATGGGGAATAAGAATCCCTATTTACCACTAGAAACTCGTCCTTGTCCACCCGTTGATTTCCGTCGGTGTCGAACATGTTAAAGGCAATGCGGAATCCAGATTTTGGCTCTATAAGTAGGGTTAAATACTAAATAAAACACTACCTTGGGATATTTCACATATACTTACTTGTTAATATGGAGAGCAAGAACAAATATTCCGTATAGGAGACAATGCCTGAAAGAAAATATGTGTTTTACAATATGAACTTATTTACTTGAATTAAAAATAAGTTGTCAAGCTGATTCTTATCAATACCGCATACCAATTATACAAAATTATATATATTGCAATGTACAAAACAGTACATAAGCATTTACAATCGTACACCAATCCATAAATTAAGTTAAAGTGCTGGTCTTATCAGATCTTGTCTGCTAATTGAATTTATTGAAATGTTTAACTAGCCGAACCTGCTTGACGATTCTAATTTATTCGAAATGGTTTGCAGTTATCATACTAGATTCCTTGGGAAAAACAAGTATTTCTTCAGCTTTTTTATATCTGCCTATGATTTCTTAGCTTTGCATTTTATAGAGAATTTGTGTTAGATAAAAAAAGCTTAATAAACCATTGTAGTTTTAAACAAAGAACCTTCATGGAGTCTTTTAAAATAACTAAATTTTTATTGGTAACTTTACCTTTATCTCTTAAATTGCGAAACAGTCGGGTTGAGCCCTTCTTCAAAGCTGGTGTGCCATCCTTGTATTTGTCGACCTCGTCGTTGGACAGCAGCCGACGTTTCAATCGAGCTGTAGGACAAGTTATATTATTCAAAAGTATTTTTATATTTTTGTAATGCACTTACGTCTGGGCTCCTGTTCCACAACGGAGTCTAGGAAATCCTGCGGGGTCATGTAGAGCTGATCGTCGAACTCCACGGATGCGAACTTGATGAAGCGTCGCTCCCGAGCCGTTAGCTTCACATTCTCCAGGTCGATATCGTCGCGCTGCGGGATTAAGATTGGAAAAGATTAATCAGGCCATCGATGGATCGAAACTTAATATGCCGATGTGCGTATTTGGTGGGTAGTATAATTGAAATAAATCATCGAACGATTGGATCGCGACGATTCGAATTTCCGCCGCTTGGTCACAAAGGCGGACCGCCAGGGACAAAAGATGGGACTGCAATCTGGACGGGTCTCATCTGGTGACGTTTTGATTAATGCCCGGCCGTGTTACCTCAACCGCGCTCAGAAATATTAATTTGATCCGGTTTGCCGTACTCCCCATGCATCGGGAATTACATGTATGATCTGCATTTAATTCGAAATTCAGATTTTGACGAGCCGCCGGACAGGATTCCCACGTTGGCCGTTTGGCAAATAAAGTGTCAAATTGATTTGAGAACATGTTGTGACCGTTGATCCTCCATAAATCTGACATTTAATGCCACCCACAACAAGTAATCATTTTTCCCGCATACTCGTAGACTGGGCGAATGACTCAATTGTATTTTATTTGTGGTGCAAAGACAGCTCCCAGGCCATAACTCTCGCTCTGGGGACACCAGAAAACGCTGTCTGCCGCCTGTCCCCAAAAAACAGATCCGAACAAAGGCCACTTTGAATGTTAGACATGTGCAGCAAACACTTCGCGGCCACGCCCACGCCCCCAAGAAACCACGAGGGGCCAGGGGCAATTCCTTATAAAGTCAAAAAGCTGACATCATTCGGGCTGCATCAGAGGATACAGTAGTACGGTTTTATATACGAAATGGAGTAAATCAATTATCCTGCAAGTGGAAACTACATACTACATGTATAATAAACAAATCTAGAAAATTAGTAATTTGACAAATAATATTTAAGTAACCAATTTAGGCTGAACTTAAATACTTAACCATTTTTATATGTATTTACTTTTGAGATTAGACCCTAAGTCATTTGGGTTTAAATATGAAAACAAAATAAACTATTGTTTGAGGTTTTGTCTTTCCTTTTTTTATCATTTAATACCAAGTTCTAATATTTTTTAAATTTGTATTAATATTTAACCACTGTTCTGGAACCCTGCGCCAAGAACAAGGAGAACCGAAATGGCTGCAGGCGCTGGATTTATAGGCAACAATTAAAACTCATTCATCATCATCAGGCGCAGTCGCAGTCGCAGTTGTCATAACACATGTCAGGGCCAGGCCAAAACCAAAACCAAAACCAAATCTAAAGCCAAAACTCGGGCTCCAAACTGAGGCTCATATTGCAACCGAAACCGAAGCCACGCCTGCGTCTGGCATTGGGCATTGTTGTTGCCGTGGATATTGGTGGGTGTATCGAATCGGCAACCAGATCGATTGATAGATAAATTTTTAGTAACTGGCATTCTGTCAGCATTCGGGGGAGTGAGCTACACTACGTATTATTTGCCGCCTGCAGGTGCGTGGGCGTATCGGACTAACTACTTTGCCACTTCGCCAGGCATTTTTTAAGGTGTGTGGCATTAGCGCTGGAATTAATTCCAAAATGTTGCAGCCTTGGGAGTTTTAAATATTTTCGATGGCAAGATATGCTAATCTGCGAGGACGATTTTAAATCTGCGAAAAGGAATTCTCAAGATCTTTAAAGAAAAGGAGTTCTTTTGAGCGAGTTCTTTCAGTTCGGTTAGAATTTTGATGGAAGGAATTTATGTAGCACCTTGAATATACATTTATATACATGTAAACTTAAGCAAGTTTGGATTATTAAATTTTTAAATCAAATTTAAGAGTACAATACTTTAAAAAATGTATAAGAAAATATGTTTTTTTTTCTTGAACTTATAATTACAAATTTAACCCGCTATGATTTTATAAAAATTAATGTCAAGATCTCTTCTACTTATTAAATTTATACTGCAAATACTTATTTCGATGGCATACAAAAATTTTAAAAATCCTTTCAAAACATTAAATGCAATGACATCATTATTCAGAAAATAAAGCTCTTGGGTATTCCTCGCCCTTAAAGCTAAGCCCTGATAAGCAATTGCCGAAATGCGTAATGTAAATATTTAAATTTCACACCCTGCATCATACACATCAAAAAAGCTTATCAGAATTCCACTCACGTCAACATATTTTTCGGTTTTTTTTAGGTCTGCCCCAGAGACAATGTCAACAGGTTGATAAATAGTGGCTGTAGCTGTTGCTATTTCATTGAACTTGGACAAGCACCACAACAACAACCAATTTACATCAATGATAACGACCTTGAGCTGAATATTCGTGAGCTTATATTTTTATTGCCGAGTAATTTAACGCAATCCACACGAATTAAATCAATTTTATAGGCTAATTAAACGTCGATTAGCTAGTAAAAACAAAAATAGTGCAGCGAACGAGCGGAGCAAAACAAAACGCCTAACAACAGCTGATAAGAAACACTTCCGTTGCATTACGTCGAATGTTACGTCGTAACGTAAGCCGAAGACATGCCACAAGCTAAAAATAGCTGCGCAGGTCTTTTTTATCCAATTATTGACTTTTCCACACCAAACACTTGGCACACTTGATTTCGCTTTTTACACTGCAATTACCATGCGTCTTTTAAGGCTAACTGCATTCACGGGATTTTCCGCAGATCGCAGTTTTATGAATGCCGCCAGGGCGGCCAAGGAAATGGCACTACCGCCTACAAATGTCAGCAGGCGTCGCGATTTGTGTCCCGGAATTCCAATGGATTTCGAAGTAGTGCTGGCGAATCTGGCTGATCGGCCAACAGCCACGCCCACACACGACCGCTGGGCGATTATAACGCCACTTTTAATCGTTAATTTAGCCACTGCACTCGCCATTCTGTACGAGTTTTAACAAGGAAAAAACTACACTAGTGACAAATAGACAGACGTGATGTGCGTAACGTAAGGTAAGTGAGCATAGGGTTGCTACGTGGCTCCGAAAATAATAAATATCGCCTGTGGTTTGAATTTCTTATTTACTATTTTAGGAATAACAGTTAATTATATAGCGTAAAAATATTTTACGATGTCGTTTCCAAAATCAAATTCTGGAATAATTAAAAAATTGTAAATGAGAACGTAAGGCATTAGAACGGATTTACGTAGTCATTAGATGTTGCCAGATCGATACAATTTTGCCTGCAGGCAAGTTGGCGGGCATTTGGAATGGAAGGGAGAAAGAGGAATTTTTATTACAAGAACGGCCAATTTTAAAAAATATATACAAAAAAAAATTTAATCGAAACAAGTAATTAAGCTATAAAGACAAAATTTTCAACATTTTCAATGATTTAAATGTACTTAAATCTTTTATATTATTATAACCTAATCGGTTCTCAATGTTATTATTAAATGTATTATACCCTTGCAGAGGGTATTATAATTTTGGTCAGAAGTTTGTAACGCAGTGAAGGAGACGTTTCCGACCCCATAAAGTATATATATTCTTGATCAGGATCAATAGGGGAGTCGATATAGCCATGTCCGTCTGTCCGTCTGTCCGTCTGTCCGTCTGTCCGTCTGTCCGTCTGTTTCAATACCGTTTGCGAGCTCAGTTTAAAAGCTAGCGATCTGAAACTTTCACAATCGTCCTAAAACATGTGTACGCAGATCAAGTTTGAAAATCGCCCCGATCGGACGTCTATATCCTATAGCTCCCATAGGAACAATTGGATATATCTTGCAAAAATTTATGATATTTCGCGCAGTGTAAAAGCTATTGACATTAATCTTTACAAATCGTATTTTTTTATGCATACCTTGATCAGGGTAAAAGCGCGTGGCGATCGGACGTCTATATCCTATAGCTCCCATAGGAACAATAGGGTAAAATCGGTCCAAATTTGATGTTTTCAGAATATTTCGCGATGTGTAAAAGCTATTGCTGTACATTTTCAAATCGAATTTTTTATGCATTCCTTCATCAAGGTAAAAGCGCGTGCTGATCGGACGTCTATATCCTATAGCTCCCATAGGAACAATACGGTGAAATCGGTCAAAATTTCATATTTTTAGAATATTTCGCGCAGTGTATAAGCTATTGACATACATTTTTCAAAGTCTTATTTATTTACGCATATCTGGATTAGGGTAAAAGCGCTTGCCGATCGGACGTCTATTTCTTATAGCTTCCGTAGGAAAAATAGTTAAAGGCTGCGAAAGTATCCCTTTTTTTTATTTTTATATGACATTTTTGCAGTATAAAAGCAATTGACATTAAACGATGCAAATCTAGTTTATTTATGTATACCTTATTCCTTTCGCTACTTTTTCAGTTTTAGCAATTTCGGCAAAGTCTGCAAGGGTATTAAAACTTCGGCTTGCCGAAGTTAGCTTCCGTCCTCGTTTTTCTTTATGATTATACCTAATTTAACAAATACACGAAAAAATATTGTATTATCTAAATACGTCGAAAGTTCAAATATGACTAAGATATCGTCACACCTGAGAGGGTTTTTTTCAGAATTATTTCCGCATAACTGACAATATGAATTTGTAATCAAATTATTGAGTTTGGGCAAATTTGAGTCACTTGAAAAGGGGACTACGTGCCTAAGACCACACAGATTCGTTGGAAACGTTTCTAGAAACTAATTAAAAATCCTGCCGACGTGAAATTCTGCGGTGAGCTCTTGACGCAAAAGTGCATATTTGGCTCCAAACTATTGGGGATTTTTATTGGGCATGCCCAAAATCCGCTTGTGACGCGTCTCGGTCTACGCAAAAACCATAACAAATAAACTTATTGACCGTCAAAAGTCCAGAATTCCAGTGACTCATTTGACTGCAGCGGCGCGGCAGGCATGAAATATGACAAAAATGCAACTAGAAATCAATAAAAATGTCGAAATATTTTATGGGAAAACAAATGTCCCCATTGAAAGACGATAAAATGATCTGAGAAAACCTGTTGCACTTCCCCGCCTCTTCGAAATTCAATAGAAATGTTCTCTGTTCTTGGCGGTTCCATCTGTTTTCGAAACGGAAAATATCAATTTCACTTGATTTTCCGCTGTCGCGCGAAACCCTAGACGCAGTCTATCCCTTTCCATCTTTTCCTTGGTTCGATTCAGGTGAAGTTCGTAACCCAGGATAGTTGACACTTTGGGGTTTTGCTCCACAAATTCGATCTTTGGCCGCGAGTCGCCTAAGAGTCGCCCTCGCCTTGAGGACCAGCTTTTTCAGCTGGTTTCGTTTACTCAGCAGTTATGAGCTCGTAAATTATTAGTTTCAATTTTAAGCGGCGCATTGTGTTTCCTTTTTCCTTTTCCAATCCATTTCCTGCGAAAGTTGTAAAAGAAGTGACCGTCAACCCGGGCGCCAAGCGATTCGAAAGAGGATCCGATGGTCCAAAAGATCCGTTGGCACATAAAAATGTTTGTGTTGACGCCTTCGACGGGCCTTGGTTTGTAAAACGGCCCAAGGGCAAACCAGAACCCACAAACCCGCAAAACGATCGATATAAATACACAATATTTTGGTCTTCTTTTGGTAGTAATAAAGTCGTTTAAATCGCAATGCGTATTTGGTTTTCCTGCTCCACCTTTCTTCTGGTCGTAATAAAGTCGTTTCAATTAGCGTTCACAAGTCCCGAAAAAAAGCGCAGTTGTTCGAAATATTTTGGTTAGCGCCAGGCCCAAGGGTTTTTTCCTTCATAATTCATGCGGTTGTTTCCCTTTACTGGTTAATTAGTCTGGCATTTAAAATGTTTTCGCAAGAACTGAATATGCACAATAAAAAATATCTCCAAAATGGTTCGCTATTAAAAAAAATGATAATGTTTGTGAATTTTATATTTAACTTATTTTGTTTCAAAGATAAAACTTCTTAATGCAAATATATTTTCCTTAACTTTACCCGCTCATATTATTTTTTTATTTGATTAATGTATAAACAATAAAAGCTACTATTAAAAATCTATATATGTTTCATCTCATTTAAATCTAAATATGTCTGATATATTGGTACAAGAATATTATATTAGTATATGTTTTTCTCCGTGATGCGAAGATGCAGACGATTCCTATCCGATTTGGGTTGGGTCTTTTGGGTCTTTAGGCCGTGCGATTAGGTAATATTTTCAAGGGGGTTGGGTTGCCACAGAGCACATTGTTTGGGTTTGCCGCATCATTTAACGGTAAAATTGAAATTGATATACGAGCCGACATCCAAAAACAAAAAAAAAATCCCTGAGAGGGGCCAGATACGAAATAAGATTTTTGATTTCGCTGGAACCTTTTTTTGATGATATCACTGGCTGATCAAATAAAAAGTTCAATGTCAATGCTTGATGGGCGGCTCAATCAGTTTAAGAACACTTTGTGCCAGGTGAGAGAAAGGGGCCCACCTGTTGCGCCAGTTCACTCGAAGTTCATTGAGTTGTAATTAAAAAAAAATAAACAGAACCCCAAAATAATGGAAATGTACAGAAATATAAGAGGGGACGGGGACCACACGCAATCCGTTCAAGAGGCGCTGCCTGTCACACATAAATCTCAATGGAACATGCGGGACTCGCGGGGGGATCGCAACTTCTGGGAGCTGATGCATCACCTCCGGAAAAGACCAACAAAAAAAAGGGTGCCAAGTGGTCTTGGCCAAGGATGCCGACCAAGCCGGTTTTTCTTTTGGTGTAGCAAGTTCGGAGGCCCCTCTAACATCGTGATTTATGGGAGCCCAGGAAACCAGGCAACTGGCAAACTGGCCAACTGCCAGCGGTCACCAATAGAAGCATAGAGGCCGCTCCAATTACATCACTCAAACTACAGTTAAGGTGACCAAAAAACACTCCCAGGGAACTGGAACGACGCGCGGCTGTCACATTAGGCCGCTCTAATCAGACGCAGAGCCAAGTTTATCGCCGGACAAGATCTCCGAAGGATTACCAGTCTAGACTCGGGATCTGCCTAGATCTCCGATCAGGCTCTCTCTTTCTCTATCTCTCTCTCTTTGTGATCTTGGCTGCGTTAACGGTCCATCTGTTGGCCACCGGCCGGTTTTGGCCAACTTTACGAGCGGCGCTTGATGCTTCATAACCCATCGAAAAAACACAAAAACAAATACGAAAAACAAGACAAATGGATACTGGGATCATGATATTTTAAACCAAATATATAAATCATAGATTTTTGTAACGTATGTATATGATTTATTTAAATTACTTTAACAATTATATATTTAAATTTCAGAGCTTCAATCTTAGGTATAAAGTCTAAACTCAATTGACTTTGCATTCTTAAGTTCATTTGATATTCTGCATGGTAAGCAGCGTTTCTTTAGTTTTGTAATATACAAATTTGAATATTGATATATTTGATAATACATTATTTATCCTTGCTTTAAAATACCCACAAATTCAAAAGTTTTTACCAGTGCACAAAATAAAAGAGAACTTCTTTTTCGATACTCTTTTGTTAGTATCGGCTTTGATTAAGTTCTGATACCAATTTTTCGAGGGGCCGGGCTTAGAGAGTAACCTGAGCTCTGGCCACCAACTATGGACCTCAACGAGTCTTTCTTCTAATTTTATTAATTGTTATTGCCGCAAAGTTACATAAATTTATCTCATGCATGGCGATAGATAGCCGTTCCACTGATTTGGTTAATAGCCGCGATATCGATATCGATTTCGTTGGCAGGCACAATAAAAATTGCTCACATTTATGTAGATTGTGGAAGACGGCGATCTATTGAGTGTCTCCGACATTCTTATGGGACAGCTTGACTGATTGTGGGAGAGCCGGTGGAAGAATCTCTTCCAGCAGCCCAAAGACAAGAAGCTTTTCCAAATTTGAATTTGGTAAGATAAGATGGAAAGGTTGTTTTCTAAAAAGGTTGATAGATATTGATGAAATCGCAGTGACCATCTTCTTAATGGTTCTATACGATTCAGTGAATCTAGCTTTTCTTGTATCACAGTTTTCTACTTAGTTTTTGTTTATATCTGAAGTGATCTCTACCGTTGATATTTTATTGTATTTGATTTCCTTTAAAATGTGACGTTGAAATTTATCTATAATGTTATGAACATTAATTTGAAGACTAGGACAATCAATTCTTCTTATAAAATGAGTTATATAATTATTAAATGGTGCCATTTTTAAATTTAGCTAACATCGAAAAAATACGTATAAAATATGATGATTATATTACTTCTAATACAGAAAGTTGTTTGACTTTCAACCTTTTAACCATCAAAGGTTGAGCTATATATATGTACATTAATTTCGGAATTAGGCTCGTGCACTTTCCCCCAAACAGAAAACTCCCATGTTTTCGGTGATTTAAAGGTAACACCCCTAGTCCTAATCCAAAAATAGTCCCTTAAATTTACCCCACAACTATCTCAATGCCATTACCTAGTTCAGGGTCTCGTCTATGCCCAAGGTGCCCTTCAGTTCGGCCCAGACCAGATCATACTATCAATTGCTCAACACTTCTCCAGACGAACCCAATTAAAATCAGGCAGCAAATTTATTAAATTGCCATCGATGGCTGCCAAATTAAAATGTCAACGGCTTGCCGAAACCCCATGGAGAGGGCGGGGCTGGGGGAGGGCGCAAAAAAGTGTCATAAACTTGTTTGACAGATTTCTTTTGATTCATGGAAACCATAAATAAAGCTTGCCAAATCTCTGGGCGTGGCCCAAAGACCGAATGCCGCAAGCCCGAAAGAAACTGCAGTGAAATCAAAGTCAATGCGAACGATGCATAAATATTTTGGCGAACCAAATGAGGTTCATTTGGCTGTCATCGTCATGTGGTAAGCACCCGCGCCAAGGAATGCAGAGCATAACCACTCCGATCTCCGATCTCGGATCTCGGCATCTCGGATCCCGGCCAAATCTGATCACCCGACGACCATTGCATGTGTCGCCCCCATAATTCTTCAGCGATTCGGGCCACTTGATGATGACATTCATTGCCCCCTTCGAAGGCGCCATCCAATTGACTCATGTATCTTTTACTTACCACAATCCAAAAAATGGAAACTATATATTGGGTGCAGAAACCAACAGTCGAAGCACCTGCCGCCAATATAGAGTACAGATTTAGTGCCCAACTGGTAGATCATAAGTTGTAACTGGTTCTTCCCGGTGATTCCATCTATCAGCCAAGTCCTAGCCAGACTTCTTTATGTAGCCAGCCACACCCTGAGGCTCGAAGTGTCCACTAAATTCAAAGTGCATTGGCGGAGAGAAACATTTTCAAATCAGAGAACTGCACTGGAATGAAATTGCTTGAGATAAGAATCTAATAGCGATATTATGAGGCATATCATAAAGTTTTTAACACCCAAAATCACCCTGTGCTTACATCACTGAATTATTTAGAAGAAAAAATTGGATTTTACCCACGGTAAAACAAATTTAATTAATTTTTATACTTAATATTAGTTGAACATTCTTTTAAAAAGTTCAGATTTAAAATACAAATACTTTACTGTTAAATAAATGCTCTATATAAAAGTCTGTTTATTTCCATTGGACTAAAACATCTTTAATTAATGTTGATACTTAATATTTGTTAAACATTCTTTTGAAAAGTTCAGATTTGAATTTAATAAATTTTAAATAAATGTTCTATCTAAAAGTCTGTTTATTTTCATTGGACTATTAATAATTTAAAATACATGTTATTTGTAGTGCACAAAGGCACAGTTGCCCAAAGGCGAGACGCCTTCTTTGAGTTTATGGTGTCCAAGTATTCATAATTTGTTTTGGTTTTTTCAAAGATATTCTATTCCGTTGGCTCGCTACTGGAGTCCCCGACCCTGAGGAGATAGTCTATCAAGGCATTGTTAATTTGCTGAAATAGGTCGTGGATGTCGATCAATTCCATGGCGGGTGAAGTGGAGATATAAGTGGGCCCATGACCATTACTGCTAATGGCCAAGTCAGCTCGCTTGCCAATCTAATGAATGATTATAATAATCTATATTTGGATTCATAAGTAATATTATACCTTTTTCAGGGCCTGCCCCAAGTAACACAGGAGCAGCACGATTGGTGGATCTTCATCCTCCTTGTCGTATAGTCCCAATAGTGAGTGGCAAAGCACCGAAGATCCGCAGCCAATCTTTAAGGTTGTTTGGATGAAATATACTTCTTAAACTGCTGCATCGTTTACAACCAACTCACCTGCATACTGGCCGTCATGAGAGTGGGCCAGCACCTCTGCCACCAACCTCCCCATTGAATTTGTAGCACCTGGCGGGCATTCAACATCCATGGTCGGTTTTGGAGTCGCCGGCGATGCGACAGATCTTTTGAGGGAGTAATAGGGGCAGGTTCACGGGTCAAGGTCGTCGGAGGAGGGAATTGCCACCTGGCAAGATACTCCTTTAGTCCCGAGGAATCCGCACACTCTTCGCTAATGGGAAACCGATTCCTGCGCAAGTTTCGTTTGCTCTTCAGAATTCTGCGACGTCGTTTGACCAATTTTTTCAGTGCATAATGAGCTGGCATGTTAGATGCTCCAGTCTGACTATTAAAAGAAAGAAAACTAAAGATCCTCCAAGGACTTGTTCAAAAACCAAATACTTTTCTGGACCGAAGCAGCGTCGCAGTCCACGGTAGACGTTGTCCATAACAATAAACATTTCCAGTACTGGCATTGTAATTAAATGCTTACTACGAATTTAGTCTTACAATTTCAGTGTGACTTACAAAACTGAGAAATGCTTAGGTACCCAACACGAGGGGTAAAAAATTTAGTTGTAGTAGTTTTGCAACATGTTTAAAACTGTCAAGTGAAACGCCTGCCCAGAATTATAGATCTGCCACAAAAAGGGTAGTTCTTTCGGTTAACTAGATTTAGATTGGTTTCGAATTCCCTGGGTAGTAAGGACTTATCCAGAGCTGCGAAATAATTGTTATAACAGGCAGTAGAAAATACCAGAATTGGATAGAAAAATTACACTGATATTTAAAAAAGGCAGAAACAAAGAGCCGTACGTATTTCCGTGTGTGGCGGGAATTATGATTAATTTCTGTTCCGATAGATCTGCGTGAAGACTCAAGGCCCATTTGGATAGTGCACTCATAATTTATGGCGGCAGTGGCTGCCATCATAATTAGCATTGCGATCTAAATCAAAATATTTACAAATCAATTATTGTGATTAGCGACCACCGCAGCAACTTCCACCATAATCGATCACCCAGCTGGGCATTTCTCACTCAGGTCTCCATTCCGTAATCCATATATTCCGACCCCAACCCCACCCACAATCGACTTGGTGGCGACGACAGCATTTCACGGTAATCATAATTTGCATAGGCCTTAACCCGCGGAAAGATATAATATATATATTCTTATAATATACATTGTTGTGACAGAAAAAGTCCATCATAATCGGCTGATTAATCAATTAAATTATTTATTTATTTTACAAATAATGGACTAGAGGAATTGACTATCAATCATTTGCTTTATAATTAATATTTTTTTATTTATTCAACAATTAAAAATTTATATTAATTGCCATAATACTCTATTAAAAAGTGTTTTACTTATTATTAAAGCTAGGTTTAATTTTATAATTAGGTACTGTTTTAAATTTATTCATAAAATATATGTCAATGTTATTGTATAGGAAACAAGTGCTTATAAATTTTAGATAAAAATTGGTTTGGAATTAGTTGAAGTCAAAGAAGTATTCGAAAGTTTTATAGGATTCTTAAAGCAAATTTGGGTTTAACTGCATGTTAATGTTTCTTTTAGAAGAGATTTTAAGTATTCAATTACAACTAAGACATTAGTTTGATATCTATGTTTGATTGTCAATTTAAATAAACTTATGTGCTACCATTGCTTAATTAAATCTTTTAAAATCATGTAAAAAGTATTAAACACCTTTTTAAAATTAAAAATTTGCATTTGCTATAAAAAAGTATTTTAAAAAGCTTTAATCACTATAAGGAGATAGCTCTTTTTTATGCTGGGGGTTAACATGTTTTCGTATCAGCAGCCGTCTTGTTGCTGGTCACTTGGCTAAAGACAAAAGACAGCCTTTGGCGACACAATCAGTTTGAGATTTGTTTTTAATTGATTCGAATCGATTCGATTCGATTCGCATTGAATTGACTTTCTGTCAGTCTGTGTGTCGGCTGCTGGCTGCTTGTTCGTCGCCATTTGCTGACAGGCGACTATTACAATTTTATTAACATAAATTATTGCGGCCAGATCGATCCACTCGCGATATAAGTCGGCTACGACTAATGGAAGCCTAATGGTTGTTAATGCTTGGTGACGGAATTCCTCACCAAAATTACTTTATTGACTAAATGCGAGTTTGATTGGTGATCTCCTATCAATTGATACGCGAAATAACGTCGGATATTATTCGCTACCACACTGCGAAATCATGTTGGCTGACAGTGGACATGACAATATATATTCTGTAATTGAATATCGCACTGATAGCAATCTAAATACGATTCTGTGAACAAGAAAAAGCCGCCAACCTTGAGGTGGATTGCCGGCGCGTTTTTAATCGCTCGGGAAACGCGTGCGATCGACTCAAGGTGTAAAAGACTGGAAGTCAGGTTTTTTGAGGATCAGTCGAGCGGTGGGGGTTGCCCCAAAAGCAGCTGCCCAGGGATTGGAACTACTTAAACACCTCAACGGGCATCACTTGCCACATTTTCGGTCGGCCACGGTTTTTAATTAATCTAACATCTTGCCTTCTTGACTAATACTTGTACGGTTTACGCGGAAAAAGGGTCAGAGGTCGTTGAGGCGAGCACATTAGGCTGGAACACTCGACTGCCGGATTAATTAAGTCATTACCCCGAAAATGTCCTGCTGCTGCCGCTGCTCCTGCGCATAATTAATCATTTTAATTGTCTGACTGCATACCGAAGGACAATGGGGAAGCAGGGGAAAATGTAGAAAGAGCCGAAGGCAGATCGACAGTCAAAAGGTTGCTTTCTAAAACTGCGGGGGAGTTTCGCCCTGTCAGGGGTTATTTATAGGGGCAACCAGGAATTGGGATATTTGGCATGTGCTTCCTCCTTTCACAGGCGTCAAATTCTCGGGCACAAAATGTTGTCATTCCGGTTAATTGAGTTAATTGTTTCGGGGGCAGCCCTTTTTGTGGCCTGCCAAAATCACTTAGGCCACTTATGTGCAAGCATTTCAAAATAAATTTGAAGTTTCAAGTTTTACAAATAGGGTAAGGCAGGGTGAGTTCTTTTGGCAAAAACTAGTACCATTTAACCAAAGCGGCAACTATATGCAAACATTCTTAATATTTTTGTTTTGGGTTTTTATACCCTTGCAGAGGGTATTATAATTTTGGTCAAAAGTGTGCAACGCAGTGAAGGAGACATCTCCGACCCTATAAAGTATATATATTCTTGATCAGGATCACCTCCTGAGTTGATATAGCCATGTCCGTCTGTCCGTCTGTCCGTCTGTCCGTCTGTCCGTCTGTCTGTCCGTCTGTCTGTTTCTACGCGAACTAGTCTCTCAGTTTTAAAGATATCGAATTGAAACTTTGCACACACCCTTCTTTCCTTTGCACGCAGTATATAAGTCGGAACGGCCGGGATCGGCCGACTATATCCTATAGCTGCCATATAACTGATTGATCGGAAATGCCATAACTCTGCTGTTTGTTAGGTTAGGAAGTTGGGACTTTCTATGGGTTTTATATTTGGCCAATCAATCCGACGTACCAAATTTCATAAGGATCGGCCGACTATATCTTATAGCTGCCATATAACTGATTGATCGGAAATGCCATAACTTTGGTGTTTGTAAAGTTAGGAAGTTGGGATTTTCTATGGGTTTTATATTTGGCCAATCAATCCGACGTACCAAATTTCATAAGGATCGGCCGACTATATCTTATAGCTGCCATATAACTGATTGATCGGAAATGCCATAACTTTGGTGTTTGTAAAGTTAGGAAGTTGGGATTTTCTATGGGTTTTATATTTGGCCAATCAATCCGACGTACCAAATTTCATAAGGATCGGCCGACTATATCTTATAGCTGCCATATAACTGATTGATCGGAAATGCCATAACTTTGGTGTTTGTAAAGTTAGGAAGTTGGGATTTTCTATGGGTTTTATATTTGGCCAATCAATCAGACGTACCAAATTTCATAAGGATCGGCCGACTATATCTTATAGCTGCCATATAACTGATTGATCGGAAATGCCATAACTTTGGTGTTTGTTAAGTTAGGAAGTTGGGATTTTCTATGGGTTTTATTTTTGCCTAATCAATCCGACATATCAAATTTCATAAGGATCGGCCGACTATATTCTATAACTGCCATATAACTGAACGATTGGAAATGCCATAACTTTAGTGTTTTTAAAGTTAGGAAATTGGGATTTTTTATGAGTATTAAGAATGCATTATGAATGATTTTGGAGAATATAATTTGCAGAATATTCTGCAAGGGTATTTCAACTTCGGCTCCGCCCGAAGTTAGCTTTCCTTTCTTGTTAAAATCTAAAACCTGTATTTACTATATTACTTATTGGAAATTCAGAAACGGATCATTTTTCATTCTTTAATCATAAATGTACAATAATTAAAAGCTCACTATAAAAAGGTTATACAAGTTACCAAAAGTTTAATTTGTTTTTAAAATGTAATATAATTGTAGAAAAAAATATATGACATAAATAAAAACCGGACATTCTCGTAACTGATATAATTTTTTGAACAACAAAGTTTATTTTTCGACGTCAAATACAATTAAAGTCTTTGTTTTATCGCTCTGCTTATCGGTAGCCAACCAGTGTTTACCACCTGCAACACCCACTAAATGACAAACTCATCAAGAATGACGTTGGCGATTCCCCCGTAATATTTTTGCAGTTCTTGTACTGCCTCAGCCACTGTCAAGTTCAATGTACATACATTCATACGTATATTTTCAGCCATGTGATTTTTTTTTTATAAGCGCCATCTAATAGATAAGATAAATTTTATTCAAAGAAATTCGCGCATAGCTGAATTAACTTTCATTTGACGTGGGCTGCTTTTTCTGGCTGAATGTGTTGTCCCATTTTGGTCAACACTTAAAATTAGTCAGAGGTTATGGTGACCACAAATAGAATTTGTGATTTATCGTTGGTTTATTGCAACGATAGGCAAATGAGCTGGTCAAAGTTTATAGCTTATCAATACCATCGAATCGCTTTGATTAGCACCTCCTATTTGTTGACTCCCCCACGCAACTGATTCACAGGTGATAATAAGCCTCGTAATGCTGGCCATTAAGTGACGTTCATCGCTGCACTTTGGGCCGTTAGTTAATTGGTATTTGTGCAAATCAACGCTCGCTGGCGAAATACAAAACAATGCACTGGAAAATGTCTACATGCCAAAAAGCACAACCGCCAGCCAATCACCAAAAACAATCCGCACAAATACAACCAGGGAAAAACGAATGCAATCTCAACGCTCACACTGTCAGGTTGAAAACTGGCACGTGATGGGGATCTATCACTGGGACTGTTGATTTAAAAGTGCCGAATACCGCCAAATCTGAAAACAAAACCACAATTGCCACACTAATTTGTTAAATGCTATTTATTAATCATGGGATCTAGCTTTAACTATAAATGCATTTTTTATAAATATATTTAAGAAGCTAGAATGATACCTCAAGTTGAGTTTTAATTACCAATGCACTGACCTGCATTTATAAAATTATTTCATATCAAACAAAAAATAACTTAGTAACTTAGTTTTGAAACTATTAGATACCCGGTATTCATTTGTGTGCTATAAAATATGTAGCCTAACTTCAAGCGTAAAATGTTATATCCTTTCAAAAATTGTTGGATTATAAATATTTAAAATTTATATGTAGAAAAATATGTTCTTATAATTCTTTGTGGCTAAGATATAATTTTAATTTGTAATTTAATTAAAATTTATAAATTTACTTTTATGAGCCAAAACTGAGTCGAAAAAAGTGTTCGAATAAAACTGATGCTGATTTGAGCTATATTTCGAAGATGATCTTCCTTGGGAAAAAGGTAAGCAAAATGTGTATTGTAATATTATTTAATACATTTTTTCCAAATTTGATTGAATTAGTAAACGAAGTAGTTCACAAATAACATTTTTAAGTCGATTATGTCTTTTTTTATATACGAAAAAAAAAATTAAAATAAAACTTTCTTCACATGTATTAATTTACTAAGAAATAAATAATTAACCAAAATAAATATATCTTGCTCAAGTGTTAAAAATTGTTGAAGTTCTTAGAAATATTGGTAATTAATGAATCACTAAATTAGCAGAGTTTCATTGACTTGAGCCATAATTTCGTGAGATCAGAAGGATGAATTGGGAATCACAAACAGACCAAACGATGCTAACACTTAGGACCCTTGGCCGTATATAGTGCCATTGGCTACAGTTGACCATTCTTTTACCTGATTCGCTCTCACTCTCTCTCTCACTCCCCCGCCGCACACTCTCTCTCTCGTTCGCGCTGCCGCGAAAGCAGCAACAGTGCTCGGCATGAACGCACGAAGCGTCGCCCCATCGACAGGGTCTCTGCTCAGTTTTTCAGTCTCTGACTAGCACGCTTTGGGAACACACAGTGAGCGGAGCGTCCGCAGTCGCAGTAGCACTCGAAGTCCGCTTATCCGCAATCGCATCCGACATCCGCCATCCGCAGCGTTTTCGAATTTTTCGAACCATCCCATTTATCTGGCATATCCTAACCATCTAATCGTCGAGCCCAAACAATATCGTGATCGCGTCCGAAATCGCGTCTTTTTGCCGTACTCAATGTTCCGGTTTTATGTGAAATCGCGTCCAAAGGAGATCGAAACAATAATCTCAACGGATAGCCAATTTGAAACAGAAAAGTTCATTTCGGTATCCAAGTATTGCTGGCCAAGAGAGTCGTTACAATTTGAAAAGGCCGCTAAAATCGTTTAATTAACGACCAGTTCGAAGAGGAGAAAATATATCAAAAATATATATGGTTAGTGTTGTGTTTTTGAAAAAAAAGAGAAATCAAAAAAATTTATGAAAATGTTCAATTGCTGTTGCCATAAGTTTTGAAGTGTGCAAAGTGTAACTCTCTTAAAATCCAACGAAAAATACAACGCGTCCAAAAAGAATCGTAAAACTGAAAAAAGCAAACAAACATAAAAATAAGGTGCGTACTTTTCTTCTGTTTCAATGCTGTTACATAAGTTCTTTTTTAGTAAGTTTGTTGTTCCTTGGAATATTTCCTCAAATGTTGCAAAATACTTCTCTCACTTTTTGACTTTAGTGCCGCTGTTCGTAAGCCACTAATTAATAAACGTTTTCAAGATTGTCGAGCTGAGAAGAAAATTTATATATATATTATTGGATTTGATGTTTGGAAATACCGAAATTCATAAATAGAAATACATTTTTTGCCCTTACTCTTAATTTTATTAAAATATATTCGTGCCCTGAGTTTGTGGAACTGTGGCTAAATATTTGGTATGTTTTAAAATAAATTGAAATCATTTTCCACTTGGCAGCGAGCCGAGTAATAAGTGTATTTAAATGTCCCATGGGTGAAAGTAATTAAATAACAAATTGTGTAAATGTGAAATAAATTCATTTCAAACAAACAAATAGCGTACAAAAGCAAATGAGAAAAAAAACAAATCTTCTAGTATTCGGATGCTAATTGAGTTAAATTTAATTGATATTCGATTAGATTTCAACACCTTTTAAGAATATCACTGCAACCGTAATCTGAATGAATTTAGTATAAACAAATTAAATGTGATTTACGGCTTAATGGCAACTGAGCTTTTCCAAGTACTTTTCCATTTTAATCTGGCCCAAATAAACAGTAAGAAAGGCAAACAAAAAAAATGGCAAAATATTTTTTTGCAAACTTGTGAAAGCAAACGACCTTAGGAGAACCCCCACTCTATAGAAGCGAAATTTTGTATAAATTTAATCACACACACTTTGGGATTATTTATAGTTTTTTGCAAAAAGCATCCACATTTGCGAATCTTTATCGCTGTCTGCAAATGTATCTGTATCTGTATCTGCAAATTGTGCGTATCTTTATTTGCAAACGCACGCAGGCGCTTTTAATCTAATTTCGCAAACTTTTTTTCTATAATGTTTTTTTTTTTTGTGTCTGCTCTGCGCGTGCAGTTTTTTGTCCTATAAATTGGCGGCGTCGACTATTATCTAACACTGTGCGCTATTATCTAAGCTGAGTTGTTGTTCTTGTCCCTGCTGCTGATTTGTGCGGCGTATCTGTGTGCGAATTTGCGTTATTGTCGCGCCAAAGGGGACGCATGTGTGCGTCGGGTTCAACAACTGCTAATCACATGGCGGATCATAGTTTGGACAGCCGACCGAAAGACAAACTACAAAATGTGGGGATCGAGATAAAGAATAAAGCTGAATGAATTGTGAATAGAGAATGTGTTGAAGGTGATATCCTTCTTAATTAATGGCAGCAACGAGTGCCTAACTCAAGTCCGCAGATTATTTATAGAACCTATTAACTGTTCGGTGTTTCTATAGCATTTTTAAAATAATTTTTCAGATTCCTTTTAAATAAAATATATGTTATATGCCTTTTAAATTTATTTAAATAAATTACATTTTTTTGAGTTTCAAAAGTTTTTTACTTTTATCTACATAACAACATTATATAATATTTAAGAAAGGGATAAAATAACAGATTTAATTTTTTTTATTAAATTTTGATATTTTGCCTGAAAAATACTTAAACATTTTTTAAATTTAGATATACAATTTGGACAACATACATACATGTTTCAATATTATATATTTGAAATTGCTTAAAGTTTTTTTACAACCGTTAAAGTATTAGAAATATGGAGTCAATGTCAAAATTTGATATTTTAATATTTCAAGGTGAATTTTATGACCTTTCTTTATTTTCTCCACCGTATAGTACATTTTTATGTAATTGATCTAATAAATGTTTTCGCTTTTACTTAAGTTCTCACGTCACAATTTCATTAGCCAAAAAACGAAGACTACTCGAGGGCAAAGAAATTAATTGATTAATTTTTTAGTAGCCCCACAAATATGTTTTTGTCTACGTCAATGATAATTTACTTAGTGAAAAGCCAATCGTTAGTTGATGCCATACATTTGTTCACTCACAAAAAGTAAAAATGATTAAATAAATAGTATGGGCAGTCTCAAATTGATTTTAATGGAAATTCAATTTTCGGTAGTAAAAAACGTTCAGTTCGGAATTTTTATACCGATTTCACCCCGGAGACTGGCGTGTTTGCCTTTGGACTTGAGATGTCGTAAAGCCAGCCAATTATCAAGTTTAGTTCTGAAACGCGTGTGTTGGGTAACATTTTGCTTGGTTCTGTGACACATTTACAAATTGTGCTTGATTGATGGGCCGGTAAAGGCAACGTTTGAAATACAACAATCATAATTCCTAGATAAAGCTTATCGCATGCAAAAGAAAAATGTTTTACGGTCGTGCGTAAATAGTTTTGCGGTTTGTTTTTCTTTTGGCCAAAAGTGGCGCATAATACTCGGAATGAAATGTCGACCATAACAGCGAAAAAAGGGAAATACAATAAAATAAACCGGGGAAAGAAGAAAGAAAAATGCGGGAAACTCAGTAAAAATGCAGCGTTTGTTTTAATGAAGCGTGAACACTAGACCACATAATGTGCGGCATACATTTAGAGACACACACATACACACACACACACGATCACACATGGCAACAACTTTAGGTACACCCCTCAGTTAAAAAAAAGGCAACAAAACACCTAAATGAAAACGAGAAAATCGTCGCGTATTTTACTCAGGTTTTTGTTTTTTTTTTTTTTTGGCGGTTGACTTTTTTTTTGGGTTGTTTGACGCATTTTAAAAATATCCTAGACGCAATTGTTGCTGTTGTTGGTGTTGTTGTGCTTGGCTGTCTGTTTGTCACATTACTAATACGTCGCGTTGTCTTTGATTTTCGTCGTTTTGTGTTGAATTTATTTTAGAGTGGTGTTTTTTTTTACTTTTAATTTTCGCACGTAAAGTGCGTGACTTTTAATTAGACTACAATAAATGTGCGAAAATGTGTGGGAGATGAGTCTGCCAGTGGGCAAGAGTGTTAGTAAAGCCAAGAGATAAATTTTTAAGTGGGATACATGAATGTGAATTTTGACGAAAAATTTCTTAGGTACTTCCGTTAAAATCCATTTGTTGACAGATATAACATTAATAAATAAAAATAAACCAAGAAACCAACTAAAATTGTTTACATTCTTCCGCAAATGTCGTTTAGAAACTGATTAATAGAAAAATAGAAACATAGTCTTGATTCATGACAGATTGAATTTTTTTCGGGAACATAATTTTCTGACTAAATTCTTTAAATATTTTCTACTTAAATTATGATATTGGGTCCTAGAATATTAATATACAATAATTCTTGAAATATCTAAAGACTACTAGAATGCTTACGCACAAAATGAATAAGATTATAATTCTTCTGAAATAATTTTGTACCACAGCATATTATCATAAATAAATTCTATTATGTTGAAATAGAGTTGAAATGAATAACACTGTCTGGTTTTCTTAATTCCTATTATATTAAATCAGATTGTTTATTATTTTATTTTACTTTTATATATATACATGTATGCCTTTCAACGGATTAAGAAACAATTAAAAGTTAAATACTTTAATTTAAACTGGCTCTTAGTATTGATATAATCAGTTACAATTTTAATTTTAAAATCTTAGAACTCATTTTGTAATTCTTACCCTGGATGTTGTGTGCAATTCGCTGGCGACTCAACTTTCCCACTATGCTGTCAATATATCTGGCGACCGATATTTGCTTTGTTGTTAGCATCGCCGCATGTGATTGAATCGCTTTCGGATTGTGTGCGTATATCTCTGATTCTGCCCTCGTCTGTCTCGTGCACTAAATATTTAAAATAGCTGCATCTTGAGAGGATTTTTCCCGCTGCCGCTGCCGCTGAGACTGCGGCAACCCAATTGCTTCCGGTTCAAATCGATTACACAAAAGCGCTGCCTTTGTGCGCTCAGGTTTTTTACTCGTACTTTTCCCTGGCGGCAGTGCTTTCCCCGTAGATTGTTGGCAAGTATCTAACAGTGATGCCTTCAAGTATCTTATGCCCGTTTCCATACAAATGAAGTGCACATCGATTAGTGCATTTGGCTGGCTGCCTGAGTTATGTTTCGGTATCTTTTTCATTTCCCCCCGTTCGCCGCGTTTCTTGTTTTTCCAAAGAAAATTAATTGTTTTGTAAACACGGGAGTCGATTGGGGGGCGGGGATGCCTCCATCCAAAGAGTTTGTAGATCCAAAGGGAACCAGATCAGCGACAATAATCCACAGCCAAATGCATCGCCTTGTTTGCACTCTGATAGATATTCATCTATAAGGCAGTTGTCAGGAATGCCACCGCACATCAATCTTTTGCTAAGCATTCCATAATACACAAAAGTACGTATGAAAACAAGTATATTTATTCTCGTTCAATCTTGTGACAAGTGTCAACACGACAATGAACGTCAGACACTTAGCGGGGAAAAGCAATATAAATTTATCTTCTCTTGAACTAGAATTTCATTGTTAAACTCATCTAGCTATCTTTGTATATTTGTTAAATTCTTTTCGCTTTCAGTTTGGCAATGAAATACTTTTTCATAGTAGGGGAAAAAAATTAACTCAAATTGTTGCAACACGACAATGTTTTGTTTATTCTTGGGCCTAATTTATTTTATTGCCCAAACTTAAGTTGGGCAAAAACCGAGACCACAAGCCATGAATAAATTGCACATGTAAGTGAAGAGTCTGGGAATTTGTGGTTTTTGGCAGTGTTTTTTACTGCCAACCGCAAGAAGAATGAGATACGACATTACTAAATGGTTTTCTGGGTAATAGATTCTGGTAATAAATATTGCGAATTAGCTCGGCATCTGAAAACAAATATATAAATCATAGGAAAACAAAATAAAAAGTTAAATATAGTTAAATGAGCAAAAATAAAAAGACTTCAAAAACAAGAAACCTTCACTTTCAAACGCTTAAACTGGTTGTGGTAGTTGTTTTTCTTTGTTAACAAAATCAAATATATATAAAACATAAACTTTATGCTAATGTCATCGGATATTTATTTTATTAGGCTATGAAAATTTTTATTCACCTGTTATAATAAATTATTTAAAATTTTGTTGGACTGGCAAACTGCGTGAATCATTTGCATATTAGCAAAAACCACAACGGAATCTAATAAAATTTACATATGTCTGACATTTTTGGTTGTAATAAATGTCCAAAGAGCGTTGTTTTCCCTTTGTATTTTTTGTTGGGGTAGCCAAGCGTCTGACATGAACTAATTAAGTTGCGCAGCTCGGCTTAGATTTATCGCCGTCCAGGCGATCCGCCAGATACTTTCCAACTGCCTCAACCTAAAGCCCATCTGTCAGCGGCGCCATTAAAACGGCGGCTAGCGCAAATGTCAAACGCATTTCAAACGCATAAATTTTGGCGTTGCTCGAAATGCCGCAGAAAAAAAAACAAAGCAAAGCAAAACATAACGAAATTTGCTAATCAGTTTGTGGAGCGACTGCCATTTCAGTTCAATGACTAGGCCTAGCTTCGATTTCAGTGGCTTCCCAAACCAAATGGAAACTCATAGCTGGAGTAACTAATTTAAATTTTTTACTGTGCCTTTTTGCTCTGCGACTTTGGTGACTTGTTGTCAAGCTGTTTAATTTTATATTTTTATGTTTCAAACAAGATGCCATTCACGCCAGACAATGGGTTGCTTTCATGAATAAAATTTGATTCATTATTTAAAAAATTATATTTTTACCCGAATCCTTTTTGGTTTTTTTACATTCTTAATTTGTCAACTATATTTTTTTACAATAAATTATAGTTTAAACAATTTTACATTGAAACCATAAACCACTAAATTATCAACAAATTTTAAACAAAAATCCTTTTACCATTGTAGCATTGAAGATCCTTTTTAATAAACAACTAAATTATCAACAAATTTTTGTATGTATTAGTTTTGTATTCAAAAATACCTCATTTACACCCATTGTACAGCATTGAAGATCGCTTTTATTATAAAATTAATTCATTCGCTGACCAAAGATGCCGCCACACGTCTCTGGCCATTCATTTATTATACATTTTCTTTGAGTTTTTTGGGCTTTTGGTTGACTCGCCGTTTTTTTGTGATTTGGACATTTATTTGATTAGACGACTGCCACCGAAGATTGCCACTTAAATTTGGGTTAAGTGAATTTCAAGTTTTATAACGGATCCGAATTTACTCGAATGACAAGTGTTAAGTGAACTCAAAGAGTTCTTTGCCTTTTCATACTGGTATATATGGGTGCTCAGTGGTTATTGGACTTTCGCTTTTGTTTTGGGGCTAATAATTTGCCAGAGCAATCACAGTAATCAAGTTTGGACTCTGATTAAATATTGCCTTCGATTATGGGTATATTTACTTATTACGCGTCGTTTTGGGGAATTAATCTCATCGGGGGGGAAAAAAAACAAAAGATTTCATTATTTTTTTATGCTTCTCATAATTTGTTGAATTGCGGAGGCTTATGAATGACAGATGAACCGATGGTCTCAAGTCGTAAAAAGCAGATACATTGGTTTTTATTTTGGCCCTACCAGCCATAGGTGTGATTTTTATATTTCATCTACATATTTAGATTTTTTTTCCTTTCATGGCTATTTTTACTACTTTCGGCATGTGTCAAGACACGCTTCCCTTTTTGGGGGGTTTTATCTTCTTTTTTTTGCCGCTGCTTGGGTTGATGTGGTTGCCCTTACAGAATTCCACATAAATTCTACTACTGAAAAAAAAACATAAACAACGCCTTGAGACCGAATCTGCGGCTGGCTTGGCACACATTTTGCCTGCTGTGCCACATATTCTTTTTATACAGAAGTTTTATTTGGGTGAAAGGCATTAAAGTTGGCAAGAGGTAAAGGTTTGAATATATATACCTTGATCTCCGCGGAGCTGATGAAAATTTGAAGAATTTTGCTGATTTTTATATTACACATATAATATTGGGTTTCACTGATTCATCGTGTTTCTTTGTTTTTATAACTCTGCTGGCATGGAAATTCCGTTTTTTTTTTTACGATCTGGAGGGCTCTTAACTGTTTGGGATGGTCTTAGGGTCTTAGGCGGTTTTGAAATTATACGGTATTATAAATTTAACTCAAAGTCAACACATTGCATAACTTCGCAGGCAGTTTGGACAGAAGGACGCAAAAGCAATTAACATTTTGATGGCACAGAAGTCTTGTGTTTTGAGTTGTCACTGTTTGGTCGCCAATTGGATTTGTTGCTCTTCCTGCTGTTTTTGTTGTTTATGGTAATTAAAACGGGGTGCACTTAAATGTTGCATAAAAAATGCTGCTGCGTAGGCTTGCTGAACACGTGCCAAAAAGCCGGCAGTCGAGTGGAAGTGCACCGGCAACGTCACTCAGCCGCCCCGTTGCCCTGCGAGTATCTCATAGATACAGATACTCTGCCGCTGCAGTTAGTGCGTGATTATTTTCAAATTCGACACAGTTTTCTGCACGAATTGTTTTTGTTGCCCATTTTATTTTTAAACAATTCGCCTGTCCGCCGGTCTTGAGGGGGTTTTCCCTCTCTCTTTTTCCGTTGGGAAAGTCATTTTCGATGTTTTCACCGAGTTTTTCCTTTGCGTAACTGCTCCCTTTGGCCAGTTTTTATGTAACCTCTTGCCGATCACTTGTCGCTCTTATAGACACAATTGTTTCTTTGGCCCGTTGATAGTCCGTTGTCTATAAATATACTGTGCCACTTTGTCGTCGTTGTGTCTTTATATAGCCGAACGCTAATTAAAATGTCAAAAATTGCGTTAAAAACGCTTAGCTGAAGAATTTATGTACAATTTGGCTTAGTCCAAACTCACGAAGCAAATGTTCGCTATGGAATGCTCAAAGCCAATTCCCAAATGCAATAAATTTTAGGCTGAGCAAGTGAATGTCAAGTGATAAGTTATTTTACGATACAGATAATCTGTTACTTGATTATAAGTCACCAGTCAAGCATGATCCACTAATTTCGTTCATTTCAAATTCTTCTCATTGCAGCTCGACGAAAAAATGTTAGCCAATCAAACTTAGGCCAACAGGATTGCCTCATTCAACGTTCCCCAATTTTATCGCGGGAATATCTGACATGACAAGAAAGTCATTGGCGTTGATAAGATGCATTATCAGCGGGGAAGACGAAGATGAAGATCCGCAACCGCAACAGCAACAGCAGCAATTGAAAAGTGTTAAACAAGTCTACGATATGATAACCTAATTTCCTGCCTTTGGAAAGAGGAATAAAGATATTAATTTAAAACGGGCCCAGAGAGAGACTCTTTAAACGCGGCAAAGTCAGTGAAAAGCAAGAAAAAAAAAAAAAAATCGTAAACGAAACGAAAGTAAAAGATTTCATAAACGGGGCGTTCATATGTTTCAACGACATCCGAGGGCGTGGCGAAGGCCCAATAAACTGGCAAACAAACTATAAACAACCGAAAACAGCGACTTACACAAAATTATAAACATACGGATTCGGGCGGAAAACAACGGCTCGAAAATCCCCTGTAAACCGAGGTGGTGATCTTTGATGCGAAGAAACCTGCGCTTGGACTGGAGGGCCCTGGCGCTGCTGGGCGCCCTCCTCCCGCTGATCATCGACTGGCCGGGATTGGTCTTTGCGATGCCCCTGATGGCCAACCCACCCGACTCATCCACATCCACATACGCATCCGCATCCAACAGCCCGAACAATAGCAATCTGTTTAGTAATAGTTATCTACAAAGTGATCATAGTCGTAGTAGTTTAGTGCCGAGCGCAGTGAGTGAACGTAGTGTAAATCAAACCACAAATCAAAGTATTAATGCTGAATTTAATCAGAGCCTAAGCACGCAATTAACTGCCATAACAAGTACACCCCAATTCGCCAGCGCGGAGGACTCCGATCAGCTGGAGGAGCCGCTGGGATTTGTCATCTCGGCGGTGCCGAATGCGCATCTGGCCGTCCTGTCGCGTACCGAACGCAGCATTCGTCACCAGAATCAGCAGCAGCAGAAGAAGCACCACCACCACCATACGCAAAATCATCATCATCACCAGCATCAGCAGCAGCAGCAACAGTCGCCCGCTGACAATAATTTCATTGGTTCGAAATCGAAAAGACTGAGCAACCCTAGGAGTAGTATAAACATAAATAGCAGTAGCAGTAACACACCCATCAGCAATCTGGACCGCAACGAGCGCTCCACGGTGCCCCAGTCCCACCTGGCCTGGACATCCCGCAAGATCCAGCTGTACATCAAGAACCGCATCCTCCAACTGATGCGGGATGGAACCGTCAACGGAACCCAGGACGAGAACAGTGAATTCAGTAAGTAATCAGAACAATTACAAAATTCATAATCATTTTATTATATTTGAAATCAATTAAATCAGTGACAGATAGATATTTTATCGGGCTTTGAGAAATCCTCTAATATTATATTTTATATTAGTTAGAAAACCGCCCAATGAAGAATTTTAATTATGTCCTTCTGATAACAAAGTTTGTCAATTGAATTAATTTATTATCTTCCTAAATAAGCAAAATAAATTATATTCTGAGCTCTCGATTTAAATTGGTTCATAAAATTCAAATTTGATTCGTGATTGTCAAAAATATTAAGATAATATTTTCAATATAACCTAACGATTATATTGCCATCAAAAAAATAATATATATTTCTAAATATAAAAATCCAAAAACGATGCAATGACCTTGTAAAACGTTTCCTTAAAAATTTTCCATGTTTTTTATAGCTAAACTATCATGATACAAAATGTTATATAGAAAATATTGTTTTTAGATTTTTTTACATTATTTGTCTATATTGGAGATAATCTTTAAAATTCTCAGAGTCACCAATTTTGTTGTCCTCCCAATGAACATCTATGCTTTGGTGGCTATCCCCACCCATGATGAACTTCAAAGTGGACGCCACCCAAACCCCCTCTCCCTCAGTACTCGCATATTCCTTCGGTTTACTTTGAATATGTTTTATGTTCAATTTCGGGGGCTCTCTTGTTTGGTTTTTTTTTTCGAAGCACCCATTCCACTTGGACTGCATAAACAACCAAATAAACTAATGCCTATGGCTGTATGAAATATTTAGAATATCAGAAATAATACATGCCCACGCACACCGGCACAGGGATATATACATATATATAGAATATACATATGTACATTTCAACTTAGTTTGTGTGATCCACCTATAGAAGCGCCCACAAGTTGAAAGTTCTCATAAAACGCTGCGAAACTGCGTAACACGCACTGCGATCTGCCAAAGAAATCGTATTTTCCGTAGCTCGCTCTCGTCTGTTTATGTTGGGCATCATTAAGTTAGACACTTGATTTGGCAATGCGGCGGCCCAAGCATTGTATTATTTGGCATATAAATTCTTTAGTGGGCTAAGGGCATAAATCTTGCCTTAATTAACCGCTCGGCCTGATTAGCCGGGCTCCCTCTGGGAAATGAGTCAGTCGTTCGTTCGGTCGGTCAGTCTGATGAAGATCATCATGTGGCAGTGCTTTTGCCCCTGCTCCTCCTGGCATTTGCATAACTTTTGGGGCCAGTCGAATTAATTTACAGCTTCATTTTCATTGACTTCCTTGCGGCCAGCAAATTGCGGCAATGATAAAGCCACGGACAAAACAGAAAAAAAAAAACAAAACAAACTTGTTGTACAACTTTGGTCCGGTTTGAGAGCGATTAAAAACGCGCTCGCTTATCGGAGGAGCTCATCGTCAATGGGAAACATCGCCAGCTGGAGATGCCGCATAGATAGCGTGGATTTTGTTTCGCCGGGGTACAAATTATTTAATTCACCACCGTTGTTGTACTTTACATACTTGTCTTGCCCCTGCCTCAGGTGTTAATTTGATTTTGGACTCGATCAGGTGGCGATAATGCGAGTGGAGTGCGATAAGATTGAAATTGCCGAATAAAAGAGCTTTTTATAAGACTCCTCTGATGGAGTGCGTCTGCCGTTCGGTTGTGGGTGTCGGCAAAGAGTTTTATGGTCACGGAGCTGGGAGGTTTCTCTACTCCTCTACTCATTTTGGGTACCCACTCTCACCCTCGAACTTGGGACTTTCACAAGCCAAATCAGTGGCAACTAACAAAGCAATTTGTGTTTATTAGTGACTGAGTGAGTCTTTTATGGGCTGTAAATTGTACAAAGTGCACCAAAAATCACGATCGCCGTACAATCTCCGGATATTGTGCCAAACTTCTGTTTGAGTGGTAAAGCTTTATCGGTTAAAATAAAAATTTGTTTGACACTTGATACGCTGGAATAGTAAGATTATGAGTACATTAAAAACTTTTCTGAAAATCACATGAGGTGACGAAATCTTAGGTTGACAAAAGATATCAGGGAATGAAAGGTCTTCTAGAATGAAACTATCTCTACAAATTAGTAAGAAATTAAACCGATGATTTTAAAAAGAACAAGATAGCAAAGGCTTTAATAAAAGCTTTTAAATTAAATATTTATTTGTGTTTTGAAGTAAACTATGAAGTATTATATATTATATATATATTTTTATATGGTTATAACTTAGAAGTTATTTATTTGTTAACTGTTTTTCTTTCCACCCATAAATCTCTGGGAAAACGCGTACAAATTGCTAGGCCATTAAACCACTAACAGAAGCGACAACTGCTCCAACATGAAACTGTCCAAACAAAGTGGAAACTGCCAAATTTCGTGAATTTTCCACTCTGTCAGCTTGCATCTTCAGTGGCAACTCGCGAGGCTCATCAACCAGTTGACCTCCAAAAGTCGGGTGAATCTCGACGCCACAAATTGCAGCGGAGACTAACGGTGTCCGAGTGGCAAGTGGCAGACAGTAGACCATATCCCGCGACTGAACCTGAACTGAACCCCAACCCAAGTCCGGTACGAAAAACCTTTGCACGGGGGGCGTGCATACCATATTTTCGAGATGATATATGGAGAGTACTTGGCCCGGCGGGCAGTCGGCAATTATGCGACTGATTTAGTGCGTGGAGCGAGGTGTGAAGTTGAGTGAAGCTCAAGTCGGCCGAAATCTCAGCGAACTGGACCCAGTGGTGGATGCTAAAAGCTTCCGACAGCATCTCTTGATAACTTAATTTACTTCACGTCTTTTGCGGCCGTTGAAGTTGATTAAGTTGCCCCGACAGTTTGGCCAACATTGCATCGATCCAACTGCTCTTACTTTCACTGTCACTCGACTCTTGACCGCAGCATGTTAATTGTCTTTTTAAATACTAAATCTTCTATGTTATTATTTATTTAGGATTTTGTTCGGCTGCCCCAACAAAAGGCCAAGCCTTTAACTTTGGGGGGTGTTCTAGAAAACCACAAAAGTCTTTGTCAAATGTTTAGTGCGTAAAAATCAACAAACGTTGCCTTTGTTGAGATCAATTTTGGGAAAGTGAACTCGTTAAAATTGGTCTTGGCCCATGGAGCATTTCCATATCAAAGATTTTTCTTCCAGCGTCCCAGAGTTTTTATCTCTTGTTTAAATTGTTTTGTAAATTTAGAAAATTGCATCAATTTAATCCCATGAGATCTTGATATATAGATTCGGCACGGCAATCAGGCATGAATAGAATAAAGGAAATTTCAACATCGTTAATTCCTAAGTATACCAAATGGCCGGACTATTATATCACTTTCCGCACATAATACGATAAATTAATTTTACACAAACATTTTGCCGCTGGCTACGTCACGGATACAAATGAATCTATTGAGCGATCTCGCTTTTTCTGGCTAGACAGCAACCAACAATTTATTGTTGGAATTTTCAGCTTGGACAAAGTCTTACGAGAAATAGAAGGTATATTTTGGGGAACTTTATACGGAATTTAAAATACTCTTTCGAGGCCTGAATTGGAACATAGAATTTATTTTGCTATGGAAACTGAATTATAGTTTTTAATGTAATATAATAAAATATTTTCATTTCGTTGTATTCATTTCGGAAAAAACAAATAAATTATTTTGAATATGATGATTATACTTTATATACTTTCTTTAAAACTATATTATGTAAATTAACTGATTCAACGAAATGTGTTAAAATATAATATTATTCTAGATTAGGATCAAAAAATATGTTTTAGTCATCGCTTTTCAAAGCTAATAATGCATTTAAACACATGTAGATTACCATACAATCGAAACTCTATCAAAATAATTTAAATTATAACATAATATCAACATTAAAATCCAAGCTGGAGAATACGAAAATCTGTGAACTTTTCCATCTGCTGGTAGAGGAAACATTTTGGGAGATCCAACATTCGGTGGAAATATCCGCGTGTAAGCGAGTGGGTGGCGGGAAGATGAGGAGCCAACACTTGACAACCTATTGTCAGCGGTGTGGCTCATCATCAGTCAGCGGTGGCAGCAGTGGTACCGGTGGTGCCGGTAGTGCCGGTGGTGCTGCCTGATTTATGCGCCGGCCAACATGGGGACTTGAAAATACCGCGAAAGTGTTTTGTTTTAGATAAGATTATGGACCAGAGTTTCAGGGGGCGCAAGCGGGATGGCAAATGGGCGAGCGGACGACGCAATATGTCAAATGGATTTACCAGCAAGTTGGCGTGGGTTAGATGGAGGCTCTTCTTCCTCTGCATAAAATGTTTTTCCGGCAGCCGCTCGACTTTTCGGCTTTTGCTGACTTCTTTATTTTTAGCCAGGTGGCAATGAACTGTTTGGTTCTGCTCTCCTCTCCACTTGTCGGTTACATAAAAAAGGTCTAGGCCAGATCGATTGGTCAAAAAGTGAAGATACAATATTTTTTGTTTATTTCCCCGCTTGCATTGACAATAATGTTAAATTATGCATAAATATGTAAGACCGAAAACATTTTGTAAACGGCCCCCGAAGTCGTCGATGGTTTATGAAGCTGGCCCCGCTATATAAATTACAATGATTAATGACATTTTGCACGCAGTTCTCGGCGACTGTTGCTGCCGTGGTTATTGGCGTTGTTTTACAATCATTTTTACGGGCAATTCATTTTCACCCAGGTCGATTCGGATTCAGGTCCAACCAGCAGAAATTCAAGCGGTGCCCGGTGGCACAGAAACCACTCGAAACGTACCATACTTTTGGCAATGAATAAAAGTGAAGGCTGTGAGGGAAAATGGGGCGTATGAGTAATATGATATTATAACTCTCTTTTAATGTGATTCCAAGGGGCTATTGTAGTTCGTTTTTATGGTTTATAAGAAATAATTTTTCAAGTTTTTTAAATGGAAGATCCTATTTTTAGTATTATAAATATTTTTTTTAAGCGATGAGTCCTAATTGTTTATTGGAAATTGATAT